CCAAAAGTGGCGATGCCTCCTCAGGATGGAAGGCAAACAACCGAGACATCGGCTGGGCAGAGGCAGTCGGTTTCTTCTTCCTGGTCATCACTCTCCGCAATGCATGCCATCACCCGGGCATCCACTATGCGGTCTATGGAGACAATCGAGGAGTCGTGGAAGGATGGTGGAAAGGTCGCAGCAGGAACTGGCCAACAAACAGTATCTTCCGTATGGTACACACATTCTCGCAAGAAAATAGCCTCACTGCCCACACTAGATATGTTCCCAGTAAGGAGAACCCAGCTGATGGCCCTTCTCGTGGAGAATATGGCACGACGCAAGACCTCCTCCCTGCCATCAACATCCCCAATCACCTCCAGCACTATGTCGTCGATTTCGACACACCTCATACGCCAACGGAACTCCGCCTTGCACGAGAAGGCAAAGCAGCCCTCGCCGCCCCCAGGATCAGCCCAGCCACACGACTCCTCCAACGCCAAAGCACCTCAGAGGGCCAGATCCTCCATGAAGAAGAAATCCTCACTTCCAAGCCAGCAACCAAGCAGCACCGCTTCTCTCCAGAGCACCGAAGCACAAATGGAGGGCCAGTGCGTGACCACACACGGGCTCGAGCTTCACGAAAACCTGCGCCGTACCCTCCTGACCTCACACCAGTACCATCCACACTCCGCCCACACGTCTTTGCTCGAGAACGGCTTACACGTTGGAGACCAACCACGGTCCGTACTGCCACTGACAACCAGGGCCGGCCCACCCATCTCTCCGCTGAAGACCTGGCCCGCATTCTCGAGGTAATGGCCGGGGCGTGGGCGGATGGGACTCTGGAAGTCTATGGGACAGGCCTCCTCACCTGGCACGCCTTCTGCGACAAGAACGGAGTTAGTGAGGATCAGAGGGCCCCAGCCTCACCCCTCCTCATCGCCTCTCTCATAGCCACCCTCTCAGGTGCTTTCTCTGGTGGCACCATCGCCAACTACGTCTATGGCATCCGGGCATGGCACATCCTGCATGGGGTCCCATGGAAGATGGTCGACCCTGAACTGGAGGCACTGCTCAAGGCCGCAGAAAAAGCAACCCCACCCATGTCAAAGAGGAAGAAACGCCAGCCATACACAAAAGATTTCATGGTTGCTATTCGCGGTCAGCTAGACCTCTCAACGCCCCTCCATGCTGCCGTTTATGCCTGCTTGACAACCACATTCTGGTCAGCTGCCCGAGTTGGTGAGTTCACGGTCAAAAACCTGACAAGCTTCGACGCAAACAAACATGTCAAACCCTCAAACGTTACAACCACGACAGACCAGAACGGCTTCGAAACAACCGAGTTCTTCATCCCCTCCACAAAGTCTGAACCCACCAACGGAGAGACAGTCTCATGGTCGAGACAGAACGGAGACACAGACCCAGAGACTGCATTCCACAATCACATAGATGTCAACTCACCGCCAAATGGTGGCCACCTCTTTGCGTACAAAGTAGGCTCAGGATACAAGCCACTGACAAAGCACAAGTTCATTCAAATTCTCACCACCGCAGCACGAGCAGCTGGCCTAGAGCCACTTCAAGGCCATGGGATCAGGATTGGGTCAACACTCGAGTACCTCCTGAGGGGGATTCCATTCGATGTGATGAAAGCAAAGTGACGCCTTCCTCGTCTACCTCAGGAAGCATGCCCAAATCCTCGCACCATACATGCAAGCAGACCCAGTCCGCCAGGAAGAATTTATCAGGCTAACCATGCCTCCACTACGCCGCCACTAATCAGGTAAGCAACCCCTGTCATGCTCCTAGCAGAGTGGGCTCGAGACTCGCTCGATGCGTCGCAGGACTCCTAACAATTGGGAATCGCGCTCATCTTGGCTTCTTTCACAGACCAGGAGCTCCTGCCGGGCACGAAAGCCTTCGGGCTTTCCGCCCATATATTACATCCAGCACACTGCCATTCCATACACCTATCCCTCTTACCCTAGTCTACCATCGTTAATCTAATGCTGTCACTCGCCAGACCTGCCTCAGCGCCATTCATAGAGGGTACTGCGCCACGCAAATATGTCCCAAAGAGGAAACAATTTGGCCCCCATTCAAAGTCTCGATCCGCACCGGTGACATCAAGCTCGTGTAGGCAACCTTCGAGAGTTTAAATTTCGACAAGGTTGACCCTTTTACTGTTTATATGTCGCACAAAGGTACCAAGACACAGATTAGCTTGGCCCATGATGGAACTGTGAAGCAGAGAGTAAAGCCCTGGTCCAATGACCCACAAGAAGATTAAGTGAAATGGTGGAGTATAGTACTAGTCTATTTTCTTCTATGCCCTTGGAGGTCCCCATATCGAACACGCAAGCGCTTCTGCTTCATCTACGATCCGCTGCTGCTCCATTGCTCTAACCCGCCTAGCGCACGTGTCTGACATCTCATGGCGACGCAGGATCTTGACGCTGTTCGACTTGAAAGTAAGGCCACATATCGTGCATTTAGAGTATTTACGGAGTGATCCTATGAAGGGTTCTTGGAATGATGTGAGTTTGAAAGCAAAACGACTGGTCTCAGTGCTCACCTTCGTTCTTTTCCATACGTCGCTTTCGTGTAGCATGACGCGCTGCAAGCTGCTGCGTGTTTCTCCTATAATCTTTCGTTCCAGATGTGTTCTGATTTTCTTTCCCTTCTGCGGCTCGTGGGCTATCACCGGCCTTGTCTAAGCTGGTATGCGAGTTTCTGTTTGGAGCGGAAGCCAACGAAGTACAAAGAGGTTTCAAAGGTTGTGAAGCATGGTCTTTCGAAGCTGGCGTTCCCGGAAGAGAAAAGACTGTTTGCATTCACGAGGTTTAGATCCACGAGAGGGAGGGAAGATAGTCGATGTGAAACTCGGGAGTCACCGTCACCGACAGCTCAGTGGCGCAGTCACGCTTCGACTTGCGCGTCCGTCACATGACCTGAGTTCCTGTGGACGTGACAGGTCACCCGGACCGGTCCATGAAGATGCACAAGGTCAAAACCCTTCGAAACCAGACAGCAAAGGTGATTGATTTGGAAGAATGTACGGTATACGATGCAGTAGCTTGCGTTGGTATGATGCATATGCAGTTTAGATGCGCATGATTAGGTAAACATCCAAAGCAAAACGTGAAAATGAATGACCCCGGTGCCCATAAGATCCAGAAACTAAAAATCATATAACGTAAATCCAGGTTAGATGATGATAGTATCGTGAGATTGGATGAACATTGAACGTGAAGGGTATGATAAGTATCCAAACGTGACAGCGGATATTACCAGACGAGGCCGGCGAAGACGATCGCAGCTGCGCTCATCCACACACGCGCGTCAGCGGCGATAGAGAGAGCGCCATCAGTGCTCGTTCCAGCCGTAGCAGTGCTCGACGCGGTGCTCGACGTGCTCGACGACGTGGTCACCCTGGTCGTAGCTAACGACGCGCTGGTAGCTGGGGTCGCAGCACCCGTGCCTGTCGAGCTCGCGGAACCAGGGCCAGCCGGAGTGCCAGTGCCGCTGACGGGGGCAGCGACAGCCGTGGATGGGTCTACGAGGTTGCCAATACCCCAGGGGATGGGGTCGTTCGAGCCAGGCTGGGTCGCATTGGCGGGGGGCGTGGTCGCGCCGGTTGGCGAGGCGATGGTGAAGCGGGTGGTCCAGGTCTTGACGGCAGTCTGCGGGGAGGAGAACTGGTAGAAATAGATAGCGGAGTAAGGGTCCACCTCGGGGCAGGGGTACTCGAAGCGGCCGTCGACGGTACCGTCTTGGTTCGTGGCAACAGCTGCAAGTCAGGGTAGGGCGTAGGAGTCAGGAGGTTGGTCGTGTGCGGAGAAAAAGGGAACGTACTGGTGATGTGCACCATCCCAAGGTTGCTGCCGGTCATCAGCTGGATGGCCATGTCCTTCCAGATGGTGTCAGATTCGGTGTCGCCTTGCCAGACGATGTGACAGGTCGAGCCAGCGTTGAAGATGTCGCCGGGGCCAGGCTCGCTGGGGGTAACATCTCCACGGGCCAAAAGAGGCGCGGCAAGTGCGAGAAAAGCGGTGAATGCGTGTGCAGCGAACATCTTTAGTATTCTTTCTCAAAATTAAAACACGGTGGTCGACTAGGATGAGGAGGTCAGACTTTCTTCGTTCTTCGAGAGCCATATTGGAAGAGAACTCACTGTTTTTTAGGTTAGGAAACGAGAGTGGGGTAGAAAGAGAGTGGGGGGCGGAATATGACTTTAAGAAACCTGAGTGTTCTGCGGTGGGGAGGATGTGGTTGCAGAAGAACTTTGTGCCTTGGCACCGCAAAGGTCTTTCTCTGTGTCATGTCACGCGTCACATCAATGTTCACGCCGAGCATCATCGCCTTTTCTCTCTTGTCCATTCATTTTTCTGGAAGTGAGCGTCAGCGGCATCATTCTTGCCTATGATCCACGCAGCGCTCTCGACGAAAATCCGCACAGGAGCTGCACAAACCGAAAACCAAGATGCTTCAGTCAAAGCCTGCTGGTCGCCGTCGTTGACCCGCTGAATGGCATGATAACTTCCATGATTGATATTCTGGTCGAAATCGTGTTCTAAACATAGTGTGCTTCAGCGCTGACGCTGAGCGCTGATCCACTGTCTAGTCGTTGAACTTTGTTTCTGGGACTGGTGCTAGTCGCAGAGTTGGTGGATAACAAACACCTCTCATTAACCTCACAGATGATATCTCCTTCACTGTGCTAGAGAATCGGATATGCCCAATCCAGCTTTGGCTACAAAGTTTATGGCTCCTCGGGTTCGCCTTCTCATCTCGTTCGGGTTCTCTCTCTCGTAAACGCCTGTCACTTTTGGACCTATCAACCGTCACGCGCGGACGATGTGAAGGGTAGGATCACATCGAACCAGCGAACCACGCCTCGAGGCTACAGACGCTCGGAACTTCTTTCATTGTCGCCCACAACCAGCTCTCCATCGTACCACCACCACCACCATGTCGACCGCGGGGACCCAAGCCGCAGGCAAGGGTCCCGACAAAGGCCGTAGAGGCGGTAGAAATGGGGGCGCCGGACTCTGCAGGTCTTATCAGGGCAACGGAAAGTGTCGATTCGGAGACAATTGCAAGTTCCAACATGTTCGAAGAGGAGGGGGGTCATCGAGGTACAAGAATCGTATTCTACAACAAAGTTGCGAGCTGATGTTGTGCTACTGCAGTACTGAACTAACTGAAGAGCGTCTGGCGAATAATGAACCCATTATCGGATCTCCACTTATGCCACCAACGCCATTACCAACCTCAAATGAACCGAGTTCCTCGACTCCCAGCACCTATCTCGGCGTTTGCAAGTCTTATCGGGTTACAGGACGCTGTCGGACTGGGCCTAGCTGCAAGCTACAGCATATGAGGGACGAGCAGCTGGCAAGGTCCGTCAGCCCTTCACTTTTCATGTTCTCGGTGTCGTTTGTGGGCTCATGCGTCTCTTACTCGTAGTGTCCAGCAAGACGAAGAACATTCGACCACTATTCCACCTGATTCGACGACAACGGACGTGTTGTCAGCGACTCACAGCGAGGCTGGACCCACAATTTCAAACGTCACTCAAGCAGTCACAAACACAGCCCCCGCCGCCCCGACTTCTGGTGGTCCGAAACGTTTCTGCCATGCTTGGAAGAGGTCAGGCACCTGCCCTCGAGGCGAGAAGTGCCCTTACGAGCATGTTCGTAATGTGAGTGGTTTATATGCGTTTATATTGTGCAACCAATGCGACCACTTTGTTAGGAGACACAACAAGGCGGGTCCTCCTCAAACACGACTGCGTCGAATAACAGACGAAACAGTCGTCAGGCCCAGGCCCAGGCTACCCGTGTTAAAGAGGAGAATCGTAAGAAAGAACTGGAGAGGCAAGCTGAAGAAGAGGCAGCACGCGCAAGAGAGGATCAAGAACGACTCCGTCGTGAAATCGAGCTTGAAGAGCAGCGGCTGAGGGACGTGGAACGCGTCTTCGCAGAAAGCCGAGCGGCCAAGGCCCGAGAGGAAGAACAGCGTCGTCAGGAACAAGCCCGACGCGAGCGCGAAGAGCAAGAACGCAAGAAGAGGGAAAGGGAGGCTATAAGGGAGGCGATGCGCGAAGCCGGCAGACGAGCGAAGGAAGAGCAACAACGCCGTGAACAAGAGCGCCAGCTTGCAGAGGCTCGAGCCAGGGAGGAAGAAGCGCGCCGTGCGGAAGAAGCACGCCTCCTTGAGGAAGAACGTCTACGTCAGGAGGAGCAACGTCGTGCAGAGCAGGCTCGCCGCGAGGAGCAAGAACGAAAGAGGAGGGAGAAGAAGGAAAGGCAGGAGGCTGCCCGACGGGCGAGGGAGGAGCAGCGTCGTCTCGAGGAGGAACGGCAGGCGGAGGAGGAGAGGCGTAGGCTGGAGGAACAGCGCGAACGCGAGCGTATTGCCCGTGCTAACCTCGAGGAGAAGCGTCGACAAGACGCTGCCATCGTCGAGCAATACCTCGTCTTGGACGCTGCTGGTCTCATCACATGCTCCGCGGGCCTCGAGGTGCAGCACGTCGTCGCCGGGTTTGATCTGTGCAAAATCACCATCAAGAACCTCCCAAAGAACGCCAGACGCGCAGAGATTTCAGACCTATTCGTCCAACAGGGGGTCGAGACCGCCGAGTTCCACATCTTCCAGGTCAAGGACGACCCGACGACGCGGGGCAGAAAGCTCGAGGCGGTCGTGATCGTGAATGCAGAGTATGGGCAGGCGATTGCGGCCGGGTTGGACGAGATCGAGTTTAGAAACGAGAAGCTCAAGTTTGAGGTCAGCGAGAACGCCAGTGGGAACGCGATGGCGAGTGGGCGGGCATGGCCGTTCATGACGATCTCGTGGAAGCCGCCGACGGAGACGATCGTCGCGACATACATGTCTCGCGAGGAGGCGCAAGTTAACATCCAAAAGATCAATGGGAAGACGCTGGACGGACGTTACTTGCGTGCTGTTTTGGATGAAGGGCGTCCGAACAAACTTCAGTTTGGTGCCATACGAACCACGGGCGTCAAGATCACCGGTTGGCCCCTCCTTCGCATGTATGATTCCGAGTTTGAGGCCCTCGTCGGCGCACAGTCGTTCAACCTCAAGACGCTCAAGGCTCCGCGCTATGACCACGAGCAGACGGTAGCCACCCTACGTGCGACGGTTTCGGCTCAGGCTGGGGTTCGGATGTCAACGTACAACGTCTCGCCCGCAGCGGCGAACGCAGGTGAGGAGTGGAAGGTGAAGGTCCATTTCGACGACTGGGAAGACGTCAAGAGCGCACACGGCTTCTTCGACAAGAAAAGGTTGCCCTCTGGGGCGTACCTCCGCGCGTGGCACCCCAAGCCACTCCAGTACTCTATCAGGATCCCGACGCCGCAGTACCAGGCGCAGAAGAAGATATGGGACGCTCTTGCGGAAAAGAAACCTGGGAGCGACGCGCACATCCATGCAAATCCCGGCGATCGAGGTGACGTCATGTTCATAAGAGTCCTTGGGGAGGACAAGAAGGCTGCCGGCTCGCTGAAGGTACGCGTCGAGAGCCTCGTTGCTGGTGAAAGGCTCGACGCAACGTACTGGCACCCGTCGTTCTTGTCGACCAGGGATACCAGGGCGCTCTTCGACCGTGTGAGTCAGCAAACCAAGGTGTTTATCCGCAGCGACTTCAAGACGCGCTCTCTGAAAGTTTATGGCGAGTCAGAAGGGATCGAAGAGGCGAAGAAATTGATCTTGGAGGAAGTGGACCGCCGTGCGCAACTCGAGACGTCCAGGGTGGTGCCTGTTGCTTCGGCGGGCTATTTCGTGCGAGAGGGACTCGCAAAACTAAAGGAGCTCATCGGGGAGGATAACGTCAATTTTAATCTCTTCACCAGGAAGCTTACGATCAAAGGCGGCGAGGAGGCTCGCCACCATATGCAACGTCTCATCGACGAATCCCACTCACAGACAGAACTCGGGGGCGTCGTTCCCCTCGCAGACGGTGCCGAGTCATGTCCTTTATGTTTCTGCGACGCGACCACCGGCGAGGAGTTGGGATGTGGGCACCGGTACTGCGCGGGCTGCCTCCGTCATTTCCTCACGTCTGCAGCGGACGCGAACGACTTCAAGTTTCCGCTTGCCTGCATGATGTGCAACGTCCCAGTCGCCATCCCGCTTCTCCGCGCCTTTCTCACCCCGCAAGTGTTTGAGAATCTTGTCGAGGCCGCGTTCACTGCGTACCTCGAGAAACACCCGCAGGAGCTGAGGTACTGCACGACGCCGGACTGCAAACAGATCTATAGGCTTGTCCGTCTACTGGGAGCGGAAAGCAGAAAGAACGCCCGGGCACTCTTCAGTGTCCTGCCTGTTTCTCGAACATCTGCCCGGCGTGCGATGAAGAGTCCCACGAGGGCATGACGTGCGAGGAAAGACGCATCCAGAGCGACCCCGCGGAGCAGGAACGTCTGAACAACGAGCTGGCGGAGAGGAGCGGTTACAAGCGATGCCCTCGCTGCCGGGTGATGATGGAAAAGACGGAGGGGTGCAACCACATGGAGTGCAGGTGCGGCGCTCACTTCTGCTGGCGCTGCTTGGCGGCGTTCGACACCTCCGATGAGACGTACGCTCATATGCGGACGGCGCACGGTGGGATCTACGACGAGAACCCGGCGGGAGTACAACAAGCTGGAGGTGCTCTGCACCTGGATGCCAATTTCGTTCAGGAGCAGTTGGACGTACTGGAGCGGATTGAACGTCAAAGGCTCGCGGTTGAGCAATGGGAAGTCGACTTGAATCACTTATGGAGGGATCAAGAAGTAGAAGGAAGAGCACGAGCGGAAGCGAGAATTCGAAGAGCTGAGGAATTGCAAAGGGAGCGGATGGAAGTAGCGAGAATTCAAAGGCAGGAAGAGCTGGAAAGAGAAAGGAGGCTGGAGGCGGTGAGGATCAGAAGGCAGGAGGAGATGCAAGCCGAGTATCTGCGGATCCAGAGAGAGAATGAAGCTGCTCGAATTCGTAGGGATGCTGAATACGCACGTCTGAGGGCGGAGGCAGAACGCGAGCGTACCAGGAGGGAGAACGAGGAGTGGAACCGAAACCGTGCAAATTATGCGAGAATGCGCGCACAAGAGGCTGCTGCGAGGATGGACCGTCAACAGCAGCAGCAACAACAGCGCGAGGAACGAGGGGGTTGGTGCGTTGTGATGTAGCGTGTGTATAGACTCCTCGTCGAATATGTTGTACATGCCTATATTGTTTAAATAAGTTTTGTAGCCTAGGAGCCTTGAAATTGACTTTGGTATCTTGTCCTCTCTTGTGCTCGCAGTTTCCTTCCGGATCCCGTTTATCCTATTGGTGAAGGTCACGCATGGAGTCAACATCACACCTTGAGGGCAGGCTTGAGTCCGTGAGGCAATAAGCGCCCGTACTGTCACTCATCGCCGCCTTCTTCAACTGTGTTCCAGAACCTCACCCGTTATCCCATCATGTCGATGGAAAACACCCTGGGCGTAGGGAGGACTCCCTACATAGGCGGCAGGAATGTCGGAATGGGTAGACTCTGTAAGTTCTACCAGACCTCGGCGAGTTGTAGGTTCGGGGACAACTGCCGGTTCCAGCATGTTCAAGTTGACCATGAATCGAGGTACAGTATTACTCCTCTATGAGAAAGCTATGGGCTGATATGGTAGCTTCACAGCTCCTCAGTTGAAGAGAATTCGCCGGATGTTGAGGCTACCTCCACCACGTCAACGCCCTCCATCGCACCAGCTTCATTATCGTCCCCAGATGAAGCCGATACGTTTCCCTCAAGCATTACACAAGGCGTATGCAAGTCATATCGGGTTACAGGACGGTGTAGGACGGGACCTAGCTGCCAGTATCGGCACGTTCGCGACCAATCATCTGTAAGGTCAGTCAGCTCTTCATATCCCGACCAACTCGAAAGGTCGTCCAGTTCTCATAGACCTCTTATACATACAGCGCCCAACTACATGGAGAAAGTCCACCACCTGCTGCCTTACCTTTTCAATTCACTGCTATGTTGGATGACGACGACTCAGACCACGAGGCAGACTACGTTCAGGAATCGAGGTAGATTGAAGCCATCATCGCAACACTCATACGCTAAGATGGACTCATGGTTAAGCTTCCACGCCGTCAAAAGTCCTAAGGGCCAGCCATCATCTCTGTCAATTCGATCTTCCTCTTTATCAGCTCCGACTGAGGCTGGTTCCAAATCCTCGTCCCCCTTCGGCTATAGTCCTTGCAAATTCTACCACAATGGGGGTTATTGTCGGCATGGAGCCAACTGCAAGTTCCGGCATGGTCAAGGAGAGCTGGCGACCTACCACAACCGCCAAGTTCCATGCAAATTCTACGAAGCGTCAGGCCAGTGTCGGTTTGGGAGCATCTGCAAGTTCAAGCACACCCAAGATGGGGGACAGGAGGAGATTCAGAGGTCAGGGCTTCGTCTCAAATTGGTTCTGAGGTTCTGGCACTCATGCGCCTCTATCAGTATCAGGTTATCTGGGGATAGAATAGAGGCAAGGAAGCCTATCATATCATTCACGGGATTTAATACTGGCCTATCCAACGCTGGCAGTCGGAAGACCACATGCCACTTTCGGGAGAGGGCAGGCGCTTGTCCTCAAGGTGTGATGTGTCGTTTTCAGCATGATACCGATGTGAGCAGTTGTATATATGTGCCTTGCCTGTGCAAATTGACAGTTTAATTCTATGGAAGGGCCCAGCCGACCTCGTCGAATCCGAGAGGCGCAAGAAAGAGGATCAAGGTCAAGAGCTGACAGAGGAGGCAGCCAACACTGAAAAGCTCAGGCAGCAGGAAAAAGCTCGCCGCCGACTTGAACTGGAAGAACAGTTCAGAAAAGAAGGCGCAGAGTGCACAGTGGCGGAAGAAAAGGCTGCGGCAGCAGCCAGAGCCAAGAGGGAGCGGCTCGAGCGGGAGCGGACCGCGCGTGCCAACCTCGAGCTGAACCGCCGACAAGAGGCCGCCGTCGTTGAGCAATACTTGGTTTCGGATGCTGCAGGCCTTATCACCTGCTCCACCGGCCTTGAGGTACAGCATGTTGTCGCCGGCTTCGACCTTTGCAGAATCACCATAAAGAACCTCCCAACGAATGTTACACATGCTGAGATCGCAGACTTGTTTGCCCAGCAAGGTGCTGACGCCACCGAGTTTTTTGTGTACCGGGTCAATAACGACTCTGCGACCTGTGCCAGCGGACAAGGTGGAAAGTCCGAGGCAATCGCGCTTGCGAACACAGAATGTGGGCAGGCGGTCGTGACAGCACTGGATGGTGTCAGGTTTCGGGAGGAGAGAATCAAGGTCAAAGTGAACGAGAGGGTGAGCTGGGAAGCGATGGAGGCTGGCGCTGAACATCCAGGACCGGTGGAGCCGTCTATCACAGTCTCATGGGGAGACCCGGAGACTATCGTCGCGACCTATACATCCCACCGGCTAGCACGAGCCAATGCTGAGAGGATCAACGGGCAGGTGTTCCATGGCCGTCGGCTGTATGCCACTCTGGACCAAGGACCGCCTCAGCTCAATACCACAAGTATCAAGATCGCTGGCTGGCCGCATGCTGAGATCTACCATCCTAGCTTCGTGCCGTTCGTAGCGCCAGACTGGGTGGATGTCTGCCTGCAGGCAATCCCAACCAGGGACAGGGCAATGATATATGCAATGGTCTCGTCTCGAAAAGGGGTCCGCATGGAGACCTACGACTTCTTGGCGGCAGTCGACGCTTGCGAACAGAACTACGTCAAGGTATCTTTCGATAATTGGGAAAATGCCAAACAGGCACAGAAATTTCTCAATAGGAAGAAGCTCAATGGCGGAATCTCCCTCCGAGCGTGGTATCCAAAGCCACGCCAGCATACCATCAGGATCCCAAGGCTACAGTACCGGGCACAGAAGAAAATGTGGGACGTACTCGCAGAAGCAGGACAGGAGAGCGACGCCCAGGTGGAGATAAGCCCCAGCGATCATGGAAGTTTCGTCTTCGTTAACATCACCGGGGATGACAAGAAGGCTGCTGACTCGCTGAAAATCCGCGTTGAGAGCCTCGCCGGTGGAGAACAGCTCAGCGCAACGTACTGGCATCCTTCATTCCTCTCCGACAAGGACAGCAAGACTCTTTTTGACCATGTTAGACGCAAGACCTGTGTATTTGTCCACAGAGACTTTGGGATGCACTCTTTGAAGGTGTACGGCGAACCTGGAAAGGTCAAAGAGGCAAAACACTTAATTAAAGAAGAAGTTGACCAATTGGCACGTGCACGGCTTGAGACGAGGAGGCTCATCCCCCCTGCATCTATGCACTATTTCATTCGTGAAGGGCTTGCAAGACTTAGAGAGCTCTTCGGCAGGAGGAATATTAGTCTGAACCTTATAACAAGGCAGATCATAATCAAAGGTGGCGAAGAAGCACACTACCATTTGCAGCATCTCATCAACAAGTCGCATATCAAGAGGGAACTTGGTGATACCCTCCCCCTCGCAGACGCCTTGCAGGGTGGGGAGAAATCATGCGCCTTATGCTTCAATGATACGGGCAATGGAGAGGAATTGGGATGTGGTCATAGGTATTGTGCGGACTGCCTCCGGGAATTCCTCGAATCCGCAAGGGAACTTGAAGCTGACCACCTCAATTTCCCACTTGTCTGTCCTGCCATCGTTGACAAATCGATGTGCAACGTACCAGTCGCTATCCCTCTCCTGCGTGCCTTTCTCACCCCACAGGCATTTGAGAACCTCGTCGAGGCTGCTTTTACTTCGTATCTCAAAAAACACCCCCAAGAGCTTGGGTATTGCACAACACTAGATTGCAAGCAAGTCTATCGACGATGGCCTTCAAGTGAAATCAGAAAGCAAAAATCACAATCGCCGACGGTTCAGTGCCCTTCTTGTTTCTTGAATATTTGTTCAGCCTGCGACGAGGAGGCGCACGAGGATATGATGTGCGAGCAGTGGTGCAGGGAGAGCCGCTCATCAGGAAAGTATCACACAATAGTGGAAAAGCGTGGTTACAAGATATCCCTGCAAGAAAATTATAACAAAGAGCAGGTCCGTGTCGAACAAAATGAAGCCGCTCTAGAAGAAGGTGATTGGTGCATCGTGATGTAAGTTCAGAGTACAGGACTAAATCCCTTGATAAATTCGACATTTTTTGTATTTAAAATTACGATAACTGATGATTTTACGCTGCTGAAAGCATTAGATGCTCTTGGACGACGACAATTATTCACCGGCACCCCTGTCTCAATTTGGGAATGTGCTATCTAAAATGGTTCTCCGTGCCCGCTTGGCAAGCCGCGACCTTACGGCCTCCCAGTGAGAGAGGCTGAGGACTTCAGCAACACCACAGATCTTCGCGCACAATCCGATGGGGCACGGAGTCAAATAAGTATTCAAATTCAAAGCTTGAACTTGAACTATGGCACTTATGTAATGTGCCTGTACTTGGTTTCGTCGCTGTCACCCGTCAGTCGTCACGAACCACTGCTGGTCCTCGAGGCGCCTCGAACAAGTGTTCGAGTTGTTGTCGCCCATCTTGGCTGAGACCCTCACTCTGGAATAGACTCACCATGTCGACAGAACGGCCCTTTCCTGCTTGTTGGAGTGGCAGGAAACCAGTCGGTGCACCTGGAGTGTGCAGGTTCTATCAAACATCATCAGGATGTCGCTTTGGGGCCCACTGCAAGTTTCAGCATATTCAAGATGGGCATGGATTCAGGTACTAGATGATTCTTGTGATAATTGTCCTTGCTGTATTTTGACAGTGCTCCAGCCGTGTATAAGCCGCCACATCTAAGGGCAGGACGATCAGGGCACAACCTCCCGCCAGCCCAAAGGGCCAGCCAAGCATGGTAAGCCCCTTGTTTCCTTGTTTCCTGGTGGAAAATGTTTAAACTTATTAGGTACAGCGCACAGCTCGAAGATGGGAAGGGCCCGGAGCTGGTTGAAGAGGTAAAATCCGCATGTCGGCCACCGCAGTTAAGAGATGGGCAGGCCTCACCTACTCGGGCCTTGTGAGCACCATTATTCCTCATTTTCTGACTCCTTCGCTCACCTTATCTCGGAAAATCGCGTACACCAGAACATCAGAGGAAAAGATTCACAAAAGAGAAGAACGAAGGCTTGAACAAGCCCAACGTGAAGAACAAGAACGTCAGAGAAAAAAGAAGAAAGAACAACAAGAGGCCATACAGCGTGCCCAGGAGAAGCAGCAACACCGAGAGGAACAGCTAGAACTTGAGCAGGCTGCGCGTGCCAACCTCGAAGAGAAACGTCAACGAGATGCTGCCGTCGTTGAGCAGTACCTCATCTCAGATGCTGCAGGCCTCATCACCTGCTCCGCGGGCCTCGAGGTGCAGCATGTCGTCGCCGGCTTCGACCTCTGCAGGATCACGATCAAGAACCTCCCGAAGAACGCTACTCGCGCCGAGATCGCAGACTTGTTTGCACAACAGGGCATCAATAGTACCGAGTTCTATGTACACCAGGTCAACGAAGACACAGCGACCGTGACACATGGAAGTAGACAAGGTGGCAAGCTCGAGGCAACCGTGTTAGCAAACGCAGAGTATGGGCGCGCGATCGCGATCGGCCTTGACGATATCGACTTTCGGGAGGAGAGGATCAAATTTGAAGTAAGCGAGAGTGTGAGCTGGAACGCGATGGAGGTGGATGAGGCGGGGCGTGCTGGGCCGTTTATCACAATCTCATGGACAGCGCTCGAGGGGACAATTGTCGCAGCGTACATATACCACACACAAGCACAGGCCAACGCCGAAAGGATTGATGGGCGGGTGTTTCAGGGACATCGGCTCCGTGCAGTCTTGGACCGAGAGCCGTTGGGCGGGATTCAACAACTGGCCACAGACACTGCGAACGTGAAGATTACAGGCTGGCCACTCGCTGCCGTGCACGATCCCAAGTTCGAGGCATTCATACGCGGGGATTTGTGCTACCCCATACACATGCGAGTGAAATCATTTGAACACCAGGAGACGAGGGACGCAGTGTATGCGATGGTCTCTACCCGGGAGGGAGTTCGCATAGAGTCCTACAGACTCTTGCGGACAACAGGAAGTGCTGAAGAGGGGAAAGTCAAGGTCCACTTTGACGAGTGGGAGCAGGCCAAACACGCACAGAACTTCTTTGACAACAAGAAGCTGAACACTGGGGTGTCTCTGCGTTCATGGCACCCAAATCCCCACGAATACAGTATCAGGATCCCAAAGTTACAGTACCTGGCACAGAAGAGGATGTGGGACGCACTCGCAAAACAGGAACTAGAGAGAGACGCTCAGGTGGAGATAAGCACCAGCAATCGAGGAGGTTTCGTCTTCATCAAAGTTATTGGTGACAACAAGAGAGCTGCCGGCTTGCTGAAGGTTCGCGTCGAGAACCTCGTGACCGGTGAACGGCTTGCTCCGGAATACTGGTACCCGTCTTTCTTCTTGAACAGGGACAGCGTAGTGCTCTTTGAGCGCATCAGGCAACAAACTGGAGTCTTTGCTCAGGAAGACTTCAAGACACGCTCCTTGAAAGTATACGGGGAGTCGGACAGGGTGCGAGAGGCGAAGGACTTGATCAGAGAGGAGGTGGATCGGCTGGCGCAGGTCGAGACGACAAGGCTCATCCCCCGTGCTTCCATAGCATACTTCATGCATGAGGGTATCGCACGACTACAGGAACTTCTTGGAACAGAAAACGTCAACTTGAATCTCGTCACTAGGAGGATCAGCATTAAAGGCGGAGAGGAAGCGCGCCACCACCTTCAGCGCCTGCTCGATGAATCCTGTGCTCAAACAGCATTTGGCGCCGGTGTCCTCCCACTCGCAGGTATCATCGAGAATAGAGAGACATCTTGCCCTGTATGCCTCAACGATACAACCACTGGCGAGGAATTAGGTTGTGGGCACAGGTACTGTGCGGACTGCCTCCGGAGCTGCCTCAAGTCTGCTGTGGAAACCAAAGGCTGCAAGTTCCCCATTGTCTGTATCGCGGTCAATGATGACGAGACAATGTGCAATGTTCCCATGCCCATTCCTTTCTTACGCGCATTCCTCATGCCCCAGGCATTCGAGAATCTTGTCGAAACAGCGTTCGCATCGTACCTTGAGAGAAATCCCAAGGAGCTCAAGTATTGCACTACCCCTGACTGTAAGCAAGTCTACCGGTGTTGTTCATCCAGTGATACTGGAGAGAAGAAGGCGTCTTCACCTGCCCTTCACTGCCCTTCATGCTTCTCCAGTATTTGCCCAGTATGCGGTGAGGAAACCCATGAAGGCATGACATGCGAGGAGCGGCGCATCCACCATGACCCTGCAGAACAGGACCACCTGAACGACGAACTGGCAGAGAGGAATGGATACAAACGATGCCCACACTGTCGGCTACTGACCGAGAAAATTGAAGGATGTAACCATATGCAATGCAAACCAGGTTGCGGCGCACATTTCTGCTGGCGGTGCTTGGCGGTGTTTGACACCTCAGATGAGACGTATCGTCATATGCGTGAGGTGCACGGTGGGATACATGATGTTATGCCACCTGGTGTTGAGGTTATTGATGCATTCGCGGAACCGAGGAATATGTTCCTTGAGCAGCTGGTTGCACTGCAGGAGATTCAACGTCGAAGGGAGGAGATTGCACAAAGGGAAGAGCAAGAGGCACAGAGGCGAAGGGATGAAGCATTGCGAAGAATTGAAAGAAGGCGACAAGACGGAGTGCAAGCTGAACTCGAACGCCAGTTGCAAGATGAAGTGGCCAATCAAGCGAGGAGGGAGGTCGAGCAGAGGGCTGAAGCTGAGCATGAGAGGAGGCATAGAAATATTATACAGAGGGAAGTTGAAGTGCCTGCTAGGGAAGAGGAAGAAGATAGGGGTTATTGCATTGTAATGTAAATACAAAAGCACCAGGAATACTAAGGTTGCATCCCCTTGGTTTTTCAAACATTTTCCCAGCTTCTGATGAGGTACATGATGGTATGGTGCACAAGGAGAGGCATGTGGAAATCAATTCAACGGCGCATGACCAGTGAAATTTTGAAACTTAACCTTCGAGTCACTCGTGAGTCGTGAAGGCTCAGATAAGTACACTATTTTGACACAATAAGCAAGCCCTGCATGACCTCCTATCAGATGTCCGGATAGATCCAGGTACAAAATGTGCTTGCAAGGAGCATATTACGAAAAACTGACCTCGCTAAATCAGCTCAATCATAAGAGGTTCACACTTTCTGGCTTGCCAAGAGGAAGGGAGCCACGGCGCGGAGCCCATCATGGATCCTAATGCTGGACTAGGGTGATTTCCTTAATTAAATAAATCAGTAATGTGTTTATTTAAGATTAAGGGAATGTAAATTTATGCCCTTCAAAACGTCAGGTCCTCTTGAGCAATGTCAAATATTCCCCGACATCTCTCTTCTAGATTTGGGAACGCGCTATCCTAAAATGGCACTCTCGGACCGCTTGGCAACCTTATAGCCGCCGAAGTACTTTGCGCAGAGCAAGGCGCCCATCCTTAAGACCGATACAATGCTACGGCAGGATATATGGTGAATCCAAAACTTTAAAAACAACACTGACTGGATTTAAACGACAAATCTTATGTAATACACTTACTTATCCTTCATCCTCTTTCGTCACCTGTGGGCGAGGCAGATCACGCGCCGATAACGGGACCATCACATCAGGTGGCAAGCGTCCGCTCACTGTTGCTGTGCACAGCATTCTCCCTCGTACCACCACCATGTCACTCCCGGAGACTCAAGTGTCAGGCAGAGACCCTCCTGGTAGCAAGAAATTCGCCAGAGGCGGCAAGAATGGAGCAGTCGGCCAGTGCAAGTTCTATCAGAGCCCAGCTGGCTGCCGGTTCGGAACTAGATGCAAGTTCCAGCATGTTCAAGGAGGGCGGTCACCCAGGTGCGACCCGTGCGATGGAGCACTGTTCTGTGAAGATAAGCCGCACGTTGATTTGGTTAACTGTTACAGCATCCAGAGCACTGAAGAGTATCCAACAAGCCCTCTGATTGGTGTATCTTCTAGTATCGCGACACAAGCACCTTCGCTGTCCAAAAACGAAACATGTTCATTGGTTACCAACAACTCCCAAGGCATATGCAAGTCTTATCGGGTGACGGGACGCTGTCGTATTGGACCCGACTGCAAGTTTCAGCATATTCGTGACCAGTTAGCAGCGAGGTTAGCCAATTCTTGCTCTTTTATTATCTCAGCAAAATAAGGATTCTCGGGCACACACCGCTTCACATTGCAGTTCTGAACAGCTTGAAGATGACCCGCCCACCATTCCACCTTTTCAATCCGAGTCGACATCAATTGAAGAGTTTCAACGTGGCCAAGAAACGAGGTACGACAGCCATCTGCGTGCTATTTTTATGCGCTCACGGGGCATTTGCACAGTAACCGGGGGTCTGACAACCAGCTGGTCCCTACTTCGCCAATTGCATCTTCATCTACAAAATCCATTCCCTTTGCACCACCGAGTGAACCCTTGGTCTCTGTCAGACATGGCATTTGCAGGTTCTATTTGCAAGGCGGACATTGCCGATTTGGGACTAGCTGCAAATTTAGGCATGTGCGAGGGGAGCAGGTTGCAAGGTATGCGAGATTTGGTCTCTGCCAAATTTCCATAGTAGCTGAGGCAATATGCAGCATTCAAGAAGGTCCAAAGAGTCTGAACGTCGTCGAGTCTCCTTCCATTTCACCCGTTTCACTGTCCATAAACACAGACGACGCCAGTTCGAACAACGCTCCGAAGGTATGCAAATTCTATGAAGCCAGAGGGCAATGCCGGTTGGGGGCTATATGCGCGTTCCAGCACGTTCCAAGTGAGGGACAAATATCAACGTCTGTACTTCGTGTATTGGTTCTCAGGGGTTTCATACTCATAGCCCTCCCCCCAGTGCCGAATCAGACGGAAAGAGGCCAGTGATGACAACGATCCCAGTCGATCCTGTCCTGTCTAGCGTTCACAGTCAGAAGCCCCCATGTTATGTTTGGAAAAGAGCAGGTGCTTGTCCTCGAGGCGATAGGTGTAGATTCCAGCATGCTACTCAGGTAGGCAGACGCATATATGGGTGGTGGTTGCACAATCTTATGATCAGGCACTGTTCAGGATCCAGTCGGCCGCCTCGAATTCGAGAGAGGGCAGAAAGAGGCTGAGAGATTGTCCGAAGAGTTAGCTGCCGGTGTCCGGGGACAACAAGAACAAGTTCGCCGTCGACTCGAGCTGGAAGAGCAGCGAAGAAGACAGGACGAAGAGCGTAATGCTGCGGAAGAGAGGGCAGCGATGGAAGCCAGAGCCAGGGAGGAGGAACAGCACCGAGCAGATCAAGCTCGTCGTGAAGAACAAGAACGGAAGAGAACGGAGAAGAAAGAAAGGCAAGAGGCCGCTCGGCGTGCGAGAGAGGAACAGAGTCGTCTTGAGCGGGAACGGCGGGCTGCGGAAGAGAGGCGTAGGCGAGAAGAACGGCTGGAGCGTGAGCGTGTCGCTCTTGCCAACCTCGAGGCGAAACGTCGAAGAGATGCTGCCGTCGTCGAGCAATACCTCGTCTCAGATGCTGCAGGTCTCGTCACTTGTTCCGCGGGCCTCGAGGTGCGGCACGTTGTTGCTGGGTTCGACCTATGCAAGATAATCATCAAGAACCTCCCGAAGAACGCCACGCGCGCTGAGATCGCGGATTTGTTCATCCAGCAAGGGGTTCATACCACCGAGTTCTACATCTTTCAGGTCAAGGATGACCCGATGAAGCACGGGGCCAAGCTCGAGGCTATCGTCATCGCGAATGCGGAGTATGGTCAGGCGATTGCGGCTGGACTGGACGAGATCGAGTTTAGAAACGAGAAGCTCAAGTTTGAAGTTAGCGAGAACGTTAGCCATAACGCGATGGCGGCCGGGGGAGCAGGCCGTGGGGCGCCGTTCATCACTATCTCCTGGCGAGCTCCTTTGGAGACGATTATCGCTATGTTCGCAACAGAAGAGGGCGCCCGCGGCTGCGTCCAGAGGATTAACAGTCAGACGCTAGATGGACACCGAATCCGTGCGTCTTTGGATCAAGGACCAGCGAACGTGGCAGCACATGCGATCTCGACGAAGGTCAAGGTTACCGGTTGGCCTATATTACGGATGTATGACCGAGAGTTCGCCGCTTTCCTTGGGTCACAGCCGCTCAGCCTCAAAGCACTTAGGACAGCACCATACAACCATGAGGTTATCATCAACACCCTCCGTGCTAGGGTTTCTACCCAACGTGGCGTCCAAATGGGAACGTACGAGTTCTTGCCGACTACGGGGAACGCAGGCGCTGGAAGCGGGGTGGAGTGGAAGATTAAGGTACAATTTGACGACTGGGAGGACGCCAGGAGTGCTCTTGCCGTCTTCGACAGGAAGAAGCTAGATGGTGGGCCGTACATGCATGCCTGGCATCCCAAAATCCTTCAGTATTTGATCAGGATCCCTGCACAGCAGTACCAGTCGCAGAGGAAAATATGGGACGCACTGGCAGAAAAGAAACCAGGGGTTGACGCGCACGTAGTTGCGAATTATGGGGATCGGGGGGACGTCGTCTTTGTGAAGGTTGTCGGTGACGACAAGAAGGCTGCTGGCTCGCTCAAGGTGCGGGTCGAGAGCCTGATAGCTGGCGAACGGCTCGGTGCGACGTATTGGCACTCTTCATTTTTCTCCAACAGGGACACCAGGCCGCTCTTTGAGCGTGTCCAACGGGAAGCGAAAGTGTTTGTCCGCAGCGATTTCAAGACGCGCTCTCTGAAGGTGTATGGAGAACCGGAAAGAGTCGAAGAGGCGAAGCGACTGATCAAAGAGGAAGTTGATCGCTTAGCACAGCTCGAAACGAGGAGGCTCATCCCGCCAGCCTCTATGCGGTATTTTGTGCGCGAGGGAGTAGCCAGACTTAGAGAGCTTGTCGGGGCGGAGAACGTCGAACTGAACCTTATAACAAGGGAGATGACAATCAAGGGCGGAGAAGAAGCCCGCCACCACTTGCAGCGTCTCATCGAAGAGTCGCATGAACGGAGAGTCTTGGGTGATGCTCTCCCGCTCGCAGATGCCGTCGGGAATGGAGAGAAATCTTGCCCAGTGTGTTTGAACGATACGACCACTGGCGAAGAATTGGGATGCGGCCATAGGTATTGCGCTGACTGTCTTCGGGATTTCCTCAAGTCTGCAGGGGAAACGAAGGACTTCAATTTCCCACTCGTTTGCCTGGCCACCGTCGATAATGCGATGTGCAACGTCCCGGTGGCAATTCCTCTTCTGCGCGCTTTCCTCACCCCACAAGCGTTCGAGAACCTCGTCGAGGCTGCATTCACCTCGTACCTGGAGAAACATCCTGAAGAACTCAAGTATTGTACCACTCCGGATTGCAAGCAAATATACAGGCGATGTCCATCGAATGGCGCCGGGAAGAAGAAAGTAAGATCAGACACACTCCAGTGCCCATCGTGTTTCTCCAGCATTTGTCCAGCTTGCGATGAGGAGGCCCACGAGGGTATGACTTGCGAGGAGAGGCGCATCCAGAGCGACCCAGCGGAACAAGAGCGACTGAATGACGAACTGGCGACGAGGAGTGGGTACAAACGATGTCCACGCTGCAGGATCATGATGGAGAAAACTATGGGATGCAACCACATGACCTGCAGATGCGGCGCGCATATCTGTTGGCGCTGTATGGCTGTATTCGATGTGGGGCAACAAGTCTACGACCATATGAATGCAGCGCACGGCGGAATTTATGATCAAACACCCGCGGGCGTCCAGGAAGCTCGAGGAATCGCTCAGCCAAACGTTAATCTCGTTCAGGAGCAAGTAGAGGCATTTGCGGAGATCGAGAGGCTGAGGGCTGCGAGAGCACGTTGGCAAGAGTATATAAGAGGAAATGCAGAGGCAGAGGAAAGAGCGCGAAGGGAGCGAGCTGCAAGGATTGAAAGGGAGGAAGAAGCCGCAAGAATACGACGGCAGCAGCAACTAGCGAACCAGCAGACTTTTGAGGTAGAAAGGGACCGGATCAGGAGGGAAATCGCGGCGAGGAATGCCGCTGCTGCGAGGGCTCAACAAGAGGAAAGAGGGGGATGGTGCATTGTAATGTAGGGGTCAGACCCGTTTGAGTAGAATATCAGCGATGTGCTAGTAGTACATGTAGATCCGAAAGCAACCTATCACACCACATTCATGGCGTTCTCAAGAATCATTTGCAGGGACCCTTCAAGCGAAGGTATTGGGCCCAACGAGAAACACCGAAGTCGGCTGGAGTTGTCTTGGCTCGAAGCGGGAAAAAGTACTGTACATGCAAAGTGTGTCTTGGATTGCAAAGAAATATAGGAAAAGGGTACAGAAGAAAGGTCGTCTCTGGTCGTGACTATGAAGGTATCATAAGTATATAGATCCAGGAAAGCACGCCAGCGTACTTCATGGTTGATACAAGAAGCCGAGGCATTTACAAAGCCGTCAGACTTCCGCCGGTCTGGGTGGCGTCGTTCCACAGTCAATCCTAGGAGAGAGGAACGATATCCAACACCAAGGCATACATTATGTGCACAACGAACCACGAGAGCTCGGGCAGCGCGGAATAGAAGTCAAACATATTCCATGGTATGCAATATCCTATGGTGTGCGCGTGCGCGTGGGTTTGAAATGTGCGCTCTTCGAGAGCGTCTCTGCGAAGTCTTTGAAGTCCTGCTTCGAGCACGACCTTCCGGGCTATGTGAAGAGCAAATTCATTCGTCAGAACACGCACGTCGAACACAAAGAAAGAGCAAGGGTACCTTTAGAGCGTAGATGACGAGTTCCTGCTTCGTCTCCCCGTCCTTGGTCTCACCAGACGGAGAATCCACGGTCTCTTTTAGAATGATCCGGACAACGTTCTCCTCGGGTACATATGTGCACCGCACCGTAGGCTGCACCCGGACGTTCATCGAGACCTTCCAGAGGGGTTCGCGGCGGAAGACTGTAGCGAGCGGAGGTCAAGACGAGCTCAAGAAAGCATAGAATTGATAAGAACGTACGTAGTCTCTGCTCCGACGTCTTCCGGTCTGACAAGAGCTTGATGTGGCCAGCCACGCCTTCGGCGAATGGCTTCGATCCACGCTTCGTGAAGAGCCGCACGCCCTTGAGCTCCAGTTCGACATCTTCGTCTTCCTCTCCAGTAACATCTATGGGGCAAAAGGTGTTCGTCGGCACTCGTTCCTTGCAAGAGACCCTGCTGCAGGACGGAGAAATGAAGTACTAACGAGTGTACTTCGTGCTCGGTGGCGACACGAGCCCCTTCGCCTCCTCGAGGGCGTGGCTTTCCTCTTTCTTGTTCTTCTCATCCTTTACGAGGTCTTCCGCAGCCTCGTCGTCGTTTTGGTGCGTCTTGAGGTCGCCGGGGGATGAGCTCCAGATAGAGCGCCCGGGCTTTCCTCCAAGAGTCCGAGATTGGGACAGGGATTGGGTGAGTGTGTTCGGGTTCTTGACGGAAGCGAAGGACGACGCGGAACCTGCGAATGCTGCGAAGCCGCCGGTAGATGTGCTCGTCTGTATTGGTCGAGGATGAGAGTGGGTTGAGGATTGATCTGTTGAGTTGGGCTGTGCCAAGACGTGGAGGAGATGGCACGTACGAAGGGCTTGGGCTTGGGCTTCGGAGTCGACGGCAAGGGACTGCGCGAGGCAAACGCGGCGAAAGGGTTGGCCGGAGGTGCTGGAGCTGGAGTCACGGGAAGAGCAGCGACTGGCTCAGGGGTGTGTGCCCGCGTAGGTGCGAGTTCAGGTGCTGCTGCGGGTGCAGGTGCCGCTACCGGGGACTGTGATAATTTCGTTAGAACATCGATTTTAAAAGGAGTCAAAGTGGTTCAAACAGGAGAGGGAAGACGCGGTGGGGCAGCTTGCTCAGGTTCTGGTGCTGGAGACGGCGTTCGAGGAGGCTCTGGGGCCGGAGTCGCGATTATAGGCTCGGGATCTCGAGAAATCATGGGCTGGGATCACAATTGCCATTAGATGGATCGACAAACGAAGATATAACATGAGTTACGATTTGCACATCTGCGGCGGAGGACTCTTGGGAGGTGATCGAATCCAACGTGGTAGCGGGCGTGAGGGCAGGTGTCGTGGCCTTGAAACGATGGAATTAGGACTCCGGAATTTGGGGCGGAGGCGAGAGGGACGCACTTCGGATTCCGCAGTGGGAGTCCTGCTCCTCTTGTTGGGGTAGATGTTGAAGAGGTTCTGCGGGCGTTGAGAGAAAGGCGGTTAAGAATATCCATCCGACTGACATAGGGGTAACCGAGCTTGTCCACGTCCTATAACTCCGTTGATGCGTGTTCAGCAAATGAAGTGGGTAGGTCACATACCTTCTCGGGTTCATCAAATCCGTCGTGCGGAATTTTGCGCTTCAGGCTCCCCTTCCGGGTGGGCGCTGGAAAGATGGGAATAATCGGAGTGTCTTCCAGTGTCGAGGGAGCTTGGATCGAGGTCATTTCCGAGTCCGCATTCGTCTGGGTCTCAATAGCATCCTGCAAATTGGACACCTTTTCCTGGGAGACAGCCTCCCTCGCGAGCTCCTCACGCACGATCTGAGCAGCGGGTCCGGATCTAAGGTTGATAGAGTTAGGGAGATATGAACACACTCCTTTCACAGCAGATACACGTACAAGCTGCCGCTCATCTTGCGGGTGCAGGCGTAGCCCACTGTTGCGGCGAATGTCGCAATCCCAGCAACAACGAAGTTGAAATCGCCAACGGGGAACATCGCGGATGTGGATATCGGTGATGTGGGGATAATCCGAATTCAATGGGGTGACGTTTTTGATAGAAAATGACCAGCTTTTCTTTAAGATAAGAGCCTATCCGTGCACAAGAAGACCAACAGCGACTCACCAATGGAGAATACAATACTGATGATACAAAACGCGCGTTGTTTTGAGAGGTTAGTCGTTGTCGGGGTAGGAAGAGAGATGACTTGAGAAGACAAGAGTACTTATGGTCCCATTTTGTCTGCTTCCCTTCATGTTCGTCTGCCTCGCGTCGAACACGAGTTCGTAGTTATTTCGGGCCGAGGGCAAGAAACTGGGGTGGAAGTAACCACGTGTCCGCGAGGCGCAATAACGAGGCAGACATCTTGCCTGGTTTCGTCGGTTTGAACAGCCTCCAGCAGCACAAGAAATGCGTGTAGGCGGGCGCTCATACGCCAGTCTTCAACGGGGGTGTGCGTTGAAAGACGTAAAAAAGAGAGGACCACAGACTTTCGTCTCCAGTTTTCGGCAAATAAAACGTGCCTGGGTCTGGGGTTCGAAATCAAAGATAGCCGACCAACAGTCCTTGGAGCTCCGGAGGGTTTCGAAAGATAAAGAGGGACCAATGTATCTCGCTTTCCGCGGAAGACAGATAGAGTTCTTGAACCTCGATTTTCCTGAAATTCATGTTTCAAGCTTCGCTGCTTCAGTAACAGTGTTCAGTTTGACGACGTGGTTTCGTCGAAGGTTGTACACAGCCACTGATTGTATTCTGATCGATGATCGTTGGTGCAATTGTTTGAGTTGAAGGTCGAAGCTTCCCGAATTCAAACAAGTATGTAGATCCGGCTCCCGTCGACTCATCTTCACATTTATAACACCCTAACACGACGCCCTGAGCACCGCAGCATCTCTGGGAGATAGAGGGGCAAGACATGGCCAATGATAGTGTCCAAGGTACGTTATCTCCTTCGCCATCCATTCTTTTCAATTCTGAAAGCGATGTAGAAGTTGCTCTCAACCCAACAGTAGATTTCGTCGCGGGAACCATCGCAGTGAGTTCCGTTGCGACCTGAGAGCGGCCCCGAGAGTTATGTATGTTAAGCAAGGGCATGGCTAGTCTGGTGGTCGGATTCCCGTTTGACACAGGTGTGTGAAGGTTGTCTAACATTGGCAAGTTCACATCTAATTCAGACCGATAGTGAAAGTGCGATTCCAGAACCCCTCTGTTTCAGGGAGATATCACTCGACGCTGCACGCCATCTTCACTATCATTCGTGAAGAGAGGTTCATCGGGCTGTTCAAGGGTATCACATCACCTCTGGTGCGTTATCTGTCGAATATATGCGTCTCAAACTGACGCGGCGATCTTGAACAGGCCACAGTAGCACTGATGAACGGTCTCGTCTTCGCATCATACCGCTTTTTTATGAAGCTCCAACTGCCGCACGCCGACGCCGTCCCCACAATAACACAGATAGCCCTGGCGGGTGCAGGCAGCGGGATTGTGTCCTCGTGTGTGCCCACACCCCTCGTTTCGTGAATCAAGCTCAATGAAGCCCTCGGAACGTGCAGGATTGTCACCACGCCCACCGAGCTGATCAAGATCCGCCAGCAGTCGCTGCTCACACGGACGACCGCACGGCAGGTCGCGCTGCATATCTTCCAGGAAGGCGGAGTACCAGGACTCTATCGCGGACTCACAGTCACCGCGCTGCGCGACTGCGGGTACGGCGCCTACTTTGCTGCTGTACGTATGTCTTCGTCCATTCATCTTACTTGACATCGATGACGTTCTCTGATTAACACTGTGTCTTCCTTTTTGACATCTCCAGTATGAAGCCACGTGCCGCTACTTCGCGTCCCCGGTCAGGGTGCCGGACTCGTCGAATATTTATACCCAAGTCGAGACTGAGATGACGAAGCTGTCGTGGTCTGCCATGTTGATTGCAGGAGGCGTCGCTGGTGTTGGTGAGATCACTCTTTCTCTCGCTTCAACCCCTTTTAAATCCATCGTAGCGGGATGGCTAGCGACTTTCCCCTTGGATGTCGTCAAGACACGAGTGCAAGGCACCCAGCCCATCCTGATGCCCGCGTCGCCGGCCTCGACGGCGCTACACCTACCCTCCGCTTCCACCGCCCTTCTGGCTTGCCAGAAGGCCGACTCTGCTGCCATCCCCATGCGAGATGTGAACCCATATAGAACGACTTGGTCCACCATAACTTATTCATATCGTAATGAGGGAATCAAAGTATTCTTCAAGGGTTTGTCACCCACTTTACTTCGGTGGGTACACGTTTATTTTGGCCTTACTCGAGAAGGGAAGCTTATGCAATTTTGGCAGAGCGATTCCTGTGAATATGGTCACGTTTGCTACCTTTGAAGCGGTGGTGCATGCCCTTTCATAGATCACGACGACGACGACGTGACGACAGACCCCAACCCATGTAACCGACCCGACAGGAGGGCGGTGAAGATAGCATGTCCGTCGTTGGTTGGATAATTTTAGTCTTTCCGACGTTAACCGCGATGAACAGGCTCCCGTACGTTTCATAGAGCTACAGTCTAGATGCTGAAGAACGTTCCATGATCTGGATATTTTTGTGCGACTGCGCGAGCTCCTCGTTCTGACCACCCAGTCGGCTCAATCGTCACTGCTGTTGACCTGTTCTCAAGGGTGTTTGCGCTGTGGGTCAAGGAGATAATCCAAGAAAACGATCTGTAATAATTGATGCAGCTCCGCCAGGCATCCAACGCTGCCAGACTGCCGGTCGTTGGCCTCTGGCATTCGACAACCGCTCTGTCACTTGAACGCTGTGTGCGGAGAATGTACGGCCGCGTCAGTCAGTACAACGGCACGGCCCACGTCGATCACGATTCCTTCCTCTGCCGTTGTGACTATGGCTCTAGACTCTCGGCCGTCCGCCTCAGAACAAGGACTCTTGATCACCGTTAATACGAGCCGGTAGGACTCTCGGGCTCGGACGAACGCTGTCATCCGAACTAGACTCTTGAGTTCGTCCACCGGGACACGAACGGGCGAACTAACGGTCGTACGAACGAGCTGGACGCACAGCCTCTTGAACCTCCGGGTCTTGTGCTTAAGACCCCCTCAGGCCGCCGTTTCTCAAGCCCCGTGTAGCCTGAGTTTAGATGCAACTGCGTCATGAATCATGATTCATCTCCAAGCACGGATACCTTCCGTCTTCCCTTCCGTTCTTCGTCTTCTGAGGTCGCTGAATCGAGGTCTGGACCGGGAAGAACATCGACTATGGAACATCGATAGGGTATCTCCTGAGGGGAGGCGATAGCAAGTTTATGCGGTGGGCGTGCCCGTTTTGTGAATTCTCCTAGTCTGGAAGGCAGGAGGCTCTTTGGGGAGTTACGAGCGAATGGGAGGTCTGGGACCGTGCAGGCGTGCGAGAGCTAGAACGCGGGAGCGGTCCTCCAATTGACATTCGTGGAATGCTGGAAGTTGTACGCCCATTGGCTGGTTCGTTACGTCGAAGCCAACGCTCTGCCCTGGCACTGTGAGTGGCCAGTTGAACTCCTGGGCGGGAGGCGATTAACGTATCTACGTGCACTTTAGATGTTTCGGTCGTCTGTCCCTGTCAGGGAAAGCCACTGGGAACGAGGAGACACTGATGAACTATTAGAGTATACCTACCCACAGGTGCAGGAAGATCGGACATGCGTGTGGGCTGACGATCTGCCCTATCGACGCACTTGCCTGAACTTGCGAGTGTGTTCGTGTGTTCGTACAAATGTGCTCTAGCCTCTCGTGACAGAGCACATAAAGATTTTCCAGGCAAGTGGGCTATTAATGCGGGGTATCGATCATCTGCGTCTTCTGGTGTTACTCGTGTTCATGATCGTCGTTTTCGTCGTTAGTTGCCTGGTCTGGCCGTATATGTCAGGTAAATTCATTTCGTTCGACTTTGTCGTTAAAACTTGTGCATTCGAGCGCCAGACAGTGTGAATCCGAGTCGGACCTCTCGCTCTCCTACTCAACCTCGAGATCCCATTACCCTCTGGGAATACAATACGTAGTGAAGAAGGAGATAGAGCACCTGTGATGCATGCTCAGAGGCTAGACCCCATCTAACGTTGAGCTTGAGAAATCGCTTCAAAGAACGGTCAGCTGGTACAAGACGGTATGTCATTGCGCCCACGAATATCTGATGTATGACAGGGGCGTCCTACTAGGGAAGAGATCATAGATTAGTGAGAGTGTATTTGGGTAGGGTCGTGCAAAGCAGGCCGGGGTAATTATAAAATAATGGGCTGTGTGGAATTATTCTCAGCCTTCAAAATTGCCCAACGACCCGCTCGAAGCGACGAACATCCATACGCCAATATTTCCCAACCTCCCACCTCGAACGTCCATACTTACCCTGCACACTCGAGTCCGCCTGACAGTTTGTGGCGCACCCAATGAGCGCTCGCTTACGCCACGCCGGTGTCACGGGCCGGGTCTCGACCCCGGAACTTCCTTGGCGCCTATTACTCACGTTCCCAAGCACCCGATTGGCTGGCGCTTGCCTACCTCCAATTGAGGTTGGGAGGGGAATGAAGATGTGTAATTTGAATTTCGCGCTCTCTTCGGGAGCGGATAAGGAAGATGGGGAGGGTGAGATGGGGTGCAATGTAAGGCTCTGTGTGCTCTGGACTCTCGGGGACGAGAGACAGGTGGTACCGGGGCGAAGAAGGAACGACAAAGTAAGTATCGTACTTAAATTTACTTCGAGGAAGGGGAGGGAAGGTTCAACGGGAGGACTACAGAATCTCGGAAATATTGCAGCACGAGGCTCTCTTACGCCTTCGTATAGCTCCCAGCCAACAGCGAAACCCTCGCCCTGGCCAAGTCACCCTTTGTTCAAACCAAGTGGGCTCGCCCGGGTCTGATATCTCGCGAGCGGGTCTCCTGACGCTCAGAGCTGTCCCTAGCGAATGACAAATACGCAGGTACATTCCAGTTGCAGGTACATTCCGATTTTTTTTTTTTTTTGCATTGCATTGCATTGGCACACTATACTACTTGCGACGGAAGAGCGGGTGGCGGAGGTATAGGTGTAGATATAGGTATGCGGTGAGATGAGATGAGGTGGGTTATGCACTAGGCTACAAACAAGGGGTAGGTCATGATCGAGTGGGGGGTGGTTGTAGAAGTACATATGAGATGCGGAGAGTAGATGTATGTGGGGGGAGTAGTGATGTGTGCGCGTGTAGATGCAAAGTGTACCGAGAATCCAGAGAGCTAGTGTGAAAAACCAAGAAAAAGCGGGAGAGCAAAAAAATATCATATAGCACAGATAGCGAGCAGAGAAAAAAAATATAGAGCAAGGAAATCCAGGAGAAGAAAGATTAGAGAATAGCGAGGCGAGAGACGAGAGTGCGATGTGGCGACGTGAGTGTATATGTTACAATGCGTGCGTTTGTGAGTGGGTTGGGTGGTGAGGTTTATGTTCCGTGGTGAACAGGTTCCACCTGCGCGCTGTGTGTAGCGCCGCAGGTAGATCTAGGTATAATTTACAGGTGTTGTCGTCGGTCATGTGCGTTATTGTCGTCGTCAGCGGTTGGAGGGTCGAGAGGGGGTGACGAGATGAGGCAGAAGAGCAGGAGGGGTATGTGCATGGTGGGGTAACAGTCGTCAAAGTTGGATCCATCCGTCCGTCCATAAGAATAACAGCACAATCGCCAGAGCGCGTCCAGCCCAGCTGCGCGTCAAAATCCAGAAATGTTCCCCTTTAACCACACACATCCATCGCATCCTCATCGTCCAGCACCACACCCTCCTTCTTCGCTCTCGCGTACAGCGCGTCCTGCTCCGCCTCGTTCTGCGTCAGGTTCGCCAGCGTAAGGAGCGCCTCGGCGAGCAACGTGCGCAGCTCGCGGTCATCCGCATCTTCCTCCTCTTCTCCGTCTTCGGGCTCGGGGTGCGCGTGCAGCTGGTGCTGGTGCGCCGAGGACGGGCAGACGACGTTGTACTCGCCCTCTAGGGCACCTTCGGCGGGCAGCTCGACGTCCGCGTCCTCATCCGCGTCTGCGGAGAGCATGAGGACGTTGCCTTCGCCGTCCCGGTCTTTGTCTTTGGCATCTTTCCCCTCCTTGCCCTGTCTCTCGCGCTCTTTCCTGTCTCGCAGCACCCCACGGGCCTTGTCCAAGAACTCCACAGCGTCCGCGAGCACCTCTCTCGCCTCCTGCGCCTCCTCGCTATCCAGCACGCCGCCTCCACCCATCGCATCCTCCTTCTCCATCGCCTCTTCGACGCCCTCTGCACGTGCTGAGCCGATGACGAGGTTGCATCGGCCTCTCGCGGCGAAGATGAGGCCTTTCCACGCATCGTCAACATCTGCGACCTCCACCTCCATGCGCATCTGCGAAAAGACGCCGTCGGCCCAGTGCGCCCACTCGGCGCGCTCGGAGGGCAGGAAGAGCTTCTCAGAGATGAGTAACACCTCGGAAGCGATGGTGTACAGCTCCTTGGCGCGCGAGAAGGCGGTAGGCGGTATTGATGCTGCTGAAGACGACGAAGACGTTGACGGGGTAGTGCCAGTCGAGGACGAGGAAACGCTAGATGCCGTGGGCGGAGGGTGTGGTTTGGTGGTGGTGGGTGTAGTTAAGGGTGTCGAGTTCTTGCTGCTCTTGGTCGACGAACTCGCTGACGCAAGGCCCCAAAGTCGTTGATAGCGGTTGCTCCCCGGCGCATGGTGCTGTGGGTGCGGCATGTGGAAGATGCCCCTGGAGAACTGGTCCTGTGCGAGGACCAGCAGCTCGTGGGGTGTGACGGTCGCAAGGGAGAGGGGGCGGGACACGGGCGGACGGCGGGAGACGATGAGCGCGAACGGGCTCTCGGATGGCCAAGCAGGCTCGTCGGGGGTGCCGGGGTTGGAGCCGGGGGAGGCGGGCGTCGGCATCATCGGGAACGGCATCCCCGACGGGAAGGCGGAGGGGAACGCGGCGGCCGGCAACGGGAGGAAGGAGAAGGTCGATGAGGAAGCAGAGGACGGCCACGAGCCCGAGGAGCCCGCCGAAGACGGCTGGCCCGCGGGTCCAGAAGCACCGCGGCCTTCTTGCATCTGCTGCTTCTGGCGCGAGAGCACCTCGTCCGCGATGCACGTCAGCGTGCGGCCCCACACGATTGCCATGCGCCAGTCCTCTGGGGCACTTGGACACCCCCGACCAGAAACTCTTATAGGTAGATTTTCTCCGATCTCAAAAACATCGAGTGCAGTGAGCCAGTACGGTGTCGGCAGCGTTGGCTCGCCTGGCAGGGCGAGGGAAGGGTCCTGTGCAATGAGGTTCCCAAAGAAGAACAGCGTGGCACCAAAGATGGTGTGGAAGGCGGTTGGAAGATCTTTGCATTTGCTGCTGGAGGCATTAGCGAAGGCGGAGGAAAAGTAGCAACACCGCCGACGCACCATTTTTTCTCGTTATCAGATGGTGCGATGATGATCGGGTCGGCGGTCTGTGCGGCCTTGTGCGATGTGCGTGGCGGGTAGAGCGGTGGCCTCTCGTTCGTCATCCAGTCGCGGATCATCTTCTCCTCAGGCCCGGTCGTCGTCGTGTGTGCCGTTTTCTCAGGTAGCGGTTGCGTAGCGTAGAGGACGGAGGGGTCCTGGTAGAATTTCATGAAGCGATGGCACTCGTGTATCACCCCCCTCAGCAGCGGGATCGTCTCCGCCGGCTCCTGAGCTGTGGGCGGGTCAGCTGCGATGCCTATCGGGGGCGATCATCTGCGAGAGCACGCACTGTCATACATCTCAGCGGCCTTGGCGAACAACTCCTTCAGGTCCTCCCAGTCCTCCAAATCACAGTTGGGCCCCCGGTCGGCGGCGGGCTGGCCGGGGCCTGTAGTCGCGGACGTATCCATGAGCTTGGTGCGCGTCGTCCACTTGTTGAGGCGCTGGGGGTTGGGTGGGCTGCACTTGCGGGAGTAGTCCCAGTAGAGCACGCTGGTGGTGTCTTCTGGGGTCGGGGGCGAGTCCGGGGAGCCCAGGCGGCGGCGTTTGCGGGAGCCGTTCGAGTAGTCTGAGCGAGCGTCGTCGTCGTCGTACCCGCCGTCGCTGGAAGCGGTGTCGTCGGCGGTGAGGGCGGGTGTGTGCCTGCGCTTGTCGTACGATGCAGAGGGGGCGGCGGAAGTGGTGGCCAAACGCGGGAAGGAGCTCCCACGGCCCTTCCACAAGCCCCTTGGCCGAGGCCCGGGCACGCCCAGGGAGAGCCCCACTGGCCGCACCCCCATGCTCGTCGTCACCGGCGGCGGCGAGCAGCAGCTGCTACCCAGCGCCGGGAAGGGCATTTCTGTGCGGTATGACAGGCGAGAAGCAGAAAATCAAAACACAGGCCCCAGTCCCACCGCGCCGCCTATATATTTCGAGCCAACAAAAAAAGCGAGACCCAGCGTAAAAGCCAGGCCTCCCCCGCAGAGAGCCCGGGCCTCGAACATCTCCACAATCGCGGCCCGGACTTATCGGCATCGCTCCTCATTGGCTCACACCGGTTGCACGGAGACGCCGGCGCTCTAGACTCGCATCGTGAATCGATTCTGGACTGCTCTACACCTGTCCCTACACCCGCCGGCCCCCCTTGCCCCATTTCTCAACAAGGAACCCAGTCAGATACTCGTAGATCTCCCGCTGCGCCCCGCGCCGGCTGATGCTGTGGTCGCTGCAGCCAATCATCTCAGTCTCCCTCTCCCAAGCCAAACCAAACCAACTCACCTGTCCGTGAACATCCTGAACCGGTACTTCCTCACCTTTGCCGCCGTGAGCATATCCAGCAAGTGCGCCGAGTTGGCGTAGTGCACATTGTCGTCTCCGCTCCCGTGCGCCAGCAAGTAGTCTACTTCCTTGAACCCCTCCACGTTCGAGACCGACGCGTTCACGTACCCGCCCTCGTTAAGGTTAGGCAGGTTCATGTACCGTTCCGTATAAATAGAGTCTGTCCGACCAATCGTCAGCGTCTGTCAACCCGTCCTCCAATCCTGGACAACATACCGTACAGACGCCAGCTCGTCACAGGCTGTAAGCGAAATGATTGGTTAGCTGCCATCGAAGCGCCACCGCCGAAAGAACCTCCCACTCAACCCTCGCGTGTCTCATCGTGGACGTTGTGGGTGGAGCAGAGGTCCAGACCTCGCGATATGAAAGACAGATATGGACGACTTACAGCAACTGCCATCGCCAACGAATGGATCTTCGCTCGCGCCTCCACCACTTTCGAGCTCATGAACCCGCCATAGGACTGTTGGTTCGCGTAAGTCATATGCCAAGTCGACCGAAGAAGCACGAATGACGGAGGTCCAGAAAAGAACCAAGAACGCCAGAACCGCTCTAAGGAAAGTCACTCACCCAACCCCAAATGCCAATCCGCTTCCTATCGACATACGGCTTCTGCGCCCAGGCTCTGTAGATGCGAAGGCCAATGAGTAACGCGAGCGAGTCGGGAAGTAGGCAGTTAAGATTCAAGAAAATGGGTAGGCAAGTGAAGTGATGGAATGCGACGCGGCACAAGAGAAGACGGAGATATCAGAGACGTGGAAGGACATCATCAGAGACAGAAGACAGAAGGGCTAGCGAGAGAAAGGAAGGGAAGGAACGATGTTGGGAAGGCCCGCGATTGATTGGCTGGCCGCTATCGACCAACCGGATTCGCGGGACGGAACACACGGTGGGTGGTAAAGAAAGCGAAAGAAAATGCTGAAGAGAACATCAAGAAAAAGAAAAAGGTTAAGGAGAGAGGAGAAGAGAGAAGAGACGAGACGGAGAAAGGGTAGGAGAATCACCGAAATGACGGAGAGGATACGCCAACGGAGGGAAATGAAAGCCACACGCGATAGAGAGGGGAAGTGAAATCAGGAAGACGGCTGGAACGAACGGCAGGCCACTCGCGCTCGGTCGTACCGGTCGACGGAAGTGCATCCCAGAGGTCTGGACGGAACCAAACACAAAGTTGACTGAGAACAGAAAGCGCGACCCGACCATCTACCCTCGTGTCTTCGCCCGTGGCCCATAGCCCGTTAGGGCCAAAAGACAATTAGAGGGCCGCTGGTAGCCATCCAACAGCAACACCCAACACCCAACACCGCGCATCGAAATTCCCTGATACCCATTCACTGCGATGAAACGAAACGACGAGAGGCGCGCATCGATCCATCTTTCCATCTACGAATATAATGTCACAAGCAACAAGGCAACAAGCAACAAGCAATAAGCAACAAGAGTACGCCTTGTTCATCATCGACTAAGCTCAGCCTCCGAGCCGCCGTTCACCCACGAAAACGGGAAGCAAAGAACAGAAAACGAAGAACGAAGAGCGAAGAACTGAGAACAAGGTTGTCGATGACGACGATGACGACAGACAGAACGGCGCGGCGAGAGCTAACGAGAGGCTTCGTGTGATACGCTCTCACATCATGCAGATAAACAGAAGATGGAAGGGAAACCCAGACGCACAACAAATATGATCACGAACGAGCGAACGATAAACGGCCAGCCATCAGGCATCAGCCAGCAGCCAGAGAAGAAGGAAGAACGAGCGGGCAACCCAACGAACCCAACCAACTCGAACGCCAACACCGCCGGCAAATGCCACGGGCATAACGTCGAACTTCCTTCCCTGCAGCAGCAAGGTCTGGGCCGGCACGCGCGCTGCGCCCTGTGCACGCGGGCGCTTGACGCGGGACGTATTCGTACACTGTATACTTAGCACCGTGTTGGTGCGCAATGCAAGTGCGACGAACAGCTGCCAGCTGGGAAATGAACTGTGTAGGTTGCGTAGGGCGCAGCCTCGTTTGAGGTCGCGCAGGGTATGCAGGTGGCACACGAAAATACGCGAAGAAGCCAAGAAAGAAACGGGAAAGAAATTGAAGGAAAAGAATGAATAGAGAAAAAATAAATAAACAAAACGAAAGCAAAACAGAGAAAACGCAATGCAGAGAAAGGAACGAAAGACTCACTTCGCAGCAGCGATCTGATCCACTGTCTCGAAGAAACCAAGGTTGTTCTTGACCGTGTTGCGCAGCTTGCGGCCCTTGTATCCCGTCCCGCGCCCATCGACAGTCACGATGATGTACGAGTGCGCGCATGCAAGATACTCGTGCCAGTCCCGCGTGAAACGCTGGTCAACCAACTGCGAGGCAGGCCCACCATACCTGTTGGGCGGTCAAATGTCGGTCGAGGTCGAGTCGGTTGTGCGAGAAGGGGTTGGAGGTCGGTTCGGGTTGAGTGGACCAATGGGTAGAATCATTAATCGAGATTGGGGGTTGCAAACCAGGAGGAACGATCAAGCCGAAGGCACAGACGAGTTCGTAACGTTTACATTGTGCGCAGCGTGTCATATATCCAGATACCGAGGGAGCAGGACGATGGGCCAGACAGGTTCCAGGCGCGGGGTGGTGTCGGAAATAGACGTCGCATGAGGTGGTGATGGATGTGTTGGAATGATTTTGGTGTTTTGGTGTTTTGGTTTTGACAGACCGCACCAACACCACGGTACAGTGCAGCAGTACATCGTTCCATTCCGAGTCCGGATGGTGTAACGAAGCCGCACACGGCCCATAGTACGAAGCACGTCGGTGTGCATAGTATCGTTGGAGCCAGAAGGCACAACGAGTGGTCCGAGACAGTTTGTAGGACATAGGCGCCGAAGGTTATAGCATGAAGGAGCGAGGAAATGAATGAAAAAAGAGGGGAGAAGGCAAAGTCAGCCAATCGCACTGGATAGACCGGACTAGACCACATACACGCGGAATAGGACGGGGTACTTCCTGCGTCCTGAGTCGTCCATGCGAGGAGGTCGGAGCTCTTTTACGTTGAACTCTGTTTCATGTAAAGAATAAAATTAGCAATGGCGTCGAGCATGAATGGGTGAATGGATTAGAGGCGTAGAGGGGTGATAAGAGGAAGGCGTTCGGTAAGATCCAAGTCGTCGATTGGGGGACGCAAGCAGGAAATAAAAGGAGACGCGAGGGATAAGGCAAGGCAAGGCAAAGGTACGCACCAAACCCTTCGTTAGTAAACGTCGTATGGACGGTCGTCGCAGCTTCGTACTCCACTGTCGCATTCCTCAGCCGTTCGTTCAACTCAAGCACATACTCAAACGCTAGAGTCCATGAATTATCAACATTTAATCCATCCAACAAGGCCAAGCTCGTTCACTCACACGGCCGACTGGTATCATACACCTTCGTCCAGGGTATATCCGGTCCAGTGTAGGTCAGGACGTAAAAGCCCGCCTCAGGCGAGAATCTGGTGCCGTAGATCGACGGGTTCGACGTGTCCGTGAGGGGCTTGGGCTCAGCGGGCTTCTCAGTGGCGGCTGCTGAGCTTGAGGAAGGCAACGCGATGGAGAAGAGGTGACGTTCAGTGGAGGGTTTGGCGGCTGTGAAGTAACTAGGGCAAAGAACGAGAGAGTAAGTGTGGCTCCAAGAGATAAATGAATGAATCGAACTCACACCAAGCCAGACTTCACATCGACGCCTCTGATCCCACCCGTGACTTCCCATTCTCCCGAAGTAAGGAAGGTTGGTTGGCTTGAGTCTCCAGGGCTGAAGAGAGCAATGTGGTTGTAACCTTCCTTCGTGGGCACGATGTCCAAGTAGGAGCTGGTTCCCTCATAACCAGCAACCGACGCTGGCACAGGGAAAATGAACTGGTCCTAGAAAGCATCAAGAAAATCAGAGAGCGAAGGACACGTATAATCAAGAAACGAACGGCGTCGATCCAACCATCGTCACCCTGCTCGCCATTCTTTCCAAGCTTCCTCACCACCCTGCCTCGATCCTCACTTTGGCCTGTATTCGCATTCAACTGGAACAGGATAACGTTTCCGTCATCCGCATTTCGGTTGACCTCCTTCACGATGAGGGTCGCATTACCGATCCAATTAACCTCTTGTATGATACTGTCATCCACAGAATGCCGACCATCCCAATCGAGCGTCAAAGTCGAGTCCTCTGGGGGAGCGTCTGAGTTGTCTAAGTGTGCTGCGAGGTCGAAGACTTGCAGCGACGCAAGAGGGTTTGGATAGCCTGGTTTCGGATACTTCATCACAACCTCGGTAGTGTAGGGTATGACGGCGTTCGAGTCCTCCGTTGGATTGTATATAGGGAAAGTGAACTCTGGAACGGCTGTTTCGTCCAGCGTCAAGAATGCAACCTTGTTTGCGTCGGGCGACCACCACAAAGAAAAGTCAGAGGAGAACACTTCCTCCTCGTAGACCCAGTCCGGCACACCATGGAAGAGAGAGGTGTTGCCTGTGGATGTTACGCGGATTGGCCGGGTGGCAGGTCTGAAGGAAGGAGGTCAGTCAGAAGAAAAACACAATCGAGGTTACTTACTCAGCTGAAGGAAGGACGTAGAGGTCGTTGTCCAAAACGTAGGCAATCGCATTTCCTAACGGCGCCCATGTGGCGTACGCCGTCCTCGCAGGGAAAGAGGGGTGGGTTATAGGATATGACCTCTTCTCTTCGATGTTGTGGATATAATAGTTCGAGAACCCTGAATGTCGCCATTGCTAGAAACAGAATGACGCTGAGAGACATATCTACAATTTGAATGATAGCCCAGACCTTGCGATAGTCGGTCTTGACGAGTAGATATTTCGTGTCGTGCGACAGCTTCCAGTCGTCGATAGTGAGGGTATTTCCACGCTCCTGGGACAGGATTAGAACTATTTTCCAACTAGAAATAAATAACCCTACATCCTTAACATCCACTGTCGCGACAATGTTGGCCGTCGTATTGGTCTTGAGGTCCACGAGTCTGATGAACCCCCCTTCTGAAAGTGAGAACACTCCGTCTCCGGCTATAGGTACGTCATCAGGAAATGAGGTATTGACAGAGCATTTGGATACATGTATACGCACCTTCTGCCACCCAGTTCAGGTTTGGTTGACTTGCGGCGAAAGTTCCGTCGAAGATACTGTCCATGGTGAGCCTCTTCCGTCCAGCCTCCCCGAGGAGTCCCCTCCCTCCAGGTGTAAGATAGGATGTCCCAGGATGTGAGAAGCCGGCAAGAATTCCAATGATGGTAGCGAGAGAAACTAAGGCGAAAAGTATAATTGCAAGCACGCGAATAGATGAGTTTTTCTGGAGCACAGCATGATGGTCAGCATACACTACGGAACACAATTCCTGAACGCCGCGCACCTGTTCAGCCTCAGACGTCCTCCTTGGCCCGGTTTCTCCTCTCTCTGCCCTCCCCGGAGTTGCAGGCCCACTGAGCAAAGAGATTGTCTCCGCGTCGTCATCAGTGTTTCCGGTTTGTGCGACTTCCTCTTCGTCGTCCGAACTTGGCGGGTCGAACGGTCCGTCCCCGTAGTAAACTTGAGGTCTGTTCAGCAACGGATCCGCGAACGCCAGGTTTTTCTGACGCATTTCGATCGTAGTAGACGGCCCCCCATGGTCAACGAGAGTCTCCTCGCCTGAGAGACGCATCCTAGTTGATGGAAGCAGAAGAAGAGGTGCCCGACTCTGACAACAGGCGGGAGTTGTAGTAGAGATGCGTAACCCTAACCCTCATCTAGTAGTCCCATGTGTCCCACAGCCGCCCAGCGTCTTGGGCACAGCCTCCCGCCGTCTTCTATCGTCCTACCCTCGAGGGCGCTAACCTCGTGAGTGAGGCATTCCCCGCAGGGACGTCCTGATAAACACAAATTTCGCAGGATTACACAATGCATTCGTCCTTGTCCAACGCTGGTCCAACGCTTTTGGATGGAAGAAAGATAACAGCTCCCTCGACGGAAAATTCGAAGCAGTGTCACCGCATGTGTCGTCCTGCGCCCGCCACCTATTTGGAGTTTGATCGGAAGGCCAAGGAACGGGGGAGGCCTTCGTCCCCAGAGGTCAACCGGTCACTACTGGCTGCAGCTGGCTGCAGGAGCTACACCAGCCTGCCCCGAATTTTACGAACCCCACACTTCTTAGACACCGATGCGTATATCCTCCCTACGGACACAGTTATTCGACGACGCCGTCTCAATCCCACGGAGGAGCTGGTACTCGTCCTGGCGTGTTCTTAGGCCATCGTGGTGCGAAGCGCACAACTTCCGATATGCTTTTTCCATGTGCAAGGATTCTCAACTATCTGTCACTCGACACCCTTGGCATCATACATCCACACTGGATGACAGGACCCCTGGCAATAGCGGGAGAGGCCTGATACGAAATCCAAAATTTTTGTCCGGACAGAGGTCCAAAATTTGTCCGGATTGTATGAGGCCTTCAGGCAGAAATGGCCCCAGAAGTGCCGTTTTTGGCCTGCCAAGAGGTCAGATTTTCCTAAAACCTCCGGCTGGGGACGAAATCCCAAATTTTTGTCCGGACTTGCGCCAGGCCCATCCACCATTTGGGCCAGATTTGTCCGGATTTGCACCTGGCATTTTCGAAAAATTCTCCAAAATTTGTCCGGATTGGTATCAGGCCTCTCCCGCTATTGCCAGGCGTCCTTGGATGACCTACCATAAGAGTCTGGGAAACTCCCGAGGAGTTGACATGGGTATGCTCCCCTCTGGATTTTGTGTGCACTGCAAAGAGACCCGCGAGCCTCTCAAAATTTACATGGTGCTACATATTCTATCTTGCATTCGGCGCATCAATCCACCTCTTGTTATCGTCTGTGCCTTCGTAGTTTTGTGCTCGTTGTTGACTTCCTCGGCCTGAAAACTGTGGAAAATGCCCTCTTGTACTGCAATGGGAATTGGTCGGTTGGTGCTACATGTAACACAACGCCAGAGACTATAGTCATTACCCGCCCATCCGCTACTCAGCGCGTGTAGGACCGGTCGTCATTGGTCGTAGTCAATTTGGTGCTGACGAACTGCTCATACGATTTCCTGCTCGTACTCCTGCACACGTCCTGCCAAACGCCATACGTCGCGCGCAGGATGCTCTATGCCCGGGAAGGGCGTTGGAGCAATGGATGACAAGGTACTGGAGGAGATGTTCTCGGTGCGTACAGTATCGCCTGGCGCGTCGTCGAACTTGGGCAACACGTCGAGGTCTTGATTTTTTTATGTGTCCGCCGTCATAGTCCCTGTCCTGTACCACGTTATTCACTTTTCGTCCCTCTACAGTCGGGCGTCTTGAGTCCACCGATATTTCTTTTTCATTCCTTTTACGCCCAGTACAATAATCGGAAGACCTCTCTGTTGGCTTACTCCCAACACACTCCTTCCTTTAGTCTTGATAGGTTTCTCTCCGAGAGCGTTGATCGTTTGAGAATGAACCAGTCGTCGTCCTTTCTATGCATATCTTGAGGCATTTGTTGGGTGTATCATGGTGGCATTCACCAGCTGTGTCCGCTTGGAGCCTTGTCTCCAGCCCTCTCCAGCCTTCTAAAGTGAGCGTATTCGTAACCCTAACCCCAATTTGGTAGTCCAACAGCGACGACCGTGCTCATTGTTTTGATCCCGACCATCACCATCCAAATGACAATGCTATAGGCATTCTAGCCCAGACTCGGGAATATACACCAAAATGGCTCCAGCGAGGACTACGCTGTCGAATTGGGACCCAATTCTGCTCTTGTCCCAGGTACGTCATGGACAATTCGTCTCAAGGTTTTCCTATGTTCATTTTATGGTTTTTAGATTGTGTCTATGCAGACATTACATTATTTAACACTATGCGTTATTACACCCCCTCTATTAGCGACGTTTGCGGAGTCAACATCACTTAATTATGAAGGCGGAGCAGCAAGTGTGGGTGCGTTGTATTCTCTGTTCCTGCAGGGATTTGCCTCACCAAACTCACGCAGGAATGATCATGGACTGGCGAGAGATGGCAGGACGGCCAACGGTTGTCGGAATGCCGATAGGAGAGAGATGGTGGGCATGGAGCGGTGGCAAGAAAGTGGGATACGGTTGGAAAGATGACCAATACAATGGTACCATGGACCCGATGCGAGGCTGGATAATTGCCTTCTGCTGGCTAGTGGCGTGTTCGGCCGAGTACGTTCCTTCAGTTGATTCGACTACTCGCCCTAAAATTTTGCATTCATAGCATCTATTACCTGTACAAAATCGTTCGCCGACCTCGGCTCATCCTCGATTTCGCGCTGACTTTGGTTTTCAACCACTTTGTCCTAACTGCATACTACGCAGCAGCAATACCAACATCGCTATTCTTTTGGGCCATAGTTTCTGGTGGTGCCGTTCTGACTGTCACCTTCGCTGAACAACTCTGCGTCAAACGCGAGATGTCAGAGGGGCTAAACGTGATGCCAATAAGAGCGGAGGATCAGGCGGTGGAAGAGATGGAGATGGGTGGCTTGCTGCCCAGGAATGATTAGATCTCTTGGATACTTTGGGCTATATTACGACCAGGCAAGGGTACCGAATTCATCTCTTTGTGACCCTTGCTAACTTCCGGTCCGCTATAGGCAGATGCCACTATGGACTCTAGAAGACATGTATTACTAGTTCGACCGAATGCGATTAATGACGGTGTGGCAGATCAAATCGATATGAAACTTGCGCTGGCAAGGCGCGATGGTGCTCGTGCTTTCCTGGAAAACCAACAAGACTTTGTGATTCCGAAGAGAGAGATTACGATGTGTCACGGTGGGATCGTGAAGTCAAACTCCTTTTCTAAAACTTTTCGAAGTCCCAGGGTTTTTTTTTTTATGGCTTTTAGACTTTTTAGGCCTCATAGGACTTCATAGGGCATGAATGCTGAACTACCTGCACACAACGTGCTGCTTACACCGCTCATAAATCATGGAAAGTTATGAACAGACCCGAAATGTCGCCGGTGCACTTCATTTCTCGACCCGATGTTAAAGACGAAATACGGCAAGCTCATTCCTTTCAGATAGAAACAGATATTACCTCACATTCAAGCTACTTGTTTCTTTTTCAGATTAGTCTGAGGCGAATGAACTTCACGATAGACTTTGTACTTTCAACCAATCACATCGTGGTCACTGTTTATTCCTGCTTACATAACCGACTCTTGTTTCTCTCCTCCACTTTCACCATCGTTTGCAACGTCACACTAAAATGCCCGTAAAAAAACTCATCGGGCGCTCAGTTGACGTTGTCGGGCGCTTATATACCGTATTCAACACCTCGGGCGGTCGTGAATGCTCGTCTGAGCGTTGATGACTCGTGATCTTGTCATCGATGGCAATCAAGGGCATCGATGGCAATCAAGGGCATCGATTGGATTTTTGCTTTCGAACATCGACCAATATCGTCCTGTGTTGAGGGCTTTAAGTTAAGTGACTATCTATTTCATCTGTCGATGTCCAGACCGTCTTTCAGCTCCATCGAATCTTTTCCGTGTAAACTCTGGTGGAGTGTCGGATTGGCGAATGTTACGGCACCTGGTCAACCTCCTCCGAGCAAGGGCTCTGATCGACCATTTACCGGTTCGCCGTCCTGAAGTACGCCACTCAGAAGGAAACTCTTTCTTCGCCGTCGGTCCGATTTCTGTGTTTCATGATGGACAACTTTTATGAATGTCTCGAGGCACCGCCTATTGCGCATATTCTCTACCGTTGGGTCTGTGTTGCCTATTCTTGGACGCCGTCTTTCTTGGGTGTTTATACCCTCTTCCCTGTGTCAGAACGTCTGATGAGGCAGGGAACTTCGAAGGAAGCCAAGGGGGGGCAATACAACCATCTACTGAAGCCAGGAAGGATCTTTGCTTGTTTTCATCGTTCGACTCATACTTCGGCACCGGCCTTGCACGTTCTGCGCCTCTTTCTCGCCGCAAAGTGATCCTTTCCTCTTCGACAGGACACCTACAATTCACCGTGCCCGTGATCTACGCCTGGACGGAGAATGAAATCTCATCCGGAAGCACTCACGTCATGTTTCTCGTTCTTGCGATTTGATAGGACTCGAACACATATTTTACTGGGGGGCAAACTCGCAATAGGTACGTAAACCTTATACGATAACACGTCCCCGGATAAGATGCTCTAACATATGTGACTCTGCTCACTAAATTCGTCCCAGGCCGCCGCCAGCGTCCTAGAGGATCCAGCATTGCTCATCTCCCGGCGTGCCACTTCCTATCTCCGCCTTTTTTGAAAAATAGATGACTTCTTTGTGAGCGCGGTTTTCCTGGGCTGTGATTGCCATATAAATTTTCATTTTTTCCTGTATTAAAGGCTCCGTGCTTTCCCGAGGCCGCTATATCCACGCCACGGGAGAAGTTTGTCTTGCAAGAGATGCGCTCACGATGAGGCCCCGAGGCGTGTTAAGTTTGGCATCGAGAGGGGCGGGCCCGATTAAGCAGGTTTTCTGGGTGCGAAGATTTTTTATATGATTCCTGACATCGCTTGAAAAGTTCGGACTTGATTGCAGCATGTCGCCCTTTGTCACACTTCGAGTCCCAGAGAGTGGTCGTGTTTTCGTTTGGCCTCGTATGTCTGTGCTTCTCCTGTCGAGTACAATCTCGCTAATATGAATAAAGGGTCAGTCAACGTCGCAGAACCACTTGGCCTGAGGATCTTCGACAGCATCTCGGAGTCTTCTCGTTTCGCTATTGTTCTTCTAGGGGAGTAACTCTTTTAGGTTTCATTCTGGGGGGCGCACCCTGAAGTGACCGAATTATGGTGGACACAATAAGGCGCTAATCATTGATGATTCTCTCCTGTACTTGGATTCTGGCCAGTACTGACCCTCATCAGCCAGATGGGTCGCGAGCGTATCTGACGAAGTGCCTTCCGAAACTTGAGAACCCCGTTTTCCTCTGGGCTGACTCGGGGAAAGGCACGTTGCATGGTCATCAGGCGCGTTTTGCCTAGAACTATGACTGGTGCGCGCTCTGGCGCAGAGAATTGCATTGGTAGCTCATTGCTGTGTTGAAGGAACGTGGACCCACCACTCTCCAATCTTGGCCATCTTAGCCGTGATAACGGTTCAAGAGGCGGATTCGGCCGTCGAACCCGGCCCATTGTTTGATCTGGACAAACCATTTTCGCGGATATTTCTCTGGTCAATACGGTCAATAGCTCTCATCCATTCCAACGATAAACTACTGCGATAATGATATGATTCATATCGGGGACTTTCTGGTCAACAGTGAGTGCCTTGTTTGCAGTGAAGCATGCTTTAGAGAGCCCCAGCTGACCATTCGTGCGCTGCGGATCCCGTAGCTTTTCAAGATACTCATGTTTATGATCGAACAATTGGTCTTCTACTCTGACTACTTTCCTGTGGGATGTGAGAGTATCATATCAACTCTTGTTCACTTGTCTCACTTTGGCGTTCATCTTCATCCACGATCCCCACGCCAGTCAATCGAAAACAGAATATGGTGAGTGTAGTTTATGTTGCTTTGAACGATTGTCGCAATATCAGATCATTAGATGGATCTCGACACCTTTCTCAGCCCAATTAGACACCTGCAATTTGTCTGAATCCTTGTTTCGCTGTAGCTGGCGTGTGCGCGTTACGCCGCTCTTGGAAACTGGAGCAAATAGGAGTTCATATCTCGCATTATCCTGGTCTGGTGACTCTTCTTCGCTCTGGCGTCTCGCAAGTTCGGGCCGGTGTTAATGGACAATTGAGAATTGGCGACCTCATTTATGTACGCGAAGAAGAGTGCTTGCATCGAGGCAGCAAGTCTTGACCATCGTACGAAGTGGCGGACCTACATGGAGATGGGACGTGGAGTGATTACGTCCTTCGGCCGACGAGATGATGAAGCGTTGCTTGCTCGCCAGTACACGTCAACGAACATCCCACTTCTTAGGTTGCAGGGCAAGGTGTCTCACATAGCGAGTCTTTCTGCCTGGTGCTTCATTTCCTTTAGCCTCGATGCATGGCAAACCATGTGGGTGTTAAGGTCGGTGGTCGGATTTGGCTGGGCGGAATCGCAACCGGTCAGGTGCTATCACGCCACTGCTGTTCAGGCTTTTGCTTGTATGACTCTGGAGAACCTTGGGCGCTACGGCGAGCATGGAAATTGAAGAGATGAGAATGGAAGAGTTATCTCAAGGTATTCCCTGCTATGTGGCCGTTTGACATGTGTTGATCTCTTGATATTCCGATTTCTAGTCTCGGGTTAATAGAGGACATATGGATATAACGAATCAGGGAAAATGACCCTTTTGCGAATGTGACACGGCTTCGATTTGGTCCTTTCGTGCAATTCTGGCCTACCGGAATTGTCTTTTCTTCCAACTGCGCTTCCTGGGGTGCGTCAGAACCTCTCACACATCTTCATAGAGTGACTAAGTTGGGTTAGAAAAGAACAACGGACGACTGGTCTTGCGGTTGTAGGCGTCGACGTGACTCAAGCTTGAAGCTTCAGGGACCATCTGTGGGTGCACGAGTCCAAGCATAGATCCCCGTATAGCAATTGAATCTTTCCCAGCCGCTGCCAGGGTCCTATCTTGTGTAACCGATAGACCTCATTTTGACGCCACCATGCAGGTTCGCATTGGAAGAAAATCTCTCTAGGGACAGGTAAGGTGACCCAGAATGGCTCAATCCTTGTGGAAATGGAACTGTGGTCGCTTTTTAATCATGGCTATAGGTGGGCTCTATGGTTGATCTTGGATGCAGATTTTGGACGGGAGGAAATACACATCGGAGGAAAGGTTCTAAATAGTGCGCGGCCCGCGGATTCTCGCCTGCCCTGCAATCTTCTACGACACGAGGCGGCCTTCATCAAATCCCATATAAGGGGTACGCGTAGCCCACCTGGCGCGCCCTCTCTCTCTTCTCCTCTCTCCTTCTGCCTCCGCTCTTGCCACTTACGACCATGGACACTTTCAAGAGTTTGCTCTCCCCTCTTGGCATGAGTACTGGTGCTATCCAAGATACCCTCGTAAGTCGAACATCATTCGTCTTCACTCCTCTCTAAATCGTACGTGCAGAAATTGGTCGTCATTGGAGGCACAGTCGAGACTGCACGTCGCGCTTCGGTATCAGCATGGAACGGCTTCGTTGATTGTGGGCCATCCTTCCTTAGGATCTTCAACTTGCTAACACTCTTGAACAGCGTTCTTCCTCACCGCTCATTTCAGCCAGGACGACTACCCGTATGACTGGTATGTCTATTCATGCCCTTTCTCTGTATCGCTGATTGAACCCCTGCAGGTTGATGCATTGGCTTGCCAAGGTCTTGCTCATTCAATCCATTCGTAGCGCTTCTGTGTACTGAAGGATAATATTCAGCAACCGGCTTGGGGGAGAAGTCGTGAATTCGAGATCACCACTCGTTCAGTGAACCGCAATGGGATCACTCAGTCGACCACGGGTGACTTGGACGAAGAGGAAGAAGAGGATGATACCTTGGTCCACGGCCGGAGAAAGCGGAAAGTAGCGTTCATGCCTAGCCTCGGTGCGTATGAATGAGTCATTGCATGCTATATCGCTCATAATGATGCTGGATCCAGATACCACTCATACCATCTATTACCGTGGGCACTGGCTCAGAGTAGGCCCTTCATGTTTACGATATGACCGCATTGCGCTTACCCCCGTCCTTCAGATTACACGGACCAAACGCTATCCGGATTACGGTCATGGCTGCTCTCTGAAGATCAGGTGAGGTGGTTAATGTCGCTAGAAGCGACGGCCAGCTCACGTTGCCTACAGCGTCGTCGCTCGCAATAACGACATCCTCAAGAAACTCGTACTGGAAGCGAAGCGGGAATACGAGAAAGATGCCGAGCATCGTGTCCATATTTTCTTGGCTGATACGTAAGCGCATCAACAACTCCTTTCGCTAATGATACTTTTTTTCTCAACTGTTCATCAGTACCTATGGATGTTGGAGATGGAATGGTGCGAGGCAAAAGAGGCCGATGAGTTCAATTGTCCTTCAACCAGGTGTAAAGGACATGCTTCTCGCTGATTGTAAGGACTTTCTGTGCTCGGAGGAGTGGTAAGTTTCGAAGTTCTGGAATTGCACCTCTTCTGAAACTCATCTTGTGACTTGATAGGTATGCAGAGAGAGGTATAGTGGTCACGGTTATATTCGTCGAACCATTCTTGACATGCATCTTTAGGCATTCCCTTCAGGCGGGGCTACCTCTTGCATGGTGTCCCTGGAAGGTTCGTCGTACTATCTAAAATTAGATGGACGTTCTTGGGCTCATACTGCTATAGCGGCAAGACTTCGCTCATTCACTCCTTGGCTGGAGAGCTGGGTCTTGACATCTATGTTGTTTCATTGTCGTCGAAAGGGTGCGTTAATTTATGTCCCTGCTACTTTAAGGCTCATATCAGTTCCCAGGATGAGTGACAATACTCTAACGACGTTAATGGGGCATGTTCCTTCAAGGTTAGTCTCAGCTGTTTGCCGACGTACAGTTCATTTCTGGAGCTTTTCTCTCTCTCTAGATGTATCCTCCTTTTGGAGGACTTAGACGCCGCATTCACACGCTCAGTTTCACGCGACGCGAATTCTACCGGTGCACCCACAGCTTCCACGTCAAAGGAGAGTAGCACCAGCACCACGGAGAATACAGATGGATCTACTCTCAGTTTGAGTGGCCTTCTAAACAGTCTTGACGGAGTCGCCGCCGCGGAAGGCCGGTGGGTTCATTTCGCTACCTATCACTAGCCCGTTCGTGTTTCGAGACTTATATCACTATCTCAGGCTTCTTTTCGCCACCACCAACCACATCGAGCGATTGGACCCCGCTCTCAGCCGACCTGGTCGCATGGATGTGTGGGTTAATTTCACCCATGCTACCAAGTGGCAAGCCGAGGGTATCTTCAAGTGCTTCTTCCCGTACAAGCCATCTACCGCCGCCACTGCCAATGGTAATGGATCGAGCGCCGCCAAAGACACTTCCCAGCAAAACCTGCCCCTGCCGAAGCGCAAGCATGTACATGCCATTCCTATTCTGACAGAGGAGGAGATCTCCGAGCTTGCTAAACGTTTTGCCGAAGCCATTCCGGAGGATGAACTTAGTGTGAGCATCGGGTGTTTGACCTATTATTTTCTTCGAGACTAAATAAATTACTCTTCAGGTTGCCAGTCTTCAAGGGTATCTCTTGAAGAACAAGACTCGTCCACGCGAGTGTGTTGAAGAGGTCGCTGAATGGGTGATTCAAGAACGTGAGACCCGCGAGAAACTCAAGAAAGAGAAGGCTGAGGTTCGAAACAAAGATCGTATTTCTCTCACTTTCGCAAGACGTTGACCATACTCTGTTTGTAGCGCGAGGCTAAGGAAAAGAAAGAGGCTGAAGAAAAGGCGCAAAAAGAGGTGTGTCTTGCTTTCTTCCCACTGTCTTGAAATTCCTCACACCCTCCTGTCTCCAGAAAGAAGAGAAGGAAGCCAAAGAGGTATTGATCCGACAGCTATTTTTCTGCGCAACCCCCACGTTCTGACGAATCTCTTGACCCATATAGAAAGAGGAAAAAGAGACGAAGGAGAAACTTGAGAGGAAAGAGCGCGCTGCAAAGGTCAAGAAGGCCCGCGCCGAAGTTGCAGCGAAGAGTGGTTCTTCTGCTGCCGCGTCGACCGCGTCTACTGAAACTACTCCAGCAGCCTCCGCAACGGCCGAAACATCCGCTACCGCAGAAGCGACCTCGTCATCATCCTCCGAAGAGGAGACCAGCACCGGCGTCGATGCCGACACCGAGGAGAGCGTCACCTCTGAGGAAGAGACTGATAAGGACAAGGGGTCAAACGAGGAGAGCAAGAAGGAGAAATGGGTCGCAGTCAAGCCATCGAACACCGTTACCGCTACTACATCGTCCGCTTCTACTCCCTCTCCCGCCGACGCCGACCCCGCAACATAATATACGTTGAGGGATGCCACCGGCTCGGTGTAGTTGAAGCACCTTCCATCAACCCCTTGCCACCGCCTCCCTTCCATTCTTCCCTTTCGAGGGGTGGGATTGGGGTATCACTTCTGGTCTGCTGTCTGCTGTGTCCGCTGTCTGTGCCTCTTGCCGCGTTGCTCAAGTTCGCGTGTTCGGTGTGTGTTCGTGACTGTTCCATTCTCCTTCAAGACTCCCTCATATCGGCTCTCAAACAATTGGATGGGCGGATGGATGGATATCGCGTTTCAGGATGGGGTTGGATTTGTGGCAATGCATCGTTCCTTTTCATGTCAGGATCCATCCCAGCCACGAGACAGGGCGGCGTCCTCCTTTACTATACGTATCCCCGTGTTTGTAGTCCATTATCAGAGTAATGTTTTGAATGACCATAGATGCTTAATATTTTGGACACTTCTCCATTGGCGAATCGTAAGGCAGGTCTTAGAGCTGTTGCTTAGGCCAGATTGTATGGTCTGGAGCACATGGAGGCCAGCAATATAGCAATGTGGTATCATTGCAATGTAGTAGTCATTATTTATCATAAAGCAAAAGACGACAGAGGAGGCACTAGGGTGACCATCAACGGGATCGATACATGTCATTCTATACTTTTTTCTGACTGTCATTCCAGGACCCCGTCTCCACAACATTCACGTTCAACACCAACGCACTACCGTATCCAGACTACGTCGACTTCAGGCTGACATCCGACAGAGTCTTGAACGCCTCCTTGTACGCGTCAAGCAACGCCTTCACCCGTGTCCTCTCCGCAACGAGTGCTTCATCCTCATTTAGCATGTCCGCGAACAACTCTGGCTTGTACAGCGATGCCACTAGCCGGTTCTGGACGTGCTGCGCAGTGTGGTTGACAAGGAAGTGCATAATCGCTTTCGGGATAATGTCTTGAATAGATTGACGAACGATGTTGAAGTATGACTGGATTAGTGACCGGATGAGCTGCGTCTCCATCTCTTCGCGCGCTGTCATCTGCATCCCGTCTGCTGAGATCTGTGGGCCGGCGTCAGAATCGTGGGTTACGCGGATAGGAATAGATGAGCAAATGACACTAGTAGACAGCGATGTGGGGGATCGGAGTCCGGCTGAAGAGCACGGCAAAAGGAGGAACCAAGACAGCGAATGCGAAGAGAACGGAAATGAGAGAAGAGCAATCGGCTGCTGGGGTATCAAACTGCGCTTCCGCCGGCGTTTACAGTCGACGCCCACCAGCAAGGTACATGGCTACTCGGGAACTTATGACACAGCCCCACATCCAAGAAAAGACACCAAACACGAAGGATAGGAAGAAAAAAAATCCAAACGCAACGAAAGTGTGACGAGAAAAAGGGCCAAAAAAGCGAAGAGATCGGTACTCACAGCTTCAATATGTCTTCCCAAGCTCTTCATGTCATACGCCGCACTATTCCCATTCTTCCCCGCCATCAGCCCACTTGTCAGCGACGAGTCTCCACCGGACACATCCCTTCCCACAGGGACGATATATGCTGGCTCTGTAGAGCCAATGCTCATCCCCGCCCCCAGACCTGGGGAGGAGGAACTGTGGTGGACATGGTGGCCACTACCGCCTACTGCACCGGCCCGCTCGACGCTGGCGCCTGCGATGGGCCCTGGCCCGTTCTGGCCAAAGAAATAGTTGAGGAATGTCTCGCGTGCAGAGCCAGCTCCGCCTGGCGGCGAAGAGCCTGTGCTCATGCTTGTGTTGCTCGCGCTGACGTGGTGTGACCTCTCTAGCGCCGAGTGCGGTCGTGCAGGCTGGTTTCCGAAAGGGTTGGCATTGGTGTTGGTGTTGAGGGCGTTGGTACCAGGGATCCGCTGCGCTCGCGACTTCGATGAAGACCGTTTGACGATGCTGTTGGGCCCAGCATTGTTGGTGGTACCGAAAGCTGACGGGGCAGTGGTCCGTGAGCGATCATGCAGAGTGGAAGAGACAGAGCGCCCGTCGCGAGGAGGGAAGATACCATTTATACCGTCGTCCGAGGTGCTTTCTTCGTCGTCTTCTCGAGAGGGGCCATTTCCGTTGACAGGCTCTGTTGACTGTGGCTGGAAGGATAGACAATCAGCATCCACACTCTCATCATGTCTGAAGTGAAGCCTACCCGCTGAGGAATCTGGGGTCTTGAAGGCTGTCTGGCCTGTGCAGACGCAAGTGCAGATCCAGAGATGAAGGAAGGGTGGTTTGTGTTAATATATGCGGCCTGAATGTCGATTAAGCTTTGTGTATACTCCGATGTCGGGCCCAGTCGCTCTCGTAGTAACTCCGACACGACTTCGATGAGTTGGGCATGTAGTATTGGGAATCGTTGCAGTTCCTATGTCGTATAAGTCGAGTTAATAACCCAATCGAAGGAAGACAGAACTATGACGTACCGCACTTGTACAATTATGGCAGATCTTCACCAGTTCCTCATATACCAACTCAACACACCTCGAACTCGGCGCCTCGAGCAGCTTAATCTGAGGCTTGACCAACAGATCGAATGCCATCTCTGGCACGAACAAGCTCGGTCTTGGGCCCGTTGAATTGCGGATGGCCGTCCGGATATCCTGGTCGTCTAGGTTCTGTGTAGCGTCTATCGAGGCTAGGGCACGACCAAAGACATCATTGAAGATGTAGTATATCCGTGCACCACCTGAGAGCTCCTTTGTTGAAATATCCACTTTCGTGCCCTCGATAGAAGAGACAAAGTCGCGAGCGAATTGGGTCATGAGTCGCAGAATCAGGCCTCCTTGCTATAAGTAGAGTAAGAATACGGATTACGTGATGCTTGCGGTTGAGCTCAGATCCGCACCTGGTTTTTGTCTCCGAAAACCGCAGAATCGCCAAATGAGTTTAGTTCTTGCTGAGCCTGTCCCATGAGAGTGTTTAACCGTGCTTTCATGTCTGGCAATTTCTCTCGAATGTGGTTGATAAGGACCTGAAGCGGGCGAAAGTACTAGTTAGCCCTAGGCAATTCTGGACCTCCTGTGATGGTTGCGTACCTGGTTGAGTGTCTTAGCAAGGTACTTCGTCCCATTCTTGTGCGCGATATTCCGGTACGCATGATGGTTCCGAAAGAATTCAGTTTCACTGTCGAGGGCGTCTGACATGCTCTTCTCCGAATTGATGTCTTGTTGACTCCGGTTGACGATACCGATAAAGCCCAATTTGAGAGGATACACGCGTCCCGTGAGGATATCGAGAGCGTTTGTGCCGGCATCCATGAGGTCGAGCTTCGTGAGTAGTCCAATAGTGCGTCGGCCTTGTGAGTCGACGGAGCGGGCGAGTTTTAGGGATTCGGAGTTTGCGAGGTCGACATTGGCGGGGGATACTGCGAGAATGACGCTGGAATAACATTAACATTAAGCAAAAAGTACAATGAGAGACTGGTCGCAATGCCCATACCAATTCGGTCTCGAGATGTAGTCAAGGACAAGATTCCGAATTTGACGCTCGATATCACTGGGCTGGTCTCCTACTGGGATCTATGGGCGCGAAATTAAACCGGAAGACGATTGAAGTTGTGGTGGCACACTCACCTTTGTCAATCCAGGCAGATCCACCAAGGTCAAATCCAACACATCTGGACTGTATATCCGTAGGGATATTGGTAGTTTGCTAACGCCCTTGTTTTGACCTGCCACCCTAAACGTCTCCTGCTCAATCTCCTTCCGAATTTCGTTGAAGTCCGTGAATTTCTTGTCGATGTGCAGGAATTGGCCCCATTCTCGTATCGAGTTGCTGGAGCCCTCAGCTGGCTCAGGCGTATGGATAAGCTGAAGGACGAGCGGTCGCCGTGTAACAATGCCCTGGCCACGAGGTAGGAAATCCCTTCCAACAATACTGCAGGAAAATTAGACTTCAATCGTGTAAGTCCGGGAGCATGAAAGTAGCAACGCACGTCTCCAGGACACTCGACTTGCCCGCTGACTGACTACCAACCTAGATGAAATATATTCGACCCGGAGATGCACCAACGAGTTAACAAAAAGACGTACTACGGCCAGCTGAGGCATGTCGAGTTCTCCGCCTGGTCGAAGACATCAAGTTAGCTCCAGAACTGTCCGACACGAGATCTTATGGCGTACCGAGGTTGGCGAACGTGTCCTGCAGCTTATTGACAAGCTTGATGAGATCCTGGTCCATTGTGAAGGTTCTGCTGTTAGCCCTAAGACGTGGAAGAAGGGGGATGGGCGCGGTGTAAACTGAAATTTGTCGGCTAAGGACGCGTTGCAGGGGAAGTGGACGCCAACGACACGGTTCGGCTCGCCGTATTTGCTCTTGTTAGGATCATCTCAGTCGGCTTTCCGCCGGCAACCTCCGAACAGCTGAGTCCTGCATAACCTTCACCACGATGGTGACCCCTCTTCCACGTCCTAACCAATACAATGCGTCGTCCCAGTTCATCCCACATACTGCATACAACCGCTGTCTCGATCTCGAAGATCAGCATAAGCAAGTGTCACAGCATGTACGACTTGATGTCTTGGTGTGCGCGCGCTTTCTAGGCTACATGATTCTGGAGGCACCAACAGACGAAGGGAGGATGGACGTGGCTTCAGAGATCGTTCGTTGTGCCAAAACCGGAGACATAGGGCTTCAAGACCTCGCAGAATCCTACAAAAATCACTTTTTCCGTGTCTGTAAGTCTACCAGAGGAGACAATTTATAACTTTTGAACTTTCTTCAAGCAACATCCTTCAGTTTACAGTTCTGGGTGTCGTACTCCCGCCCCGACTCACCCATCTTTTTATAATAAAGAGGAGTACGTATACTCTCTATCAGCTACCGCCGCAAGTCATGCCAAATCGAAGCAACTGGTAGGTCGACACTCTACACTTATGCCACCTTTGTCCAATGTCGAACTGAATACCTAGGCTCTAGAACGTGACGATTTTTCCTGCGTGCTCACCGGAAAAACAGACACGCCCTCCATTGAAAATGATCTAGTCAAAATCCCCCAATCCGTCGTCCCTACGGTCACGAGGGCCTCACATATACTCAACTGGTCTGCATCTGAGGGCCTCACTGATGATAACGTATAATATTTAACCCGCTTCCAAGGCTTCAAGCTTATATTTTCAGAGGAACTATGCTGCGGCCGCCGATGCTGTGTTGAACCGGTTTGGCGGAATCGATGTTATCAAGGAGTTCGACGGCTCTAATCTACACCGACTTGAGAACATCCTCAGCCTTTCAAGCGATGCCTGTACATGGTTTTCTGACTCACGTATCTGGTTGGAGAGAGACTCACAGGTGAAGCATTTCACGACGTGAATTAGCTGCTGGTATTTATCCTGATATTCCCTTCAGGGCCTGCCCAACACCTACAGACCATCCTCAACCAAACCATCCGTTTATCTAGCAGAGATCCCCAACATCATCTCGTTCTCCACTCCTGATCCCGAAAGGCTGCCGCTACCTGATCCGCGCTATCTGGCCGTACATGTTGCCTGTGCAAGAGTCGCACATATGTCGGGTGCTGCTGAATACATTCACAAGGTCCTCCGTGACATGGAAGAAACAGATGTCTTGCGCAACGACGGGCCTTCGGATGCGTTGTACCATGCCCTTGTGCGCCTCCTATGATGTATCCTTCTCGGCCTCTGCGCTCATCGTTCCTACTACGTCCCAAACACTTCACGGTCCACTCGAGCCGAATCGCTGTCTTGTATCGATGATAAATCGTCAAACGACTTGGCAAGAAAGCAAACGCCCTTGTAGAATCACGAACACTCACTAGACGTAAGGCAGGAAGTCGTTAATAATGGAAAAGCAGACATTCGAGACCTTGAACGCGGAGTTCTGAGGCTTCAGGCCTCAGGCGTCGACTACTTGATATGGACAGCAAAGAACGGTTTACTGCTCTGCATCCGTGAAACACGATTAGCGCCCGCGGCAGCGTCGGCACCACTAACTCTATGGACATATGTCCTGTCACCCAAAAACGACTATTTCTAGTCACCGAGAGTCAGATTCTGTTTTTCCCAGCCCTGTCCTTGACTCATCTTCTCTGTTCCATTTCCGCTTTCAAATTACTTCGCAAGTTGTGGGCGCACACCATGAATCACTAAATACCTACACTCGGCTAAGAGAGTGCCAAGTCTAAATTTCTTCACCGGTTCACATCATGGATTGGCAGATCCCTACAGCTTTGTGGCCATATACATTATTGTCCTGCGTTCGTTTAAATACAATTATTCAACAGTGACCTCCATCGTCTGCAACTTTGTGGCCGTCCTCACCGCACTTCTTCGACTTTTGGTAAGGCGACCAACATTCTGGATGGATGGCGTGTGCCATCCCTCTTTCCTCTCCTTCAACCCGCTGATATTTTTTGGCGAGGCATTTGCCTTGCTATCAGTGATATCTAAACCTCTCTCTTGCCAACTTGGGGCAATATTAGCATCGCAAAGTGCGTTCCTTCTGACTTCACTTCGATATCTACTGAGACCACTCTATCAGAATCGTTACCCAGCTCTGCCCCGGGCCCGCTTCTACCTGAAAGCGTCGTTGTTCTATACCAGTCTGGTGCGTTTATTTTCCTTCCTCTACCAGCCGAACACTAACGCTCCCTATCTCCCAATTACCTGGATTTGCCCGACTCGCCATGGTGTTTACCATCACCCGAATTGGTTCAGAACAGCTCCGAAACTCACTGCTATGTTCTTCTTTTTCTTCTTCATTCTCATCGTCCAGTTGTTCTGGATCTCCCACCTCTCCTGTGTCCCCACAAGACAGATGGGCATCCTCCAATTGAATCTCGTGTGAGCGTCCAACATTCTTCATCGCTGAAGGATGTGCTAATACCTGCTTTGTCGATAGTTGTTGGATATGATATTACACCGCTTGGACCCATCTCGAGATCTGCGGGATCAGCCAAAGAAAAGAAAGAAAGAAGAGATCTAGCTACTGAGGTCCAAATAGAAATCTAGATTACCCCCTGACTCCGAGGCCAGAATTTGCTTTTGGATGTAATGATTATACTTGTAATTTACTAGTCAGGAAGGAAGGAAGGAAGGTTGGATTACCGGCGAGGTCCCAATGAGGAACGACCGACCCATGATGTACCTAGAGATACAAGCTACAACTACTCTAGGACATCCTGGGGCACTACTTTAGTACTATGGTTACGTATGGACCATCACGTGAAAGGAGCACACTGCTAACTTTGACAAGAACCTGGAAACCAACCAGTACAGTCCATGGCAGCACTCCCCGGACCAGTCGCAGTACCAGCTGTTGCAGTACCTTTCCCCCCGGCACCAGTTCCGGTGCGGCAACCTCTTCCTCCGAATCCCTATATCGAGGCCATCCAGCCAGCGTGCCACAGCGCGTATGATCAATGTCTTCAAGCCGAGCAGGCAGCAGGCGGCGACTCGCAGTTTCTGATGCACGCCCGTTGCTTGGGCTACTTGATCCGTGAGGCCCCCGATGATGAAGCACGGTGCCACGTTTCGGAGGAAATCCTGTTGTGCAACGGAAATCCGAAGTCACTGAACTTACTGGCTAAATTCTATATTGAACATTTATTTCGGCTTTGTGAGTGTCCCTTCCAGATAATGTCTACAACCTTCTCCATCCTTTATGTAGTCCGGCAGAATAAAGGGCGCACACCCGGAGCATCCCATCATCCCAGCCGCCCTTCCTTCGAAGAGGAGAGGTTTTTCTTTTCGTCTACGGTTGACTCGGCTCCTAAAGATCACACTGCAGCTAAGAAGGCGGTGAGCATGACGCCTGTTTCAGAAGTTTACGGCTGATCATTCCTGTATAGGCCCTGCGACGCGACAATTATCGCTGTATGGTTTCCGGTGACGCCGATTTGAATAGTCTCACAAATATGACGGATGACGAAAGAGCCGCGCTCAACTTCACTGGCGTTTTTGAATCCTCGGAGACCAACTTTTGCCACATCTTCCCTCCTTCAACCAACTGGGATCTCAAGCCAGAGGACATCGGTCATCCTAAAGTTTTTCTCCTCTATTCCATTCACGCGTCGGATTACTGATACCCATTTTGATAGACCCATTATTCGGGAAATGTGTGGGGCATTGTCAACTGCTTCGGCGGCATCAATGTCCTCGACGAGCTGACTGGTGACATGGCTCATAGGCTGTCCAATGGGCTGACCATGAGCGTGGCACTGCATGGATATTTTGATAGACTGGCCTTATGGTTTGAAGAGGTTCCGGTGAGTTAAATCAGGCGTACGTGAACATCGATAAACTGAACTCCCCTGACAAAGAACAATCCTCACACCTATCGCGTCCGAACCCTTTTGCCAAACCTCCGAGGTCTTTCGCAGCTTGGTCCACATCCTGTCGTCACGTTTACCACAACAACCAACTTGGAACTCCCCGACCCCAAGTACCTCAGGCTCCATGCGGCTGTCTGTCGAGTAGCCCATATGTCTAGTGCTGCTAAATACTTGGACTTATATGACCGCGAGCTTGAAGAGAGGAAGGCCTTGGCACGCGATGGCTCTTCGGCAGAGTTGCTATCTACTCAGCTTCGTAGAGCACTCCTTACACGAGTAGGAGCTTGAATGCACTGGACTGCGATTAAAGAGTCAATGCAAACATACATCTGGTCAACCAATCACCCTTTGTTCCTAAGTACACCCATATGTACTGCTTGAGACAGTGTTAGCTATCAATCCTGGGTCTTGATCCACCTGCAGTGTACCAGCAGGCCAATTCAGGGTTAATTCAAGGCACTCGGAAATCCAGAGAAGAATCCATGCTATCTACGAGCATAAATTACACGAGTCAGCCAATATCATAATTTACACGATGGCCCTCCTCCTCGGTGCAGGCTTGCTCCGTCTTCTCTTCTTCCCTTGCGCGAACGCATTTGCGCTTTTGAGGTCTCGGCCAAGAGAGTCTTCTTTCTTTACTTGGTAGATGCGGACCTGGACGAAGCGTTAGTACGCAATGGTTGAGAAGTATAGAAGAGACTTACAATCCAGTTTTCTGAAGTGAATGCTTCATCTAACGAAGGAGTTAGAAATTTTGTCCTACGACAACAACTGAGCAACAGCAGCAAAACTTACCGAGGTAATCGAGCGTCGGGCCGACTTTAGGAAGCTGCTGTTGGCGGACACGATCTTGGCCTTGGCCTCCGCCAAAGAGTTCGTTAAATCTAAGAGAGAAAAAAAGAGTAAGTGATTAGGCCTCTCAACACTCTCTGAAGCACGAACCGGTAGTACGACATCTTATACATTAAGCTATCCTTCATCGTCTGCGATGCTCTATCATCGATCCTGTACTCGCCATTCGGCGTGAAGTAGTTCGGCTCCTGAATTTCATCGGGCCAGACGCCCTGAGCAATGCGGACCATCCACAGGAACTTGTTGATGTCGTCCCCGGAGTACCCGATCAGGCCGCCGAAGATAACAAGCACGTAGTCGACGTCGTGCTTGCGCAGGATGGGGTAGGCGACTTCCTCGGAGCTAGACATGGCCTTGCCGACGGTGGCGATGTGGGCTGCGAGTTAAGAGAGTCATTAGAACAGCGGGAGAGTGGTCGACATGAGTTAGTACCCACTGTTGTTCCACGTATTGTTATCCACGAGCGTCGGGCGGTCGGCCATACCAGCGATCTGGTACCCGTAATCCCACCAGCTCATAACCACCGCATCCTCAGGCGTATTCTGCCTGAGCCAATAATATGCCTCGCGGAAGTCATCAATAATGTGCTGCGAACCATCGGGGTTTGACGATGCCAACACAACGGAGGGCGACGAGTACGCGTTGGAGGTGACCCAGGTACAGTGGAAGACGAAGAAAATGAGCATGCCGAGGGTGTTGAGAATGACGAGGAGGCGTGCGTCGAGTCCGAAAATTCCCTTCTCTGCGGAGGCCTTGCCACTTGCTTGTGGAATTGTGGCAAACACCAACTCCTCGAGAGGGCTTTTCGGAGAAGAAGCAATGGCAGCAGCAGCAGCAGCCTTCTTTGCCTTCTTGCTCTGCTGTTGCGCAGGTGCCGACGTCGACGCACCGTTCCCTGCGACCGAGGCTGCATCACTCTCGCTCTTGGCGTCATCCACGGGTGCATTTGGCTCGGTGGGGTCAATGTACGTGTCGAGCAGGGTGGAAAGAGTGACGGCCGATGCGACGCAGACGACAGGAGTGAGGGTAAGCATGAGACGGACCATGACGCCGGCAAAGTAGCTGGCCATCACGGCGTAGATAATCACGAAGAGGTGCTCGTCGCGCAACTCGCGGAAGCACAGAATGACACCAGCCGGGAACAAGAATATCAGGAATTGCAGGTCCATGAAGAACGAGGGCCAGGCAGTCGGCTGATGCTCAGAGACAGATGCGATGATTGGGATGTACCTGTGCCAGCCCTCAGTCAGTGGTCGGTTGGAAGTAGGAAGGTGTGGGAACGCACTTCTTCGCGTAGCCTGTATCCCAGAGGGAGTAGAAACGACCGGTCCATGGGGCAATCTTGCCTTTGTATGTCAAAAACACGAAGGCGAAAAAACCCAGGAGGCCAATCCCGACAACACCGCCTTGAAGGAGTTTTTGGAATTGCTGTGACGAGACATGCGTTCTCACGAGTTGGGCGAATGCAACAATTTGAAGCAGGCCAAATACACCTGATAGAATCGGTCAGTTACAAAGTGAGTAGTCGTTAAACAGGACGTACCCAATGCTCCCATATGTTCGCTAGTGCTAACGGGCTGGAAACCAACGAAAGGTACTTGCATACTGGCAAGGGTACCGATGGCATACCAGGAAGAGTACGCAACGTAAAGGCGGTCAGAGAATCGGCCCATGAGGATCAGAACGAGAGCATGAAGAGGAATCATGTTGGTGATGAAAACGTAACCACCTGCGCAGAGATATCAGGAAGGCGGAGTACAATTTCAACGAACCGCATACCCCATGCAGCCACCATGTAGAAGTAAAAGACTGCAGCGATAGTTCCGAACAGCGCGCTTCCTTGCTTCAGGGCCTTAATCCAGCAGAAGAAGGTGAACATAAGGAGGAAAATGGCGATAGCCTCATTATCGTAGGAGCCTGCCACGGAGCGGGAAATATAGCCAGGAACGATGCCAATGAAGGCAGCAGCAAGGAGACCAGCGCTCTCGTCTTTCATCTCCTTCGTGAACCTGACAAGAACCTGAGCTTTAAAAAGAATGCATATTTGCAAACAGCAGGCTCACATATATGTCGCCCAAGCCGTCAACGCGCTAAACCCAGGTGCGAGCAACACGCAAACATTTTTGATATCCACCGGAAGATTGATAGCGTGAAGAAAGTTGTAAATTACGCCGCTGGTGGCCATTAGACCAGGGTACACGGTTCCTCCGACGACACGACCGAGTGGGTACCAGGCCGTGGGGTCGAACCAATTCCAGAATTCCTGTGGGTAGTATATCGGGTGAGCAGCTATCGCGGTATTACACCACAATATACGCACATAGAACCCCTTTGCCGCCAAAACTCTCGTTGCTCGACTTCGGACAAACTCAGCCACGCTCCAGAATGTTGCTGCGCAAGAACTCACTAATTGAACCATGGATCACTAGAATTCGAATTCGTCGCGGGTTAAACACGAAACGTAAATATAACACGATACTCCTCACAATTCATGGATAATGCTTTCAAAGTTGATAACTGCGAATAAACGAGAGGCGATGGCAGCACCAGAGATGAGTGAGAGAGCAACTATGCGCAGCAATGACGCTGTGTTCTTGACCGTCGAAGACGGCAAGTCCGATGGTAGTGGGTAGGCCGTCGGCATGGCCAGAAAAACGTTGGCCGCCGCCGATTAGAATGTGGTGGGGTAAGGAAAGGATGGTATGGCGTCGTGCACGGTCGACGTGTCCTCGTTCGTGTTTGCTTAGTCAGCAATGACGCACGTCCAAGTCGTCACTGCAGGGTGATCTTGAACCCCAACCACATTGACATGGGTAAGTTGCAACTCTATTTCTTCTAGGTGTGCTTCCCTAAACTACTTGCATAGGGCTTGTATGGCGAACATGGAGCCGTGCGATCGCTGCAAAACTGTACTAGCGCAAGAAACCAAGGCAGATCTGCGTAAAATGCCCCAGAACCAATGTTCCATCGCGAGCGGTCTTTCTTATGTGCCTTGTCGACAGCAGGAGGGACTAGAGACACATATGACTCAAGCGAAAGCTTTTCTTGTTCAACTCAAGCGTCGTCCACCTTTAATCAAAACGCAGAACAACACTGAGCACGAATTCCTCCAAGGGTTCCCACTGGAAATCATTTCGCAGATCTTCGGTTTCCACGTTCACGAACCCGGAGAAACTGCTGATAAATGCCTCAAAGATCCAGGGTTACTGGAGCAGAAATTCTAGGACGATATCTCTCGCACTCAGGCAGACTACCAGTGTCCATTTTTATAGGATTACCCTTCGACGACGATTTCCATCACAAGGTCTGTCGATACTCAGAACGTCTGCACGTCCTCGATCTCCGACTTCCAAGACAGAAAATCTCTCATCTTTCTCGCAGAATGGCCAATGAATTCCCGAACCCAAGAGCTTGACGCTCGTGTCCCGAGAAAAGCCGCAAGGCGAACACATCAAGCTTTTTGGAGCATCCTCTCTCGACAACACACCTGCTCCGAGCTTTGTTCAACTGACCCGCTTGCGCTTGAAACAAGCAAATATTTCATGGAATAACGTGGTCCACCTTGTGCTCTCATACGTTCGTCCGGCTGGCTGCTTCAAAATCCTTGTACGGGCCCCACAAGTAACATATTTCGGCTTTACAAGGAAAACGCAGACACCTTCCTTGCGGGCTCCCGCTGTCCCATTCACTCGCGTAGGACTCTGGGTGCTCGACTTCCCGGGAAGGCACTATATCCCAGCTTTCCTTGACGATCTTACTCTTCAGGTCCTCGCTGAAACTCCTTACAAAACTGTCGACGACCTTCCTGCGTTTGCGACCATTGGACAGCTCATCCTTCGATCTCTCTGTCCTTTGAAACGATTCTCCACGGAGTGTAAGATCTGGGAAAGGGAGGGAGAACCTCAATTGATCCATTCGTTTTCTAATCCCCCAGGCCTTGAGAGTTTCTCCCTTGGCGCAAGACCATCCCGTAACATCATGACGAATAATTCTTGAGATAAGGGCCAAGCTCATTGACTTGTAGCTGGCCGCCTTCTTGTGATTTGCCCCAGATACAAAAACTCGGAGAACACTCTGTGCCGTCCGTACGACTGAGCGTGTGGGCAATATAGAATCTGACGCAATCTGGCTCTCTTCGTCGATGTTACGTCCTTTCACTTCCACCCAAATGGCATTTTCGCCCCTGCTGCTGGTTCATGCCTCTTCCTGAAGTCACGAGCCATCTCAATCATAGGAACCCATTGGACGTTCTCATGGGTGTTGACCCATTCAATAAAGCGTTCCTGTGTATGATTACCGAGGTGGTGACGGTCAGTATTCGAACCACCTTGACACCCCACGAAAGAGTTACTGACAAGCATGAGGAGGACATGAGGTCGTCTGAATTGGATCAAATAATAGATATGATGAGACTTCTGGAATGAGGGAGAAAAAGGAACCTCCTACCCGCTAACATCAGGATGGATGGTGATGGGAAATATAAACTCTTCTTCCTCCCTATAAGCAACTATAATCACGATGGGAACACCTTTGGCTAACATCTTGTTCATACCTGTAGCAATACGAGAATGTGTCCTTCCATATTTCCTCGACGTCTCGGGGGTTGACCTATATAGCCATCGGCTTTCGAACGGGCGAGAAAGAGGATCAAGACACGCACCCAACCATGAGAGTTAGGACTCGACTTGATGAACCTATAAAAACCGACTCAGTTGCGACGCGTGCATCTCTTTTCAATTTTTTACATCATGGGAGGGAGGTCGTCAAGGTACCTGTAAAATCTGTTGGATAAGTTATACCAATCTACTAAGACAACCCACCAGTTGGCTGGTATACAAACAAGCCCTGTTTCATTTCCTTTCAGAAGCGGCTTCATCCATGTCTCTGCCTTGGCCTGATATTTGATTTTCGTCCACGTATCGGCATCGCGCATGTAGTAGGCCTGACAGCTATTAACATCTAGTAAACTGAGCAACACCGCGAATGTGAAGACGAAGCTCACTCATGTGCCATACTGGAATGATCTGTCGATCATCGTCAAGTAGTGTGGCGCATATGATCGCGATCAACTGGAGTCTGGACCTACCATATTCGATTCCCTTTTCCAGTAAGAGGTCTGTTCCTTCTTTGCTGGTCTCCCACCAGGGAGCAACGCTACCCTGTCAAAATACAATGTCTATTTCGCGACTTTTCGAAGCAGTATTATTTACCTTCGGAGGTATTCCGCGATTGAACTCGGTCAACAGATTGTACGTGTGATCCAAGATGTCCTTCTGTTGCTCGACGGTCAACGCCACCGGATTCTTGATCGAATCAGATGAAGGGATAAAAGAAAAGAATGGAAGCTGGTACGTACCTCATGGGAGTATCCGTGAAGCCCGCTGTATAAATCCTTGCTTCAGACCTACCTCGACATTCTAGGGAAAAATCCCTTACATTTCGTGTCCCGCATCCCTCACAGCCTTCATTTGCTCCGGAAAGGTCTCCAAGCTATGTCCTATTAATCCACTAAGTCCGTGACATTGGTCCGACTATGTGGCATTAACGCGTACCTGGGATAAACCAAGTTGTTTTAATCTTGTATTTATCGAACAGTTTGAGGAGTCGAGGCACGCCAACTTCGCCTGCGTACATGCCCTACAGGTCACTATCAAGGCTCTGTATTTCTCCATCAGAAGGATACACAACGTACGCGTGATATATCCAAGGGAGAATCTTCCCCACCATACGACCCAAGCCTAGCGATTGGTAAGTGGGTGAGCTTCACTGAATTGACCTGACTATGAACGCACCATCCTGCAACAGCATCGACGTCGACCCCGAACCCGATCAGCACTTTCTTCGCCGGCATACTCGATGTCAAGTCTCAGAACTTGTGAGGAGATTTCAGGCGGACGAAGGCAATCTACTGCGGGTAAAGGAATTGTGCACGAAGCTTCTATCGCCGACGCACCGCTCGAAATCTGCTATCTTCAGAGATAAGAAAGAAGATAGTACGCAGCAGCAATCTATACACTCTGCTTTTCGAAGTTCGCGTGTTGCTCGAGGGCGCCCAGGCTCCCGATACACTGGGAATAGCGATCCTTCCTAGGAATGGGCGTTCTCCGAAGTCTAAATTTAGCACGGCAGGTGACTGTCACGGAGGATTTCCCCAGAATTCGATCTTGCTTCAAACCACAACTACGAATCTTCTTAGCCACCGCCGCTATCGCCCAATCGCCGCCACACCATGGGCTTCGCATATTCCATACGTATGGGATAGAGGTGACACTTTGGTGCTTTCGACCGGAGAAGTGGATACCGGACAACCGTCTAGACGATTCGCACGACGCGTGTATCATGTTTAAGGTGTAGACTCTGGTTACTTTGCTCGCTCTATTCTCTTGCAATGGCTCTTAAATCGGAAAAGTCAGTGGAGGTCGTAACTATCGCGCATTCAGAGACAGCATCGATTATTCGCGCCGACGATGCAAAACTTGCAGAACTGGGGTACAAGAGCGAATTCCGACGTGAATTCTCGGTGAGCGGGTCCCTGACTGCGTGGTTCGTTCGATGGATTCACTAAAGATACTCTGTAGCTTCTCGAAACAGTGGCCTTCGCGTTTTCGATCATGGGAGTCATCGCCAGTGTGACTTCTACGTTGTCGTTTGGCCTTGTAAATGGTTTGGCCTCCCATATCACGCCTTCGACGATGAAATAGACCAATTCTATCAGGTGGCCATGTTGGCCTGGTGTTCGGCTGGTTCATCCCATGTTGTTTCGTTATGTTCGTGGCATTGTCCATGGCAGAACTCTCCTCGTCAATGCCGTGAGCACTGGGTTCAACGTTTTCAGCACGCCGCTGAAGCTTTTGACAGAACCAGCGCCGGTCTCTACTACTTCTCAGCGAAGCTTGCTCCACCAAAGTACGAAGGTATTTCCAGCTGGATTACGGGATGGGCGAACGTAACTGGGCAAGTGACTCTCGTCTGCGGGATTGACTTCACCTGTGCCCAAATGATTACGACCGCCATTGCCGTCAATACAGACGGTGCTGTCATTATTTCGTCTGGCGCGACGTATGGGATTTTATTGGCCATCCTGTTCTCTCATGGGGTCGTCTGCTCCGCGGCCACCAGTATTCTGGCCAAGTTGAATATTTTCTACGTGATAGTCAACGGTAACTTCCTCCTGCTCATTATTGTACGTAACAGGCTGACTTCAAACAGTGGGTACAACGATTGCTGCCATTGTATCACTCCTGGTTCTATCCGACGGAAATAGGGCCTCTACCTCAGATGCCTTCACCCTATTCGAAAATAGTTCGGGATGGGAAAACAGTGAGTCTGGCTGCAAATTCTATCAGCGAGGGGTGCTAATGGCGAGTCGGCAGACGGATGGGCGTTCATGCTCGCTTTCACTTCCCCAATGTGGACGTTGACAGGATGTGAGCGACAACTCTCACCAAAGGATCCCTCGAACTTACCTTCTGCTTAGACGATTCTGCTGCCCATATTTCTGAAGAAACCGCAAACGCCTCTCGTGCAGCCCCAATCGCCATTATGTGTTCAGTGATAGGCACAGCAGCTCTAGGATGGCTCACCCTCATTGCTGTGTCGTTTGCTGTACCCTCGGTCAGTGATCTTCTTGCGACTGACCTTCCTCTACCCATGGGCCAGGTCTTCCTTAATGTCCTTGGTAAACGGGGTATGCTAGCGATTTGGTCCCTAATCATAGTTGTTCAAGTGCGTATATTCTCTTGGTCCCCGAACCTAAATACTCTAACCAATCTCTAGTACGTGACTGGTGCCGCCCAGGCCGTTGACGCGTCGAGAGTCGTGTTCGCATTCGCCCGCGACAATGCCCTGCCGGGCTCGCGCTACTGGAAGAAGGTGAATCGCTACACCCAGACTCCGGTGAATGCAGTATGGTTTGTCATCGGAGTCTCGGCGGTCTGTGGGGTGCTGGGGTTCTCCGAGACGGCGCTGACGTCTCTTGCTGGGTACGTGGGATAACTCCTCAGCTTCTTTCCAGCGCGCTCAAGTTTATTTTCGTAGGTCTGCCGTGATTGGCCTTTATACGTCTTATGCAGCCCCAATTTTCCTTCGTATTACCTCCGGAAGGGATAGACTAATTCCGGGACCCTTCAGTCTGGGACGCTGGGGAGTGCCTGTTGGCGCTATCGCTGTCGCGTGGGTGACCTTCATTGTGGTCATGCTGCTATTCCCACCGAGCCATACAACCACGGCAGAAGACATGAGTGAGTCTTACTCAATATAGGATTAGTTTACGACTCATCTCGTGTTAGATTATTCTGTAGTCATCATCATGGCTGTCTTCGTCTTCGCCTCCGTCTCCTGGGTACTTTCAGCGCGGAAGTGGTTCCACGGACCCGTTCGAAACATAGACGAAGTGGACAGTATAAATTCTGCTGAGCAGAAGACGGCCTAATAGCTCTTACCGGATCTTTTGATTGACGGAATGCTTGCGGAATGTGTTAGTCTTGGTTTACTATCTGAGGCGCCGACACCTTCGAAGTCATACCTGACAACGAACGGAGACACGAGGATAGTGTTCTCAGCAGATCATTGACGTCTGTGGGACACAGCCTTCTAGACACTAGAGCAGGTGTTCAAGGCACGAGTAATCTTTCCTAGAGCGTAATGCTAAAGTCTACGTGACATCGTGCCAATGCGAACGAGGAAAGGATAAAGAATCTATTGGTTGCATAAGGGGAATTGCTACACGCAGTCATACAAAAAGGAAAGAAACAGAGATAGGCGGGAAATTCTGAAACTGGGTCTTGAGCGCGAGGCAAACCTTCCACCTCGTGTCCGATTGAAGCCGATCGGTGAATGAATTTCAGTCTTCCACGACCTTACCTAACGGGGTTTTCGCCATAACACTTAGGACCTCAAACAGAACCTGCAAAGATTAAGAAACATAAAGACTTGGGAGACACAACTAACGTCGGCGGCGGCCTGATGGAAATGTCTGTTTTTAGCCATGTTTGTGATCCGCGGAGTGTACGCCACATACCATAGTAGTAAGTTCGGCGTTGGTGTCGTAGGCTGGCGCCACTTCGACAATATCTGCCGAGACGATTTTGAGGCCATCAAGACCTCTCAAAATAGTACGCAGCTCCCTGGTGGACCATCCACCTGTTTCCGGGGTGCCCGTAGCTGGTGCAAAAGCTGGGTCGATAGAATCGATCTGCCGTATGGGGTGTGTATCGGCTGATTGAAAAATAAGTGCAGAGAAATGCGGTGCTCACATCGATAGACAGGTATACCGGGCCGTCGCCGACCGTTTGACGTATTTTCTCAATGATACCGGCGGTTCCTTGTAGGCGTTTGCTTAGCTAAGGGTGTGCAGGGATGGTCAGGCGCATACCTATGGTATCTATTTCGCGCGCTTCAATTCGCTTGAAACCTGACTCGTCGTCGTTGTCGTAATCTTCAGGGCCAGAAAGGGTGGTCCTTATGGCACCGTGCTGTGAACAGGACGAACTAGGATCAAAGCTCATAGGAAAGCAGAAAAGGAAGGAAGGGGATTAGGGGGAGATCGAAATGAGAACACTTGCAATGGATGTCCCGTTGTTAATCAACCCTTCCCGGCTAGCCCAGTAGAAATAGGTGCCGTGATTTATGGCCGCTTGCTCCGAGGGTGCGCCACCGAAAACTGAAGGCTTCCACGTATCTAACAGCGGGGAGTGAGCAGACAGAAAATATTCCAGTCCTGGTGTCTCGCGCTCACCGAGGTGGGAATCGAAGTGGATGACAGATATCGGTCCATAGGCGGAATAAATGGACCGGAGCAAGGGAAGGACGATTGTATGGTCCCCACCAAGAGTAACAACACGAGGATGGTGCTTCCCGTCAAGCGAGATGGGCGAAAGCTGCTTCCCAGAGACCGTGTCATTCCCCAAAGGTGAATAAGCTTCGCGCTGAAGTAATGACTTATGGCCGTTCTCAATTTGCTGGATTGCAAATTTATTGTCATATGGCCTATATAGGTGTGACTAAGGTCATAATTTGCCTGGGTATTTTAACAATAACTTACGTGACCGGTATGTCGCCGCAATCCACGATCCTGAGGCCCGAGTTGAAAGGGTTGACTTGAAGAGGGACATTGTACCCTCCATAAAGCGTGAGTCGACGCGAACCTGCACGGATGCCCGCTACACCGCTCTGAGTCTATGATCCGGGAATTGGGCTTGGAGTATGTACCTGGTCCGAAGCGTGCCCCAGGCCTATAGCTCGTGCCAGTATCCTACAAGAACGACCCGATATCAATCAAAATATTTGGGAAAGGGGGGGAATTGGACTTGCGAACGGAGCGCCAATGAAGGCAATGTCGAAAGGGATGTGGCTCTCCCTCGTAAGACACTGAACCCATGGGAGCTTGGCAAATGTCGTAATTCCCGAGAATATTGCATCGGCTGTTACTGAGAAAGGGGTGAGGTGTCACTCGTTAAAAAGAGCAGTTAAATTCACCTTCTCCAACCCGATATATTGGCTGGGGAAACTTCACATAATTCAAAGGCATTTGGTCATCGTGGTGGTGACCGTCATGCCCTTCAACGACAACAAAGACGAGGGCGGAAACGAGGAGAGAGAATAAATTCATGGGGAATTAGTAGAAGAGGAACTTCTGAGGATTTTTAGGAACCCTCTGCCCCTTTTATGAGGTCGATATTTGTTTGTCGCAAGAAGAGACAGCGACTGGTACGACGCATGACAAAGATGCCTGCCTCATGATGCTCTCATGACCCATCGCGCTATCTGAATATGACGGCATGAGAGGGCGAGCGGGAACAAGTAGGCAGAATTGGTCTTACCCAACTTCGCGTTCGCCTTGAGGTGATGGACTCCACAAGGTTTATCCAAGTGGCTGCATTCAAATCTATCGAGATGCGCCTTGCGTCAAGTGATAAGGAACGTCGACTTTCCAAAAAAAATCATACACCCACCGATCCATCTCGGGAGACGAATGGAATGTAGGTGGGATGCCCGGAAAGAAATGCAGGGATTCCCGATTCAGTTGGATGCACGCTTGGCCTATAAGTCCGCAAGGAGGAGCGGAAGTAAAAATTCGTGCCGGAAATCATCTCTTTCTGACTCACCCATTACCCGATGCCCACTACCGCCTCTCCTGCTACTGAGGCGACGCCCTTGCTGTACACCTTCGAGCGCCCCAGCCATGGTGCTGAACAACGCAGATCACTGTCTGACTCGTCGACGAATGAAGAAGGATTTCCTCATGAGGAAGTTTTTTCCCAAGACCCTGGCGCAGTGAAGCTTGACTTCGAACTTTTCAAATCCCTGTTATTGGACTCGATTCCAGGTAGGACGTTGATTGGGTCTCCGAGGCCTCTTTCTACGCTAACAAGCGTTGTCATCAGTGATACTTTCCTATATCTTGCAGAACTCCATACAAACCGCATCGATTATAATCGCGGGACGCCTCGGGCCAAATGAATTGTCCGTTGCTGCCTTTTCGATGATGTTCGCTTTTGTTACTGGCGAGTATACGATTCCTTTCGTCCAAAGTATGATCCCACGTCCCCTTTCGTAGGCTGGTGTGTCGCGCTAGGTGGGACGACTGCCTTGGACACTCTGGGCTCACAGGCTTTCACCGGTGGGGTTCAGAAGACCGACCTTTCGATCCACTTCCAGCGATGTGTAATTCTTCTCTGGCTTTTTCTCATTCCCGTGTGTATCCTCTGGGCTTTCGTCGAGCCGCTACTGCTGTCTTTTGGACAACCTCTCTTCCTGGCCCGAGAAGTTCAGAAATTTTTGCGTGTTTTGGTTCTTGGTGCCCCTGGGTATGTCGGCTTTGAAAGTTTAAAGAAATATCTACAGTGTCAAGGTGAGCAGTCTCTCAGGTCTTGGAATGAAAAGACCAACACTTTTCTAGGGATCATGGGAGCATCGACTAAGATTCTGATTATCGTCTCCCCAATCAACCTAGTTTTGAACATATTCCTCGTCCACTATACCCCACTCGGGGTCCTCGGCGCACCCTTAGCAGTCTCCATTACCTACTGGCTCTGCTTCGCCTTTCTAGGAATCTTTACGTACTTCTCTGGCACCCACAAACAAAACGGGACATGGGGTGGGTTTCAGATTGCTGCCGTTCTTGATCTTCGAGGCTGTTACGAATTCCTCAAACTGGCTTTGCCTGGAATACTCATGGTCGGCACCGAGTGGTACGTATTGATTAAGGGTCTGGTTTCAGAGGACATCATCTAACCAGCTTTCCGAATCCGATAGGGCCGCCTTTGAGATCGTGGCGTTGGCTGCTGGCCGGCTCGGCGAGGTCCCACTTGCTGCACAATCCGTCATCATGACTACGGACCAGAGTGTGTGCGCTAAATTTGTAGATGCCGTTCAATGACTAACTGTCAGTAGTCCTTAATACTCTTCCTTTCGGGATTGGTGTTGCTGCGTCCACTCGGGTTGGCAATCTCATCGGCTCTCGCTCACCCAGAGGGGCAAAACTTGCTGCTCATGCTGCAGCACTTCTCAGTGTTATAGTTGGTGCTGTCGTTATGACCGCTATGATGCTCGCAAAGGACGTGAGGATGTTCATCGTCGTCCCACCATTTTTGTCTGCTAAGATTCAATTTCCTGACGGTAGGTATACGGCCTTCTGTTCAGCGACGATGAGCGAGTCGTACTACTCGTGAGCAAGGTGATGCCACTTGTCGCTTCCTTTCAGATCGCGGATGGTTTAGCTGGATCGTGTGGTGGAGTTCTTCGGGGCCAAGGTAGGTCAGGATTTAATTTCTGACAACTCTATTCACATTATCTGAAGGCCGCCAACACCTCGGCGCTCTTTTCAATCTGTTCGCATATTACGTTCTTGCTCTTCCGATGGGTATTACCATGGGATTTCACGCGAAGTTGAACCTTGGTCTGCAGGGCCTCTGGATCGGTGAGATATCTGCGCTTGTGTTCAATTCTTCAAAGTTCTAAGGGTGTTACAGGCCAGGTTGTCGCCCTATTTATCGTTGGGATAGGCGAATATTGTGTTGTATGGCTGGTCACGGACTGGGATTTAGAGGTGAAGAAGGGGATTGAGAGAAACCGCGAGGAAGCGAATCGCCGTGCTTGAATATACCGGCTGACAAGGTCTGGCGTATCGGCACTGAGAATTATCTCAAAAAATTTCCTTTCTTTCTTCCATTTCCAACCATTTTATGAGAGCTATTCGAAAGGTAAGCATTCTGTACACTTTCTAAGGAAATGTGGCCCGTGTCCGACCATTCTTCCGGGCCGAGAACCCGCTAAGTTCTCACGGCTTCTCCCTTTGCCATTCTCAGTTGATTCTCAGTTCACGAAGTTCAAGGTCACGATGGCGGTACATTCTTCCCAGACCGCGATAAGCCCTGGTCGTCTATTTCGGTTCATTCGCCCTTAAGCTCCACGCAAAGCCTGCATTCGAGATGTCTACTGGAATCCACCTCCACGACGAGCTGGCGCGAAACCCAACTCGAGTTGTCGTCGAGACAGCTTTCGGACCCATAATCGGAGGAAGGGCAGACAATGGATCTGTAGTTTTCCTTGGTTTGTGCATTCAAATTGAACGAGGGGATGTAGTCTCACTGACGAGTTGTAGAGGTTCCATATGCTTTACCACCTGGACGCTTCGAGGACCCGATAGCTCTTCCAAATGGATATCGTTATGAGGCGAAGGAGTACATAAAGGAGGCAACGTGTAGGCCACTATTCAAGCTGCATCACTGAGCTGTTGAGAGGTCAGTGACAAATGTTGTCCTCTGCAGACGGCGTACAACCTTTGAACGACGGTCAAGCCCAAACAATGCCCTTCGAGGACAAGGTCGGCTACGGAAAGCCCTCAGAAAATCCGTTCGTATCCTTTCTGCTGTCAATCCTCAAAGTTTTCTGTGCCAACATTGCTTACTGGTGTACAGACTTGTCTTAAACATCGTCATTCCACCTTCATTTCCCGAGGACAAGAACTTTCCAGTGAGGATCTATATTCATGGAGGGTACGACACCACCCTTTCCGACTGCTTATTGCTTAACTTTTTTATCCAGATTTCTGCAATTTGGGTCACCTCACTCCCTGGGATCACAGGCTCAGTACATCGTAGCTGAACGTTCGGAGATTTGGGTCAACATTGGATATCGATTGTCTGCATTTGGCTTCTTAGCAAGCAATGAACCAAAACTGAACGGGAATTACGGCTTCAAAGATCAATGGTTGGCGTTACAATGGATCAAGGCCAATATCGGGGCTTTCGGAGGTGAGTCCTTTCTTGCATCGAGAACGCGAACTCAGTCAAACGGTCGTTTGTAGGGAATGCGGGGGACATTATTCTTACGGGCTTGTCGGCTGGCGCACATTCTGTTCATCAGATACTCCATCACGCGTCCCTTCTTCCGGAAGGAGAACAGGCACCATTTCATGTCGCCGTTTTGCAATCTAACGCCATCCTGTAAGCACAAGTCTTCGTTACTATCCAGGTCTAATATTCGACTTATTCATCGATGTAGGACAGATCCTAAGGCTCCTCGAGAACTTCAGCCTCAATTTGATGCCCTTTGTCGGGCCCTGAACTTGGATCCGACCGCGCCTGATATCCTCCCGACTCTTCGCGACCCAATGAAAGTATCATGGGAGTCCATCAGGAATGTCATCGCATCCGAGTCCTTTGGCGCCTTTGGGACCTTCCGTGGATGCTCGAGTGATGACTGGATAACGACGAACCCAAGTCCGATGGAGTGGCAGCGATCTGGCAGCCTGGCTCGTGCATTGAAAGCCCGTGGCGTTCAAGCCGTCGTTGTCGGCGACCTTACAGAAGAGTGGTATCTCTATTCAATTGCTCATCCGATTCTTGGCCTTCAAGACGTCCTTCCGAACGTGGAGAGGTATTTTCCTACTGAGATTTGCAAGAAGTTGATCGGCGCTTTCCCGACGCTGCCATTGAACGCCAGTAGTGAGGAAGCTACCAGGTTGTACGGAGACATTCTCAGTGTTGGCCAGGTGTATCTTCCTGCGCGGCTTTTTGCTAGAGACCTTGAAGGGAGTGGATTGCCGGTCCTTCGATACCGTATTTGCTGGACACCGGAGCAATACAGGCCTGAGGGTAAGTTCAATTTGATCGCTTAGACCCCCGAAAATCTCCTCTGATCTCTTTAACAGGATACGTGACACATGGCTGCGATCGCCTTCTTTGGGCTTTGAGGACGTGCAGTCTTGAGTCGGACCAAGCACACGTAGCAGAGCAGTGGGTCGACAAAGTGTTCAAGGAGGTCGATGCTATCAGAACAGGGAACCCATCCAAAAATGCAAGATCTATGCTCACCTTAAAGGAAGACAAGAGCATTGGTTGGACGGTGGATGAAAATTGGGACCGGATGATGAAGCTAGAGGAGATGTTAAACAACAACTAAAAGACGTTCCCCGACCTGTAAAATACCGGACCTGTAAAATATGGAGAAGCTCATTAACCTTGTTCTTCGTTGAAGTCGAAGACCAACGTGTTATAAATTATTGATATAAAATTAAAAATCGGCGTTGTCAGACACAGGTCACGTGTGAACTACGGCAAAGGCGTCACTGGTGACTGCCAATCATTTGCCCTTAAGGCTTAGGGCTTGAACTTATACCACATTAACCACATTACTGCGCATTCCTACGTTAACCCAAAGGCTCATAGGTGCGCCTCGTGAAGAAATCTGTCCCATAACCCTTGAACAAAGGCGCCATTGCTAGGGACAAATGTCTCTGCAGGTCAACCTCTCCAGCAAGGAGATTGCGAATGCATATCAAGATGTCGTCAACGGAAGGGGAATAGACTGGGCGATCTTTACCTACGAAGGTGGTACAAACGATCTGAAGGTGCAAGCTACCGGTAACGGTGGGCTGGAGGAGCTAGAAGAGGAGTTCTCAGATGGACGGTGCGCCTTCTGGTGTTTGATCTGATATCGGACATGAACCGACACACTTTGCAGCATGCAATATGCTTTTGTGAAAGTTATAGATCCCAATGTAAGTCACGGTCCTTTAGAACATACTATCGTGTCTTACGTATCCTCCAGAGCCAACTGCCGAAACTCGTCCAGATCAACTGGTGTGGAGATGGTGTTCCAGAAGTCAAGAAGGGTCTCTTCCACACACATTCCAATGCCGTGGCTCGATTCCTGCGAGGGAGTCATGTCGTTATTAATGCCCGCAATGAGGTACGTGTTGCGAAGGTTTTTCTGCATACCGGTCTCTTATTTCAGTTCAGACCGATGTAACACCCTCGCTAATTATGTCGCGGGTGGAAGCTGCATCTGGTGCAAAGTACTCCGTTCAGAAAGAGGCGCCACGCAAATTCGAGCCAATTGCACCTGTAGGCTCCAGCTATACGCCTGTTGGCAAGGTCGATATCGCAGCGATCAAAAAGGCTGCTCCTCCTCCGGCTGCAAAACCAGCCCTTCCCCCCTCGTCATCGCGTCCTGGTTTCGGCGCCCCGAAGCCAGTTGCGTCTGCAGGATCCCTTTATGGTCGCACTGTGCATAGCGGTTCTGCTCCTGCGGACGCATGGCCGGAGGAAAAGCCAAGCCCGGCCGCAGCCGCCCCAACACCTCGTGCGGCTTCTCGTCTGCCGACAGTGCCAACGGCGTCTCGGCCAGCATTCAGCTCTATGGTGTGTTGTTCGTGTCATTTAATACCCTTATCTAATATACCTTTGTAGACGCCCAAAGCTCAGCCAGCATTCTCAGCACAAGCGTTCTCAGCTGCTCCAGTTGCAGCACCCGCACCCGCGCCTCCCCCTGCACCTCGTCCTGCAGTTGCACCCGTCGTCAGCTCCAATGTCCCTATGAAACCGGCGGAAGAGGACCGGATAGAGCCAGCGAAAAGTGCCTACACTCCAGTTAACCTGCCAGCGCCAAGGAAGCTTAAGAATCCATTTGCTGCCATGGAACAGCAGCAACAACAAGCACAACATACGCCAGCTCACAGCAACGCTCCGAAGAAACTGACTTGGTCTGAAAGGCAAGCCTTAGCAAAGAAGCAGGCTGAAGAAGAGGAAGCAAGGAGTCGAGGCGCTGCATTCACTCCACCCGCAACCACCCCCATTACGAAACCGGTCTTTAAATCCAACGCCCCAGCGTTCGGAAAGGCCACGGTTCAGCGCAGCACACCGAGGAACTTTGGAGCTGTCGGCGCCGCTGCGGGTGTCGGTGCTGCCGTTGGTGTTGGCGCGGCAGCGGCTGCTTACTCCGCTCGCGAACCCTCTCCTCTTCGCGAACCCTCTGCTCCACCGTCCCCTGCTCCTCCGCCACAAGCACCTGCTTCGTATATTGCTGCACGAGAGGCTGTTCAAGAGGCTGCTTGGGGCACCGAGGAGGAAGCCGAAGCTGCAGCAGAGCCTGAATTCGAGGTGGTAAGAATTTTCGTGCTTGCCCGATATGCAGATTTTTTAACCAGAGTTGTAGCCTCCTCCGCCTCCGCCTCCGCCTCCGCCCCCGCCTCCGGCACCTCCAGCATCTCTCCGAATGCCGGAGGTGGAGGCGGAGCCAGAGTTTGTCCCGCCCCCGCCTCCTCCACCCCCGCCTCCTCCACCCCCAGCTCCTCCAGTTGCACAGGTAACTCCTTTTGGTACATCGCAGGCCTTTAAGTGGCTAATGGGCACGATAGATGGCAGCATTGGCTATTGCTCCTGAGCCCGAACCCGTACAAGCGCAGGCACCTCCTACCGGTAAAGGCGTAGTTGCAATAGTGTTGTACGAGTACGAAGCTACGGAAGACAACGAGATAAACCTCGTTGAAGGAGAGTACATCGAGCAGATCGAAGAAATCGATGAAGGCTGGTGGTCAGGTGTTGGTGCTGGTGGAAAGAGCGGTTTGTTCCCAGGTTCATCAATTGCTGTCCTTTTATTCCCACTTGACTAACTCGGCTTGATAGCAAACTACGTCGAGGTTGTTCAACAGGCCGAAGTCCAAGAAGAGGCCGCTCCTCCTCCTCCACCACCACCACCGCCGCCGCCGCCGCCGCCGCCTCCACCTCCTGTAAGCCGGCTTCCACATCGGTTTCGTGTTCAATTCCATTGATATATGCGCAGCTCGCACCGGCGGCACCACCCGCGCCGCCTGCCCCTCCTAGAGCGCCGACGCCGCCGCCGGCTGACGTCGGGATAACTGCCATTGTGCTTTACGAGTAAGCCACTAATTTGCTGCCTATGGTATAATTGATGACGCCGTTAAACGTCAGCTACGACGCAGCTGAAGACAACGAGATCAGCTTCCGCGAAGGAGAGGTGATCACCGGGATTGAGGCGGCGTCGGAGGATTGGTGGCAAGGCACGAATCCTCGTGGTGAAGTTGGGTTGTTCCCGGGTACGTTGCTTCGTCTTTGGTTGATTCTAATGATACTGAATGCAGTGTTCTTCCAGCAAATTATGTCGAGGTTCAAGAGTAATCGTTTGCAAGTCATTGTTACAAATTTCGCCCAACGTACAGACCAATAAATTCCCTCTGCCGTATTACCTTCCTCCTAGTAAGCTATATTTTAGTATCATAAGACAAAGTCGTCGAGTAGCTGCATAGCGGGAAAGATTTTGAGGTATCGCACGGCTTCAGTAGATGGGATGTTTGTTTGGTCTTCAAATCGATCAGCGCCTCGCTTCCTTCCTACCTCTTTTTAGCTTTCTACCCTCCGCTCGAATTAATCTTCCACACTATTGCGGCTTCTGAGTCCCGACTCATCTACTGTGACGATGTTGTTTTCTGAGTTGGGTAAGCGTAGTGGTTTCACTTTGAGACTCGCACCTCTGATCGGGTACGAACGCAAAGCATGTTTCAGTCCTTTCGTGCCTCCGTCCATCAGGAAGTTGTGGGGTACGTCCAATCCCGCCGCCGTCTTCGAATTCGTCTCAAAATTTGCTATAAATCATAGTTATCAACGGTGGAACCCTGACCCACACGGAGACCGACTTTCGTCAAGCTCAGTTCTTCTTTTGCAACGGCATGAACGACCCCTGGCTCTCGGAGTAGGTGGTTTTCAATTCTCGGAACGCTCCTCCACCAAAATATCTGAACTACCTACTTCCAGGCTACTGTCCAGATCCCTTATCGTGCGTACTATTTTACCCGAGCTGGGCTAGCCTTAATCGTGCATATATGCACTCTTGCTCGCGCATACATCGATCTATCCTTATGCGACGTCAGGTTCGGCATGCTGCTTGGGTCACTGTATGCGTCGTCGAAGATTTTCGTATACCGATAGGGCCATACACGCTCGATGGTGGGCTCTAAACCTAGTCTAATGCGCATATATTGACCTTTCTCATCTTGTAGATGTTTTTGACGAGTCAGGGTTCCAGATTTTGGATCCAGACACTGTGCTGCAGGCAAGAACGGACGGCGTAAGCCTGAAGAAGACCACGTTGCCTCAGAAAAGGTCATTTGTAGAGGACGAGGAGCTTGACTCGGGCACGCTCGAGCGACCAAGAAAGAAGGCCCGGATGGAGACTACTGGCTCTCCTGCGGAACAGGAGCTCGCGCCTGAGCCAAAGAAATTGTCCCTCAAAGGAAACATAACTCCAAGTCGCATCTCCTTGCCTATGACAATCTCTGTAGGGAATCCTGGTCGCAGAATATCCATTTTTCCTCGGCCATCGTTCCGCGCTCGTATCTCCAGAGCCGCTAAACTCTTCGAGAGCCGTATCATTCAATTTCGGCCTTGTCAGCAATCTGTTTCTACGTCACTTATTCCGCCTTCCGGTGTGACTTGCAAACGAATTGCTCCGTACGTCTTCTCCTGTGCTTGCTCATTGTCGCCTTTGACACCTGTCCTGCCACGATAGACCTCTGAACAAGCACACTTTGTTCTGGAATGACCTGCTTGCAAAAAATCAGAGCGACTCTGTGGCGACGCTGACACTGTCAGTTGATGACTTACTTCGGGCACCCGGAACCAGAGCTGCCATCTTCACTGTCAACGAGACGTATCTTGGGAGAACCTTCGTCAACGAGGACTATGCTTAATGAATTCTTTCTTCTGGACTGTCAATGACGCGATATGGAAGTTTCCTTTAATTGTATGTCTCCGTCCCTGCACTGCCTTCGCTACGAATATGGAAACTACTAAATGAAATCCAATTAACCTCAGGAGAGGCCGGGCCTCGGAATGAAGGTGCAAGAAAGATGCCAATACGGGGTTCCTTGAGGTCCCTTGCGTCACGATGTCAAGCTGGGCGCTGCCATCCAAGGAGAGTATTATCCTGGTTACCGCCTTGCTCTTGTTGCCTGTCGCCGTCGCTGTCATATGCGGAATCGTCCCTTTACGCACGTCCTGCGATACAGCGGCGTTGTGGCAGAGTCTAGCCTTCCATGAGGTCATACCACCAAGGCGACCTTTTCAGGTTGGATCGTCGTCATCGGTTGAGAGCTGGTTCTCCGTTGCGCTCATCTGAAGGTCCTCATTGAAGGAATGCATTGGAGGAACGTTTGTTCCATGATGGCCTCGTACTGGGGCCTGAACGGCAGCGAGTCGGCGAGGACGGACATGTGGCGGAGCTGCCAGTGCGCATAGTTCCTTTCCCGCATCTTGGACAGGAAGTCATCCTATGAATGCGGAACGCCGGTTTTCATTCCTTTCCAATTACCGACAAATGGAGAACATGGACTCACGATTTGGCTAGTCAGCTGGCCCTCGTTTGGAGCATCTGGATGAAACGCCGGACGGTCGCCAGCATGCGGCAGGATGTATCTGACGACCAATTCAAGACTGTCGAGTCTTGGGAGCTTCATGGAAATCATATCGATGAGCTGGGGCGATAACGAGACGAGGCCGACGCGCAGCTTGACTAATGGTTCGTCCCTAATAGGGCCCGAAACGATATTGACGGCTTTCTCGATGTCCTCGTACGTCCGATAACTGCCGGTCAGCGACAACGAGGTGACAGTGGAGGAAAAATGGGCAAGGCACGCGACGGAGGTGGCGACTGGGAAGAGGTTGGAGCTGATGTCGAGGGTACGCAATTTTGGCAAGCTGACATTGTGAATGGCATCCCTGATCCAGTTGTCGAATGATGCTAAATCAGGCGTCATGCCTGCGCCGCCATATTGTGTTGCCCGCAAGCGTAAGGTCCGAAGACTGGTGCGATGGGCGATGAGGAACTCGGACAGGCCTTGCGGATCTCCGAGGTGGTTTGGCTCAACTGGGATTGCGACGACGAGCTGCTCGAGCGCGGGTAAATGGGTAATGGAACGAAACATCGGGGAGAGGTCGGCTGCTTCCCATGACTGGATGGTGAGTGTATGCAACGTCGCGTTTAGACGACTAATCGCAGGTGCCAGGTACTTCGTCATGATGCAATTACGTTCCCATGTTGACTCGATGTTCTCCGAGTGGATGGTGAGTTGAAGCTCTTCGAGGTTTTGGACTTGGAAGGATGGCGTTAAAAGGTTTCTGACGTTCTCGAGCGACAGTTCGAGTGAGAGCTTTCGAAGCTTCGACTGGAAGACGGTCGAAAGGAAGGGCACGGCTGTCGCACTTATCGAAGGCAGCCCGCACCAAGTCACGTAATAGTCGGTCACGTTGGGCAGACCGCTGAGAACCTCGAGCATGATCTGGACAACGTCTTCGGTGCGTTTGAGCGTGTGCATCAGCCGCGATTTGGCGTGCTTGGGGAAGAGCCGCTGCTCTAGGAGGTGGTTTCCCAGGTCGGCAAGGCGGTATTTGAGGGATCTGCGGAGGACTGGCTCGGTCTTGTCGCGTTCGAGGGCGTCCTTGAGGAAGCCGGGATAGACGTGGAGGATGCGGACGCGCTTGGCGACTGCCGGGTCTCTGCGGTGCGTGTTTGGGGTCAGTTCAGGGAGATGAGACGACGACGACGCACTTGAGACGGGTGAGTGCACGCAACATGCGCTTGTCGAGGTATGCGAAGCTCATCTGGCGATAGCGGCAGTCCATTGCGATCTCGAAGAACGTGCTGTTTAGGGAGATAAGATCGCGGAGGACGAGGACGGGGAGAAACTGAGCGATATGGAGCCAGATATCGTGGGGGAGGGTGGGCATGGGGGAACGGGGGAGGGCGGTGTGGATCTCGGGCGAATATGAAGGGAGAGCGAGCGAGTTTCCATCTGGGAGCGACTCGCGAGGAAGAGGACTGTTCAAAAAGCTGTCACTTGCCGTGATTGTTCGACAGGGTGAGGACAGTCTTGTTCCCGTTTCGACCTTAATGAGCTTACCTCAGCCCCTTCTTAATTGCCTCGAGGCTCCCCCCGGCACCCACCCGGCCTCCACTCGCAGATCAGCCTAAAAGCGACACATGTCCCTTGTCACGGCCCTATACTTGTCCACAATATTGCCCCGAAATTGAACAACGGGCGTCCGGAATGGCACACCACTCGCCACACTCGGAAACCGGAGTCGTATGTCGCTCTTCATTCCGGTATATCTGACATAGACTCTAGGAGGCCGTGCGTCTATACATGGTTCCCGCCACGGACGCTCCGACACTGACTTTTGACTTCGACTTGGGGCTACCCTTCTTTCCCTTCTGTCTGCACAACCTCATCGCTCAAAATCGATTATCGATTGCCTAGGACCCGTCACGCACATGCCGCCGCAAAATCTGGCACAGTGCACCCATTCCCGAGGGTTTTCGGGCACGATGGACGGGATCGAGGACGGAAAGTGCCTATTCTTGCGTTCTCTCGCAGCCCATAGGCCGGAAGACGCCTTTGCCCGTGCTACGGTTTCATCTTTTCAGCTTTCAACAGGTTCTTTTGCGGTTCGCGGGTGCGCGGCGACGTGCGGCGCAGGATCGCGCAAACGCCGTCGCAAACCCGAGCGCGTCGAAGTGCGGGATGGGAAATAGACGCCGTGCGTTGCCTATGTCTAATCGACGGCGTGGGGCTTAGTCCCGACTCCCGAGGAATTTTTGGGCCTATGGGAGACGCGCGCTTGAAATACGCGGACTTCGGATTTCTGCGGTATCTCATTGGTTCTGGCAACTGCCTGCACATTCCTGGTTCTGAGACGACGTTCATCTTCTGAGCGCGCAACGTCTCGAATTCTCTCCCAGAGGACTTTCCACGGACTAGCATCCTCGAAAGAACGCGACCTCGACTTGGAGGATGGGAGGACGCACGCCTCTAGCACGCGAACGTGATCTACACGGCAATTGCGTACACCGTCAGTGGAAGCACGATGTTGCTACGAATATCGGAATCGACTCCTTTTGGTCTCTCTGCGTTCACGATACCGATGGCCAGAACGCGTTCAATAGCACGCATGGCTACGAGGATCGCGATCGGCTTCATGCCGCACGAGCTTTATGCAAGCAGCCTGGGATTTGCTCGAACTGCCGCAGAAGATTCCGCTTGGATCAAGGGAGATAGGTCTACCTGCGCCTATTTCATGACGATGGGCCTGCAGGTTGACGGGGTGCTCCTCGTTTAGACGGGTAGATTTTTTTTTCTGGTTCTAGAGCACTCCTCGTTCTGATGTTTTCTTAGTGTAGGCACCTGTGCTCGAAAGGAGCAAGGTTTGACTGTCACCGATGGTGAGAGTCTGCGCCTGCAGGATTCATTTCACAACTTCGACACACAACAATTACAGCACGGCCGCTCCTTCACGTCAACCACATTCACTGCTTCCTAGTATCATAGCCACCCTCGGCCGAATCACCATCTATACGGCAAGAAATACATTGTTACTGCCCAGGTATGCTCGTCGTACCTGGGTCCTATAATTAGACGCCCAAAGGCTATCACACAATCAGTGTGTGGCGAGGGTCCAGACTCGGAAGAAATGAGCGGTCCAGGATTCCATGGAAGGGTCTGACGTCGCATCGAACATTGAACGTTGAACGTTCGATGGAAATGGGGAGGAGAGAGGATATATCATCAAAGTCAGGTAGGATTGACTGAGAGGTAGGTTGCGATATAAAGGGCTAGGCTGACGCTTGGTCTGCAGCTAGGACCATGATTTTGGCGAGGCTGGTCATTGCGTTAGTAAATCAAGAAGGCGCCATTTTGGACGTAAATGTGAGTCGGCAGTTGTATTTTCCGTGGCTAACCGCGAGAGCTGTCGCGGAGTCTAGACACGCTAGCCGCTCAGCGTCAACAACGATTTCGCGACGGTGGGTGTTGTAAAAGTAAGCCCATCCGTCGTGATTAATATGAGTCGTTGACGCTACGCTTCAAAGATCGCGCAGCTTCAAAGGTCGAGGTGGTGGTTTGTCCGACGACTCCTATTCAGCTCACATGAGGTTTCAAATTCAATGCTCCAAATCAAAAATTTCAACTTGGACTAGTGCCACCGCCATATCGATCTCCAAACCGCCACAATCGTTTGTCAATGGCACCATTTCTTGATATGCCTGCTAGAGCCATCATCTTCCAGTAATCGAGCGTCCTTCGGCCCTTGTCACTGCACTTGTATCGGGTTCTGCAAATTCTGCCTCATATGACGTCATCAACCGCGATGCAACATGACGAAGTCCACCCACGAAGGTGCACATTGTATTAGTGCCGTTCGAAGCGACTGTGACGGGAAACTTCAGGAAATTGCCAAAATGGTTACAACGGACAACGACAAACCGCTGCTGCATCTCGATACTACAGAGGGGACAAAGATACGGCAATGTCTCGAACTGGGCTCTAGTTGATTTCAATTTGCACTCGCCAAACTGACTCGCGAGAGAGTAGTTCAGTAACCCAAGTTTCTTGAATCCAGCGGTGTAAGCTGGTCGCGCCACATCAAGAACATTTCTTTGCTGGAAGCCTCCTCACCTGTTATGCCCCCGAACAATGTACCGTCAGGACCCGACTACAGGTTGTGTGAATCGTGCCTTCCTACCGTTCTCTGAACCAACTCGTCTCGGAATTTTTGATGAAAGAGCGGAGAGAGAAGGTGGGATTGGCTGAGAGGTGTGTATGTTGGCACATATTGGGCCAGGCTGATGATTTGCCTTCAGAACTTGCCTACGATTTTGCACAGAGTGGGCTTTCGCATCACAAAAACCATTTTGATGCAAATGTAGGTTGTAACTTGTCGGGCTGTATATATTGTGGCTAAACGCCGGCGGGTGTTTGTCAGTTGATTTTTGAGAGCGCTACACCTCATTTGCAATCATTGCAGGCGATTACATGGCTAATGACGCTAGGAACTCGCTGGTAAGTACCATTAGTACGGGACAAGGACGAGAAGGTGTTCCTATTAGCGGAGCTTTTTCGCCCAGAAGCCAAGTATGTCTCTGCTTCTATCGACGGAGATACCCACTCTGGGGCATCTTCCGACTTCCAGCTTATCATGAACTTCATCATGGGTGCATCGCGTTCCTTCTAGTCCTTGGCCGGCGTTCAAGTTAGTGCTCATCCTTACCCCTTTACTTTAGACTGTATTGCATTTGGAGGTACTTCTCACTCTAGCACAAGTCGAGCAGCGGGATTGATGACTTGCAAAGATGTTCCGCGAATATCCACTCTGAACTTGGGGTCTCTGCACCACAACGAGAAGAAAAAGATGGGCTCTGCGGACCGAAGCTATCAAAGAGATTGATACGAAGGCCTCAAAGACCCAAACTCAACTCCGTGAAATTTTCATTATGCCCATCGAAAGCATGTCAAGGAAGAGCAGTGTCAAGACTGGGTGTGTCCTATTTTTTAAACTTCGAAACTCTCACATCTCGCAAGGTTCAATATGTCTTCTAGGGGACTTGTTGCCTAGAAATCAGAGTGGCTGTCAGCTCCAAGACATATAGAATCAGAGTCTCAGACAGCATCACTGGACATCACTTGTTGATCTCTCGAAGTACTGTTTTTTTCTCGTCTCTGTTCTAATTTTGTTGCACGCCGTACCTTAGTATAGGCTGTTTGGCATGAACTGATTTGGGTTTGGGTGGGCCACCGTGGAGAACAGTGTAAATAAATTTCCGAACAATTTTTTCAATTAGATACCACACTGTGCCGTCTCTGCGACTATGCGAGTACTTGGTAGGCAAGTTTGTGGGCGCTGTAGTGAATGTTCTGCACGTGAACGGAAACAATCGCAACCGCATTAGGCAAGAACCGCGGCATGCATTGGCAACGTTTCGGTTTGTCACAGCGTTTGGCGAACCGCCATCCATTTCTCAGGTCCCAATTGTGGCCCCAGCGGCCTCTCCCGTACCCCCTCCTCATCACCAGTGCCGTTCTCCTCAAAAGTGCCGCGCTTCTGCTCGCATTGCATACGGCGGCAGGCGAGTGGTGAGTCTATCCCCGATTATGCTCACGAGTCTAGGATGAATGCTCACACATCATCGTCATGTGCATCAGAGGCAGCAAGCAAGACACTATTCCGGGTGATCCCAGCCGTAGCATGATCGCGAAATTCCACTCTGCCCCTGGGCACTCTATGGAGACGACACTCACGATCAACATCCCGCCCCCGGGACATGTTCGCAGCCGTAGTGGACGGCTGAAGGCGAAGGAGGTAGAGGAGGTCAGAGTGGCGAAGGAGAAAGCGGAGAAGGAGGAGCAGGAGAGGGAAAAGTATGAGAGGGAGAAGTATGAGCGCGAGCAGGAGCTTCTGATGAAGGAGCAACTGGAGAGAGAGCATCATGAACGCGAACGGCGGGTGTGTTTTTTGGTCTTTTTGGAAGAATTAGAACTGACACTGCGACCAGCACGGAGACCGTAATGTGTCCTACAAGGATAAGCACGTATAATTCCTGTCTTCATATCCCTCATTGTTAACTTTAGCTCTAGGTTTCACAAAATGCGCGAAAAGTACGATAGAGTAACTCTGGTAAGTCCTTACTTGTTCTTATCTCCCAGGTTCATCAAATATATGCACTGTTTACTTACCTTATGCGCCTTGATCTAGACCCATGAAACCCACGAACGCGAACTAGAGATGCTTAACGCCAAAATCAAGAAGATGCAGGCCGAAAACGAGTGCGTTACGCCCCAACTCATCATGCATCACCTTCGAACAGATCGCTCAATTCATTCATATTCATTTCAGCCTTCTCCTGGACGCCATCTACCTCGCAGATGCCAGCCTCTACTATCGCTACTTTCCAGAATCCGACTCGCCCCCATTTGGCTCTGCTCCGCTACCGCCGTCTACAGGACGGTCCGACGTACACTACCATGGCCAAGCACCCATGTCCCACCTCACAGCACCGCCTCCAATGATGGTCCCGAGCTCGTCGTCTGCGTCGTCTTCGGACCCCTATGTGCATTCAGGGTTGAATCCAGCGTATATGCCGCAGCAACCTCATGTAGAACCTTCACCTGGTCACCGGAGTCAGTCAAGGACCTCGTACATGCAGCCGTTCCCTGTGTATACTGAGACTTCGCCGCCAGCTCAACACCAGCAGATGTCGCAGCCGCCTACACCATATGCTACCTATGGTCATTACCCACCAGCAGTTTATAGCCATTCGCCTTCGCCGTTCTATACACAAGTGCCAGGATATTATCCTCCTGGGATGTCAGCTTCCACCTCAGCTTCAGGGGAAAGAGATCGGGACAGGGATAGGGACAGAGATAGAGGCAGAGGCAGAGATCGCGAGCGTGGCGAACGAATTGATAGGCACTCCAGGGAAAGAGAACGAGACAGAGCCCCAGCGACTGCTTCAAATCATCCACCTATGCCGCCACCGTTGCCACCCTTGCAATCGTCCATGGCTGCCCCGCCGATGTCTCCTCATGCTGCCGGTGGCCTAACCCCAACTCACACCGCGAATAACGGTTCAATGCTACCCCCACCGCCCACTTCCGCTGCCAGCACGAGCTCGAATGGTACCATTGTTCCTAGGTCTTCGCGATCGAGAAGACGGAGTGACGTCTCGAGCAACAATGGCCACGGCGGCTACATTGTTACGAGTCCCCGTCATACCAGGCGCGGATCTGGGACGACTGCTGGTGTGCCCCTCGCTCCTGAGGAGATGGATTTGAGCCTTGGTGGGCCCGTTGTGCTCGACGTCGTGTCCCCTGGCATGCCCAGCAGGACTAGGCGGAGCAGTCGAACAAGTGCAAGGGACCGAGACGAGGAGCTGCGAGGAATGGATGTCGATCCAGAAGAGGGTTTTGAGACGACGCGGACGAGCAGGAATGGGAGCCGGACGCCTACGACGCGTGGTGCGAGCATGAACGGTGTAGACGTCAGTGCATCCATGCGAACGCCGACCCCGTTTGCTACGACCCCGAACGGGAACGGACGAGGCGTGCCTGTTCAAGAGGAGACACGGGCACATGAGGAGTTGCAGGTAGAGGTTCGCTCGTCACAAAATCGGGAGCTGCACACGCCTGCACCAGCGCCTGTGGTATCACCGCCTTCCGAGGTGGAGGACGGCGCGGACGGAGGTGGCGAGGGTGGGCGACAGGCCGAGGACATTGTCATGCGCGCTGAGGTGAATGGGCTGGTGCCAGGATCAGCGTCTGACTCCCCGCGCGCGGCCGGCGAGGAACAGGGCGAGAGGATGGACGTGGACAGCGATGCGGGGTCCGCCCCGGCGAGTTGAGGTGGAGGTCGATTTGGACTTGTGTTTTGTTCTGAGTGGGTCTTGATTTTTTTTCTGAGAAGCTCAGAGATTATATTCAAAAATTCATTGCGCTGAAGGACGTTCATGTATATTACTCGCATTTTCTCTACCGTGACGTTTCCCCCTTCGGTCTTTCAAGTCGTTGGTTCTAGTCTTCGTCGAACTTCTGAAAGCTGATACACTGTCGTAGCCTGTAGGTCATTCAAGCTCTCATTCAACTCGCACATGCAAAATATTTTATCTAATTTAATGCTCGTTGTGGCTCGGATGATGAAAAGGGATCGGAGGATGCCGTGGTTCTCTTCTACCCGCCCGCCAGTATTTTTTCAGGTTTTTCTCGGAAGAGTCAGGATGACGATTGAACTTCGAGTCTTCGGTGGCTCCTTCAACTTGAGCTCGAACTTTGGCGTCTCTGCTGTTTGCACTCTCCTTCTAGTGGTCGTTTTTCCTGCGTTTCCTCCTGATCAAGCACTTCAACCATCAGGACCAAGCGTACTATGAACAACAGTCGACGAACTTGACACAAGGGGAGTATCATCTACCCCGTCTAGGTTTAGCGGATTGGCACTACAGGTATATAAGCGCCCATGGATCGAATCGTCCTCACTATACACTTCAGCGCTCCAGCTTCAAGTTCGCTATGCAATCTCAGCAGAATCTATGCGACAATTTGGGAATGTGACCCGGCTCTTGGCACCTCCGTTCCATCGCCGCTGAGAGGCCTTGCTTTGTGGTTCTCACTCGGCCGATATCCTTCACCATCCCGGATTTCCGATGTCAGGACCCTGCATGGCGTACACATCTCTTGGCTCCTTTGTCTGCACATGCCCATCATTCAGCCGGCCGGATGAACAGCAAGAGGTAGGCGGATAGTTTGTCCTTTGACAGGCTTTGAGCGAGGATTTCGAACGGGCGACTGAGAAGCACCGATAGCTGCTGGGCGCGAAAAGAATTCCGCGGGATCTTCACTTGAAGAAGTGGAAGCGGCCGTTTCATGCTTACTCCAAAAATGCGCTGAACCTCTACAGACCTCTACCATCTACGGGTGGAGCCATCGCTTCAAGCCCAAGCCACAGGCACGATCAAGGGACCTCGCGAGGTCTCCTATAAAAGCCTCCCGCACTATGTTCAACATTCCCCGTCATACCGAGTCCTACCTTTCCCCTTGGCTCACGCGCTCAGCGTAATTTGTGAATTGAGGGCATCCTCGATAAGGCGCCTAATGCGAATGTCTCTAACTCGAGCGGCTCTTCTGTTAACTCATGCCTACTTCCACCACCGAGCATACATATCGCCGAATCCGAACCCACCCACCGTGGAGTACGCGAAGCCTTCTGAGAAGGAGACCGCGACGTTCTTGAATACGGGGATTATTATCTTCAGAGTGAGTTAATCCACAACGTTGTTCGTTATGATTAACCTCAGCTAAATTCCGAAAAGGTATCATATAGTCTCATCTGCGCGCTCGAGGCCTTCGTAATTGTAGCGTCAAAGTTCCCGCATCTTCCTTTCTCCCATGCCGTACTATCCACCTTCACATCCCCCGACGCGACCTGCGCCTCAAACCTTCAGCCAACTACCTTGTTCCTCCTAGGGGTATTCTTCACCCTCCAAGGCGACCTCCTACGTCTCTGGTGCTTCCGAGAACTCGGAAAGCACTTCACTTTTATCTTCACGATTCAGACGGACCACAAGCTCATGACGTCGGGGCCGTACGCGTACCTACGGCACCCGTCGTATCTGGGCGCTATCTTTGGCTTCATCGGCGAAGTTCTATGCCACCTCACGTGGGGATCGTGGTTCATGGAGTGCTCCGGAAAGGGGTTGAGTGGGCTGGTACTGGTAGCACTGAAGGGCTTGCTTTCCGCAAGGATGTTGAACATGGCGACGATATGTGTCACGGCGCTCCAGCGGGCGGAGGAAGAGGATAGGGTTTTGAAGCGGATGTTCGGGAAGGAGTGGGAAGATTGGGCGAAGAAGGTCCCATATAAGTCGATTCCTTGGATCTACTGAAGCCGGCGAATATTGAAGCAAGCTCGTCTGTATTTCTATCCTGACAGCACCCGTCATGATTATCATTCCCTGAGCGCTTATTTCCATTAGGCCGTGGTGACAAGGATCGCTCTCCTTGCGGCACTCTGCCTACGCAGTCTCAGACTCTTTCCTCGACCCCCGAACCTCTTCTGACGACCAACGGAATGACTCTATTCCTAGCCTCTTGCTAAACAATGTTGTTTTCAGCGAGGAAGGAAACCTTCAAAGTTCAAGCGAAACGCTTGAGAAATAAAACTCAACATTTCGGATCTGTTTCACACTCTTGATCTGTTACTACTCTCGCAAAGACTGGTCCTGCTGCCTCGATTTCTCTCGTGGCCGAAAGGTAATAGAAGCACTGTGAACCGATAATCTGTCGTAGCACTGGTCCCCGTGGGCCTTCGTAGCCCAAGAAGCAATCTGAGAAGCATCATTAGCACGTTCCTCGAAACTCCAGACCCTTCCTGTAGCTACTCAGAAGCTAAAAGGGATATCCGAGTTCTATATAAATCCATACCGTGAACGTTGAATTCTGTTTACTAGCTCCAGCGTGAGAATTCGTCCGCGAGCGGAGAATCTGACCTCCTGGCGAATCTCTACTTACCACCTCGAGGTCCTGTATAAAAGCCGCTCCCCCGCACGATATTCGGCATCCGAGTCCCACTTACCACATTAGAGCGCGTGCATCCTTCACAAAGCGCTGAACTTGCATGTCTCTAGCCCGAGCTGCTCTTCTGTTAACCCATGCGAACTTCCACCGCCGCGTATTTATATCGCCGAATCCCAACACGCCCATCGAGGAGTATGCGAAGCCTTCCGAGAAAGAGATAGCGCCGCTCATAAATATGGGGATTGTTATCTTGAGGGTCAGTTGGTCTACAGCGTTGCTCCATGCCTTCCCCGTTAGATTCTAATTGGGAAACAGCTGTCGTATAGTCTCGTATGCGTGCTCGAGGCGCTCGTGGTCGTGGCGTTCAACTTGCCCAAATTTCCCTTTTCGCGAGCCGTTCTACCCATCCTCACGTCTCCCAATGCGACCTGTGCTGCGAACCTGCAGCCAAACACCCTCTTCCTCGTCGGGTTATTATTCACCTTACACGGCGACCTTCTTCGCCTCTGGTGCTTCCGCGAGCTCGGCAAGCACTTCACTTTCGTCCTCACAATCCAGAAGGACCATAAACTGATCACATCTGGGCCGTACGCTTATCTACGCCACCCGTCGTATCTCGGCGCCATCTTAGGTTTTATGGGGGAGGTTCTGTGCCACCTCACACGGGGGTCGTGGTTCATGGAGTGTGCTGGGAGTGGGATGAACGGCCTGATACTGGCGGCGCTGAAGGGTCTCTTTTTGGCGAGGATCTTGACTATGGCGCCATTCTGTGTCGTGGCGCTTAAACGGGCGGGAGAGGAAGATCAGATTCTGAAGCATGCCTTTGGGAAGGAGTGGAAGGAGTGGGAGGAGAGAGTACCCTATAGGTCAATTCCTGGGATCTACTGAAGGAGGTGCCGGTGAATATTGAAGCAAGCATCTGTATTCTTATTCTCCCAGCAGCCGTCATGACATCATTTCAGCGCTTATTTCAACTGCGTCGGCCGTAATATCCGGGGATTGTCTTACCTGGGACACTCCGCTCAAACTAATCGCACATTCGTCCCGTACCCTCGGGTCCTCTCCCTCCGACTGGCTCAGTAACTCTACTCCGCGACGCTTCAAATCCTTTGAACTTCACGCGAAGCACTTGATATAAAAATCTCTACATTTCGGATCTGCTTTAGACTCTTGGTCCCATTGCGACTCTCGCAGTGACTCGTCCTTCTCGCTTGATTCCTCTCGTGATTAAAATGCAATAGGAGCGCTGGGACTCCGAATCTGTCGTAGCGCGGGCCCTCATGGGCCTTCGTAGACCAAGAAGGAATTTGAGTCTCTGAGAAGTATGATCAGTAGGCCAGGTCCTCCCACAAGTTACTCAGAAGCTGAAAGGCATCTGGGAATTCTAAATCCATACCGTGAACAAAGAGCAGGTTGGACTAGTGACCGGGTAACAGGAGACCCGCCCGCAGAAGTTATGGCACCGATAGCTGTTGGCCCGAAAAATGATTCTCGATGACCGGCCTGAGCTTACTCCGAGCAAAACTCCAACAGCACGAGCGCTGAATCCTTACTTGCCATCTACAGATGGAGCCATCGCTTCAAGTCCCCAAGCCACAGCAAGGAACCTCGAGGTCTCATATAAAAGCTCCCTGCATATATTCGACATCTCCAGTCCCACTCACCTTGTCGCAAACGCTCTGCACAACCAGTCAATCGAGTGCATTCTCCACTAAGCGCCCAACTCGCATGTCTCTAGCCCGAGCCGCTCTTCTCTTAACCCATGGATATTTCCACCACCGAGCATATATATCGCCGAATCCCAGTCCACCCACCGAGGAGTGCGTCAATGAGAAAGAGACGGCAGCGTTCTTTAATATGATCAATAAGCGAATGGCTTTCTTCAGGGTGAGTGGGTCTGCAGCATCGATCCATGTTCGCTTACTTAACGGCGAAATAGCTATCAATTAGCCTCATCTGCGTGCTCGAGGCGCTCGTGGTCGCTGCGTTCAACTTCCCCAGTCTCCCCTTCTCCCATATCGTTCTTACCAACTTCACATCTCCTGACACGACCTGCGCCGCAATTTGCAGCCAACCACCATATTTCTCATCGGGGTATTCCTCGCCCTACAAGGTGACCTTCTACGCCTCTGGTGCTTCCGCGAGCTTGGCAAGCATTTCACCTTCGTCCTCACGATCCAGAAGGACCACAAATTAATGACATCCGGGCCGTACGCATACCTCCGCCACCCATCGTACCTCGGCATCATTTTTGGCTTCGTCGGGGAGGTTCTGTGCCACTTGACGCGGGGGTCGTGGTTCATGGAGTGTGCAGGCAAGGGGATGACTCTGAGCAACCTAGTGCTGTTGGCGTTGAAGTGTCTCCTTTGCGTGAGGATCTTGAGTATGGCGGCAACATGTGTTATGGCGCTTATACGGGCAGAAGAGGAGGATCGGGTCTTGAAACAGATCTTCGGGAAGGAGTGGGATGAATGGGCAAATAGGGTGCGGTATAGGTCGATCCCCTGGATTTACTGAAAGAGGAGGGTATCGAAGAAAGCGTGTGTAATCCTGTTCTTCCAGCAGGTGTCATGACAAGGCTTACTTCAACTAGCTCGCAATATTTCAGGCCTGGGATACTTGGCCCAAACTCGCCTCACATAGTCGCAATTCATTCTCTCTTCTTCGGATCGTCTTCTGTAGTGATTTCATTCCCGACACTGTTATTTTCAACGACTACATAAACCCTCCACTTAACCTGAAGCACTGAATCCTGATTTTTTAAAATCTACATTTCGGATCTTTTCAGACTCTTGGTCCCATTGCTACTTTCGCAGAGACTCATTCTACTGTCTGGATTCCTCTCATGCTTGAAAGGCAATAGGAGCACTAAGGGCGGCATAACCGTCATAGCGCCGGGATATGCGCTAGTCCTAACCCCTTACTGTGAACCGAGAGAAGGCTGAACTTGAAAATGAGATGGTGTAATGCAAAATATTGCTTCTCCGAAAAAAAAAAAATTAGTCCCTTGGACCTTGATTTCCGACAGAAAGGCTCGCCATTAAAAGAACTTCCTGACCCCTGTCGATGAGATGTCAAGGTCGGCTAACGCAGAAACGGCAGGGACCTCGGAGACATACGCTGTACGGTATTACTTGTTTCAAAAGGCATTTCAACCAAATGACGATGGGGCATGAAGTAAAGCATTCCTGGGTGTTTGCCATGGTAATTACTCGCTCAAAATTGTGTCAGCTTCGTGGAGGGCACCGGTAAGGTTTGATCAGACGATGTCACTCACCGAGTGTAGAACCGGGAAGCGAAAAGGCAAGACAAGTGGATCCAAAATCACTGTCAAGGCCGGGAGCGAAACGAGGAAGGTCAAGCCATCGTCATCCCCGGGGTCTCCTATAAAAGCCTCCTCGACATCCAGTGAATCCAATTTTCCGCCTTGGCACACGCGCTCTTCCACATAGTGCTCAATTCGCATCATGTCTCTCTCCCGAGCCGCTCTTCTGTTAACCCATGGGTACTTCCACCACCGGGCATATATATCGCCAAATCCCAACCCACCCGCCGAGGAGTGTCCAAAGCCTACTGAGAAGGAGACGGCAGCGTTCTTTAATATGATGAATAAGCGGATGGCTTTCTTCAGGGTGAGTTGATCCGCAGCGTCGATCCATGCTCTCTCAATTAAACTTCAAGCTTCAACGCCAATCACGAAACAGGTGTCATATAGCCTCGTCTGTGCTCTCGAGGCACTCGTGATCGTTGCGTTCAACTTCCCCAGTCTCCCTTTCTCCCATATCGTTCTTACCACCTTCACGTCACCCAATGCAACCTGCGCCGCAAACCTGCAGCCAACCATATTATTCCTCATCGGGGTATTCTTCGCCCTACAAGGTGACCTCCTGCGTCTCTGGTGCTTCCGCGAGCTCGGCAAGCACTTCACCTTCATCCTTACGATCCAGAAGGACCATAAGCTGATGATGTCTGGGCCGTACGCGTACCTGCGCCACCCGTCTTACCTCGGCGCCATCTTTGGATTCATCGGAGAGGTGCTGTGCCACCTCACGCGTGGGTCGTGGTTCATGGAGTGTGCAGGCAAGGGGATGAGCGGTATGGTGCTGGTGGCGTTGAAGTGCCTCGTTTGTGTGAAGGTGTTGAACATGGCGATAGCATGTGTAATGTTGCTTAAACGGGCAGGGCAGGAGGATCGGGTTTTGAAGCAGACATTTGGAAAGGAGTGGGATGAATGGGCAAAGAGGGTGCCGTATAGGTCTATCCCTGGGGTCTACTAATGGAAGAGAATATTGAAGCAAGCTTCTGTATGCAGAACCTTGGTCCCATTACATCACTACTCTCGCAAGGACTTATCCTAATTTTTCTCATGCTCGAATAGAAATAGGAGAACTCATTATTCCACGGTCTGTTGTAGTGCCGGTACTCGTGGGTCTTCGTAACACAAGAAGCCATCTGAGAAGTATGGTCAGCACATTCCTTGGAAATGCAGAACCTCCTTTTAACAACTCTGAAGCCGAAATGGACACCCGAGTCCTAAATCCATACCTTGAACAGAGAGTAGTGTACGCTCCCTTGACTAGAGTCATGATCGGTTGATGGAGATCCGCACACTAAAGTGTAGAAGATGGCTCCATGATGCGTAGAGCAAGGAATTCGAGATAATTTTCCCTCCGCAGTCGACAATGCGAGGTGCTCCAACAGCTTGCTCCTAATCCGGAAATCGATCTTCCGAAAATGGCTTACCTTAAACAAGCCGCGCGCTCACTGTCTTGTGGGGAAGCGCTTATGTGATCACCCCCAAAGATTGGACTCTGACTGAATATATAAGCCCCTCTCATCTGTCAACTCATCTTTCCTCTGAACACCCATCGTCTCTCTCGTTCCTTCCCTACTCCCGGTCCCACGGGCCCGGCCGTGCATCGCCTTAGCCATCCGTCTGCGTCAATGCTGATTGATACGCCATGCTAAGATGCAGCCACCCTTATTTCCGATGTTCAACCTGTCGAACTCACGCTCGGTTCCATCCGTCGGCTCGGTAGATCTGTATGCATTCCCCGGGCCCTCCTTACAATGTTGCCTGCTAACATGTTCTCTCGGACTGGATGATGTCATTCTTTCGGGATCCCCTGTTTATGCCCCTCCTTCCACTCCTCAGCGCTCGGCGGAGACCCGTCATCTCGCGGAGCCCTCCGAGCGACACAGGCGGCGTTCGCACCTAGCGTCGATTTTGTCACCTCGGTCCTGTGACCAAAAACCCGCAGCTACATGCGGGTCTTTTTGCCCGCCGTCATGCCCTTCATACTTACCGAGTATTTAGTATTACACACGGTACGGTTTTCCCTATGAGCGAGGTTTAAGTAGTCAAGTCTTTCATGGGGCCAAGCACTAGACCTTGAGCTTGTGTAAGAATGACTATCCTGGTCTTATTCAAAGTGTGATGCTGATTTAACATCAATGGTTGCACCATAATACCTATCGGAATTGCTCTGCCAATAGTTATATCTGCCTGATAGTTAATTTCGACTACACTTGGCTCTATTGCCTGTCCTGGTACTGGTGTCCATGCCAGCTACGATTAAAGCGAGAGCTGTCAGTCGCTCGCCTTGTACCACGTCAGGCAGGTCAGGCTGTTGACGCTATGGACGTCGTTGTGAAACAGAAGGGTAGCATCCTGATCGAGGTCGGACTAGTTGGACAAGCCTCGGGGCCTTGAGCTCGAGACCTTAGTATTAAGAGGCTCTGGTACACACACTCGATGCTAGTGGCTGGCCTGCGACTGGTCAAACTTCAATTAATTTAGAAGGGCCCCTGAGCAACCCCTGAATGACTTTTTTGATCGATCGGGTTTGTGTGGCGCACACCGGAACCCTGTGATATCTCTCGTCGAGCGCTACGCTTTTGAGAGGACCTCCAGGACGTCGATGGGCTGGATTTCTTTAATACTTGACCGCGAGTCGACTGTGGCCGTCATTATTCAATGTCCGAGCAGGAAAAGGAGAAGGAAATCGCTCGGTGTTTATTTGCCGAACTTGGCTACTGTTGTAGTCCCGGACTTGCAATTCTTCATAGAACCTGCCTCGCGTATTCGGGGAGTTAAAGATTGGGAATAGGCGGAGGTGCACGCCTCTGCCTCGATGTTACCCTGCTGGATACGCATGTCGCCTTTGGAGCGGCTTCCGGTATGCATGCAAGCCGCAGCGTAGCGATAAGCGGCCGGTTTGTTTAATGAACGTCAATGAAAGCTTATCTTAGACTTTGTTGCATTGTCGTCGGCTTCGTTCGGTCACTTTAATGAAGGAGATTGTGAGGCTTTTAAATTATGTCTTTTGGACTTCCTTGAGCCGCCTCTGCTCTCGAATCGTCCTCGGCTGCAGAATGGTTTGATTCATGATAGGATATGATTCATTAGAGTCGTCTTCCCCTTCGATTTCGATGCATACTTACTCTAGAGTAAAGCCGGCTGCGGCACACAAAGATCTCGATTCTTACCCGTGAAGAGGTGGAAGATGATGCCTGTTGTCGAGCTTAGTAGATGAAGGACTGATCATGAGTAAGAAGCACATGGGCATCCACTCTAGACCAAGGAAAGTTGCCAGCGAAAATCATCCGGACCGAGTCAATGTGCTTTTGTGGGGTGGTGATCACCTTTCGAGAAGGTCTTTTATTTGGTGACAATGGCCGCACGACGGAGCCACGCTTGAATGGAGTAAGTGGCTACATGGGTCCGACTTCTTGCGCATACGTGTACCTACCTACTTTCGTACGAGATAAACGGCTACAGGACGGGGATTCCTGCGCCGTTTGGAGGATAATAAGAGGCGAGAGACAGCCGTGGATAGCGATACAGGATGAACGGTGATGGTAAGCCTTGTGCGCAGGCAAGCAGGCTCCGCAGACCGTTTTGCTTTTGTCGGAGAACGAGACATTCATCGGGATGAACGCGGTGGATACTCGCGGATAGGTGCTCGCCATGGCACCGATAGGGGCGACCGGGGACTGCCGAGCTGACTGTGAATGTGTTATTTAATAATCGGCGCCGACTGCCATGCTCCCCTTGGTGACACGTTTGAGCGAACAGCCCCCTTTTCCTCAGCCCACCACCACCGTCGTCGTCCCCGTTGCCGAAGGCCCTTCCTCGTCGTCGACGATGATGCTCGTGCAACTCCCGGCAATGGACACCGTCCCTGGCCTCGACAGCCTCCCGGTCCTGACCTTGCCCTCGCGCCTCCACGCCCTGGCAACACCGAGCATATGGCTGACCCTATTGGTCACCCTGGTCATTCTCTCCAGCGTCCGCGCGGCCCTCCTTTTCCTTCGTAGACCTTCGCCAGCCGTACGAAAGGGTGGTGTGTCCTTCATACCCGGCGTGGGAGTCGTTCAGGTTCAGCAGTTGGATTCCAAGGCCCCGATAACGACGACAGCAAGTTCAAGTGCGACCTCAACAGTGCCAAGTTCTGGTTCAAGCACGACGGAGAAACAGCAGGAGGAGAAGAAGACTGTGTCGTGGTATTGGGGGCTTGTCAAGTGGGACAGCCTCCCTCTGCCTTCGTTCCCACGCGCACGGACGGGGGCGCCTTCATCTCCATCCATGTCGGAGGCGGGACGTGGGCGCTGGGGTTCTCCCCAGCAGTACCAGCACATTTCGCAAGGCAGACGTCCAGGGCCTGCCTTTGAGACTCCCCGTACGTCCTTTGTTTGCGGCTGGTGTTGCGACTGCGATGCCAACGCTCATGAGCATGGATACTGATCTTCGGACACACAGTACCTGCGCTGTATCAGAGCGAAGTGCCCGTATCAATGGCGAAAATGATCATGTCACGGCATGTGAGTAATCTCCTCCTTTCTTTCGTGATTATCTTTATATTGCTCTCCTCGTCCCTGCATTCTGGTCATGCAACCCTTTTTCCCCTCTGCGTTGAGCATTTTCCTGGCTGCTTCGAAACTAGTTCAGTCTCGGCCTGATGCGTAGGCGTTACCCGGTGCCGGACCCTTCCCTTTCTACGTTTTCCCATTTTTTTCTTTCGTGTGTACACCTGTTCCGCCAGCCGGAGCTCGCAGAATACTCTCTTGCGCTCTCACTAGCTTCGGAGTGTCATCACCGCGGGCTTTTCTCGCCTTTTCACGGCCTAAAACATCCACCTACTCTCTTTTCTATCCGTCTATTTCCCCGCGGAGCCTGTTGCTAATCAATTGATTCCTTCTCCACAGACCTTCCGCAGACCAACGTCCAGGCCACCACCTGTACGCAGCACGAACGCGCCTCAGTATCAGAAGCGGCCGTCGATGGTCTAACTTATGCTCTCTGCTTGCATCTTCATATTTTCTTTATCAACGCCATCGCCATCATCATCACCGTCATCACTGCATCGTATCGCACTTCCTCCATCCGCACACCTCTCTATCATCATCGCCGCTGATCTGTATTTATGCCTCCCCTCGCCACGTCCTCGACCATTACTATACGCCCCTTGGCCTGGCGTCCTGCGTTCTGCGCGAACGGGGCGCCAGGCCGATGATGAATGGAAAGTCAAGTCAACGAAACCAAAACGAAGACGAAGACACGAAACTCGTTGAAGAACACCAGAAAATACTATTGCTGCGATGCTAGATGCGTTGTCTTTCTAGAAAGAAGTTTTTTCGTCGCTGTACCGTTGGATCATGGCGCCTTCATCACGTCATCACCCTTACCTCATCACGTCAGCCTCTCGTCATCTCCCCCACCATCCCACCATCGCCTCTACTCCGCCGTGGTCGTCGTTGGAGCTCGTTATCTTTATTTCCTTATTCGTTTCCCATCACATTGCTCTCGCCATTGTTTCGTTTGTTGGAGGACCCTTACTTTTTTATTCGTGTTCGCTTTGTTACCCTTGCGTCGAGGTTGATCGTGTGGAGTTCGATTTCATACCCCAGCCGGTATACCTAGCCAGGGGAAGGAGTGCAAGGCAGCTGCATCGAGGGGAGGGTTAGGTGGTGTTGATGTTATCTATTTCGCCGTATCTGTTGGAAGTGTTCCATGGACTAGTTTTATAGCTCTTTTATACAATTTTTCGTTTTGTTTTGCTTGCTTTTTTGACGGTGATGTTGAGCACTGAAACGTTGATGGCTCGCCTCTGCCTTCTCCCCTCGGAAATTGACATTTCGTATTTATAGGTTCTTGATCTATGGCGTCCACTAAATTCTGAGCCTGTAACAGGCTATGGGTCTCCTAGCGCGCCGATTGCTTTTGTATCCCAAACTACCAAGCAGGAGGAAAAGTTGCATCCAAGATAAGATAACTTAACTATCGGCTCTGTACATTATTTTGAGAAGATGGACGGTGCTGTCTTTCATGTCCTCACCATCGTTCGTCTAGAGCCAACAAGTATTGGTGGGAGGAAAGTGGCAAATTCCGTTGATTACGTTGCCCGTCTCCAATTTCCACACACCTTCAAGCTCTTCACCAGTCACAGGCACCCTTTGAACTTTCTTCGATACACTCGCTATCGTCTCAATCAGAAGAGCGCCTGAGGCCTGAGGGCTCACCCTACTGCAACAGCAAGGACGAAGTATCACGATTAGTGGCATACGTTCAAAAGTGGGCAGCGGTGGGTATCGTCTTTCGGGTCTTATTCACATTGTGTTCTTCTAGTCAAAATCCCCAACTCTCACTTTCCAATGCTTTGCGATCTTTGTCAGGCAAGCGATGTTCGGGTGCAGTCGGGATGTGAAGTGGATGAGGGGGCGCCTTGCAACCCATGCCTCAAAATTGTCGATCTCGACGCCCAGATATCGAATGTCCGAGCCGTCCTTAAGCGCCTCACAGATGCCCGACGTATTTTTCAAACAGAGCGGAACTACATCCATGATCCTATCGCCCGCAATTTTCCTCCAGAAATTATCTCTCGCATCTTTTCCCTGTACAGTCACCCTCATGGCGATGACACATCTCCTGATAAGGAAGATCTCCATCCTCTCATCCTCGGAGCCGTCTGCAAGACCTGGAGGGGGATCGCATGGAACACCACCGAACTCTGGACACGGCTATCGATTTCGGTTGATCCTTACATAAAGAAAAATATAGTGCGGGAGCGCCAGATGACGTTCGAATGGCTCGCCCGCGCCGGCAATCTTCCCCTGTCGCTCTATATGGACAGGGTTCGCTGGGACATCAGCAACCTACCTTCAAGTTCACTCAGGCAAGTGACGATAGCTTGGGCGACATTCATTCGGGATCTTCTGAACGAGTTCGGTACCTGCTGCCGTGTCCTTGATGTCCAACTCCCTGTCAAAATCTTCTTTACAGTGATGCCGACCGCGAGATTTGGCGCTATATTGAAGCGTCTCGTCATTCACTTGCGGCCTTGTGATGATCCTCACGAGGTATTCAGCCCGTCCGCCGACCCTCCAAGACCAGAGAATGTTTCTCTCAAATACCTGCCTCCACATGTTGTGAATATATCGTGGAGCAACGTCACCGAGCTCACATTGGATGGCTGTCTAGAAAGCGCCTGCTTGGACATCTTCAATTACACCCCGTCACTGCTTTCCTGCCAGTTTGGAAAGTACGTGCTACTATCCGACCAGCCCCCTTCCCCGCAATTCATCACCCATTCGCGACTTCGCCGTCTCGTCATCAGGCATGCTACGGATCAGATACTCAAACGCTGTATTTTCCCTGAGCTCAAATACTTATCCATGAACTATGCGGCGGTCGCCACTATCCAAGATTTCGTTTCGCGCTCCTACTGCAACTTGAAAACCCTAGAAATCACCCCACAATTTCGCGCAGAGACAGAAAATTCTCTTTTCCAGCTGCTACAGAACCCCTCCCTCCAGTCGCTCCAGTCGCTGAGCATCACTCCTTCTGGTAGCCCTGCGAGCCATGAATGCATTTTCAACGCCCTTTCGGAGAGCCCCGCATTCCTTCCTGAGCTCAGAAGCCTGACATATAGTGCACGCTCTTGCCTGCAGTTTTCATGGGTGGTAGCACTCGTGTTGTCGACAGAGTTTAGACCCCTTTCAACTATAAAGTTATCATGTCCGGACAACTTTATAGAGGGTGATGCCCTACTACGCCACCTTTTCGAAATTTGTCTACGCCACCCCGGAATAACTCTGGATTTCCTTGATACCTCTCCTGATTTCTGGCAGATACAGGCGATGCGTCTAGGCCTCGAGTACCCTGGCATCGATAAATAATATAGTTCCTATGTTCAGAAGCTCCTTGGACCGCATCGATTACATGTCCACATAACATGGCACCCAATTGTTCAGTGTAGCATAATTGATTGACATGGATTAACGGCAGTGGATATATCGAAATAAGCAGTACGGAGAGCCATGTCATCCTGATTGCTAGTTGAAGGGGAGATATATGCAGCCGTAGGGTGATAGTCATGCGACGAACCAACGACGAGACGCTGTTCTAAAATAAGAGTGGGATAAGGTATGAATAGAGAAGAGAAGTCTTGAGTGCATTGACCGAGAGATTGAGGTCAAGTAAGCGTTGTGAAGATCAGAACGCAAGTCAGCAGCAACTTGAATGAGCTAGGGAAAAGGAGAAATCCCTGGTCGGCAAATTCCGATGATTATGTTGAGGCCAGCGATTTTCCCACATCCCTTCAACCTTCTCGAGGCTCCGTTCAACAGCGAAAAGGAGTATCAATCTTTACGTTCAAAAGTGAGTAGCGAGTACAGCTCATTGGTTCTAACTCATGTTGGGTTCTTCTAGTTAAAACCTGCAACTCCGATCACCTGGCAATGCTCTGCGATCTTTGCAAGGCGGGCAGGACGGATAAACCAGGAGCATCAGCTTGTGAAGTGGTTGAGGGAGGGCCCTGCGCATGCGACCCATGCCTCAAGATTACTGACCTCGACATCCAAATATCGAGCGTGGAAGCCATACTGAAGCGCCTCACTGATGCCCGACGTATCTTGCAAACGGCGTGCAACTGCATCCATGATCCTATCGTTAGCCGCCTCCCTCCCGAGCTTATCCATCGCATCTTTTACCTATCCCCACGTCTCGTCCTCGGAGCAGTCTGCAAAACGTGGAGGGAGATCGCATGGAACACACCCGAGCTCTGGACACGACTGTCAATTTCGGTCGATTCCAATATCAGAAAAAATATAGTACGGGAACGTGAGATGTCATTCGAGTGGCTCTCCCGAGCTGGGAATCTTCCCTTGTCACTCTACATGAACAGGGCTCGTTGGGAATCCTCAAGTCCACACTACTCGCGAATGGCGCAATCTTGGGTGGTGTTCATTCAGGATCTCATGAACGAATTCGGCAACCGCTGCCGTGTTCTCGACGTCGAGCTCCCAGTCAAAATCTTCTTTCCATTGATGTCAAAAACGAGATTGACCTCCCAGCTGAAGCATCTCGCCATCCGCCTAAACCATTGCGATTCTGCTCCTGAAGTGTTCAGTCTCTCGACCGACACTCTAGAGCCAGAGTACGTTTCATTATCGAGCCTGGAGCCGCATCTCGTGAAGATTTCATGGAACAACGTCACTAGGCTTGCCTTGAAGGGATGCGAAGAAAATGGGTGCTTGAACATCTTCAAGTATGCCCCGTCCCTGGTTTCCTGCCGATTAGAAAGCATCCTGCCAGATGAAAACCGGCAACCTTCCCTCCAATTTATAACTCATTTGCGACTTCGCCATCTCATCATCATCAAGTCCTTGGCGGATTGGATCCTTGAACGAAGCATTTTCCCTGAGCTAGAATACCTCTCCACCGCGGATGCGACGATCTCCACTATCCAAGATTTCGTTTCGCGCTTCTGCTGCAACTTGAAGACCCTTGAAATGACTCTACAATATCACGTACGGCCAGAAAGTTCTCTTCTCGAGCTGCTACAGACGCCCTATCTTCATTCGCTCGAGTCCCTTAGTATCACCCTTACGTTTGGTCCTGCGAACAAAGAACAGTTTTTCGACGCTTTTCTGGAGAACCCTACGTTCCTTCCTGAGCTAAAAGGCCTGACATACGATTGCTGGAGTCCTGGGCTGCAATTTGCCTGGGTGGTGCCAGTTATGTCATCGACAAAGTTCAGGCCCCTTTCAACTATAAAGATAAGGCACCCGGACGACATTTACGAGGATGAGAACCTGCGCCACTTTTTCGAATTTCGTCGATGCAACCCTTGGATAAATCTGGAATTCCTCGACCTGAAACCCGATTTCTTCCAGATACAGGCGAAGCGTCTAGGTTTAGAGTATGTTGCTGTAGAAGTAGAATAGAATTTGAATGTTGAACATTGACACCTCAATCCGTAGGTCCCGTATTTACATCCTCTAAGAGGCTCGACCCCCGGGCAGTAACAGCTGGTGAAGCTAGTGAAGGACAGCCCGATTGTTCACCGTAGACTAGCAATCGTCGGTCGACATAAATTAACCGCGGAAGATAAATCTAAACAGTGAAGAGCGTTATGTACAGAATGAGGCAAAAAATGGGCACCCCTAGATATCGGCGTGCTTCCTGAAGAGAACCTGAGCGGTTGGATTGGGCAAGCAGCTGGCCGCAATCCATCTGTCTGCAGGCCGAACATCCATGTCCTCCAGCTTGACCTCATAAGTGACCACCGCATGTGCCAACGTCGTCTTGAGCTCGCTCGTGGCGAAGAATCGTCCGTGGCAGGCATGCCTTCCTAGCCCGAACGTTCGAACGCTAGCGCATCGATGTTGGAGGACACCATGTTGAATTTCTTCTCCAGGCTTAGAAAAGCAATCGATCGAAAAAAAAGGTTTGCGCATAGATGCATAATGAGGCTACAGATGAAGTGTGATATATATAGTTGTACCATAAGCTCAAGCAAGAACGCGCTTTCTGAAAAGGACTTGCGCGCCTGGATTCGGGATACATGCCGATGAAACCCACAAGTCGGGCGGTCGAACGCCCTCATGCTCGAGCTTGACGTCGTATGTGACGACGATATGGGCGAGCATCATCTTGAGCTCGCTCGCTGCGAAGAACCGCCCAGGGCAGATGTGCCGCCCTAACCCAAAGCCGAGGGAGTCAATGTTCGACGAGACCATGTCGAACTTCCTCTCGGCTGCATCACTGCGCTCCCGCATCTTGACATACCGGAAGCCGTCGAAGCGAAGCGGATCTTCATACTTCTCCCCATTCAAATGTGCACTCGGAGCAGCCACACTGATCGTCGTGCCTTTGGGGAGCAGAGTGCCGTCGGAGAAGAGGTGGTCCTTGACGAGCACGCGCTGAATCAACACTGGTTGATGGTTTGACATTTAATGTGGGGAAACGATGGGCATGGCTGGACTCACGATTTGTCAAAGGCGTAAGCCGTTGTGACTCCTTGAGGAAACTATCGACATGGTACATTTGGTCGAGGGCGTCCTTCGACCAACCGTACCGCCTGACGACCTCCTCGATTTCGTCTCTGAGTGGTTTCAAGTACTCCGGATATGTGGCCAAGTACAGGAAAGCATGTGTAAACGTCTGTACAGGCTATCCTTAGCACTCACATGGACCAAGGAAAGGGGACTAACCATTGAGGAGGTATGAATTGAGGCGAAGTTGATCATCAATATTCGGGAGTTCAGATACCAATCCGTCTGTTCTTCATCCTTGGCTTCGTCCATGAGCCATGATAGAAAGTCAACCTGTCAGAGAGCACTACAGTCGATTCATAACGGACAAAAGGCTTCAAGGATGATACTCACCGGCTTGCTGGAATAGTTGGCTCCTTTCTGCTCGCGTGCCTTGCGCCGCTCAGCGAATAGGGGTGCGAGATGCTTCAATCCCTGCTCGAAGCGGTTATCAACGCTGGATATTAGCGGCTTCATCCAACTGGAGTTGCGTGAATTAGAACATTTGAGTGCTAATGTTCGAAAAGAACTCTCACGCCCGAAGGAAACGGGGAAGGAGTCGGAGTATAATCCCTGTCCTTATCACGTCGACACTGTACTGAACATTAAGCTCAATAAATTCGGGGTTGCGACCTGTAATGGAATCAGCTGATCAATGATTTACAAGCTCATAACCAAGACCTACAAAGTGGACGGCCAACGAATATCCGATTGCTAGCCCGAGCGAATATCTTCATCATTGTGTCAAGCGCCATGGCCTTAGCCCATTCTAGGAACGGGTGCTTAGATAAACCTTCTGCGGTCCAAGGAAAAGCTCACTGTTTGTTGCTGGCATCAGTTCTTGAAAGGCGTCGACGACTTCCTCACGGACATCAGGCAAGAGTTGCGGGAGGGCTTTCGTTAGCTGTACCCGAATGATGGGAACATGATAAGGGTTCCTGCTCAGATGTTCTCCAAGGGTGAACTCCGTTTGAAGTATCTTCAATGGCATTCGTTCAGCAAAGTCGTCGTCCGTCTATGCGAACTACACGCACCTCGTCATGGGCTTCAGAAGACGACGCCACGTTGTCCGGCAGCTTTCTGACTTCGTCAACGGTCTTAGGATCAGTGATGACGACCATCCATTGGAACATGTCTGCTACTTTGAACATGGCGTTTGGAAACTAGTTGAGAACCAGACAATCAGCATTAAGGGAAACGCAGAGCGAGAAGAATGATCTCACTCTTTCCATGCCAGAACTGATGACGCCTCTCGCATCAACCAGAAACTTGTACGCCCCATAATACGAGATTAGGGGCGTATCGGGCCCAATAGTTGGGATGTGCCTAAGCTTCGAGAGAAGTTGTTATTCGTTCGGCTATATGGAAAGTTGAGTTCAGTTACCTTGCGAGTCTGCCCTCGCCAGTACGATAGTACGACCCAATAGATAGCAATCAAGACGGCGATCACGATATGGTACTTGTCGCCGAGTCGAATAGGTATCCAAAGCATGTCGGCCATCGCGATGGCGAACGCGTCGGATGGGAGGGGGGAGGGGAGGAGGCGGATGTCATTACCGTCCTGGCTTTAAGAGGGATAGTGGCCCGATTGAGACGTAGACGTAGCGGGAACCATCATCCGGATAAGACTAACTTAAAGGCATTCTGCAGATTTCGCATGGAAGTCTTCTCTGAAGAGGAGGAGAACCAGAAAAAAAGTACGTGAGAATACCCCAACTGCCAAGGAATCGCCAAGAATTCCCGGATCGGGCACTCCTTCTGGTTCCCCTGACCCACAAGGCTGTCCGTGTCAAGTCATTGAAGTTTGTACGTGAAGACTTCTTAATTGTTAAACCTCAAGGCCCGGCGCTGCACAATCATTCTGGGATATTAGCAATCTGTCCACATGAACTAGCAGCGTTTGGGTGATTGATTTGTGGGTCGGCAGTTTGAGCTTGGAAGGCACCGTGGACGTGGGCAATCAAATCTGTACACGTTCAGCGGGCCACGGAACGAGAGAATGACGAAGGGGAAAATGTATAAACGGGAAGTCGGGCATGAGGACAGGTTCTTGGTCTTCTTTCACGGTCCTTACCACATACCCTTGACAGATTATACCGGTTCTTACTAGACGTCGGACCGTTCCCCGCACTGATTGTGCCCGTTGGGACCCAGTTAAAGGAGGATCTAGCAGAAGTTGGACGTTCTCTTCCTGTTCAATGCTCACGGATATATCCCAGCGGCAGCGCTGCGGGTTCGCCATGGAGATGAGATGCTGGCGGGAAGGACGAGCCCATGATGCTTGCATATATCTTTTCCCGTATTAATGGCTTCGACATATGACCTACCTTCTTAATACTCGAATGATGATGTCCGGAATTCAAGAAAACGCGCGATTGGGGCGCTCCGTGGTGGAAGGATAGTCGGTCCTCTTCGGCCGGAAATTTCTCTGCTTTTACTAGAAGTTAATAAAATTTATCCCCACACGCACCTCCGATTCGCCTAGAGCTTGCACACGCTCGACATTCTCCCAAATTTCTAATAAATTTCATGATCATTTTCATGATCTGCTGGACCTCATCCAAGATAACTGACGTATAGCGCCCGGTAATCTATTAATAGGAACGGGGACAGTGCGGCTATGCCCTGGGCTCACATGAGAAAGTAGCACCAGATTTCTCATCGGCGAATAGACGTTCTGGAGATGTCGGGAGCTTGTCAGGCATTTACGGGAAAAAAGGGACAGGGTGTGGGGTGAGTATTTGTATAACTCCTTCAGCGAGACTTCGTTTGTTGGACTCTGCTTCCCACTTCGTTCCCACCTACTTACCTTCACGTCGGCCGCCAGCAGCCAGGGAATCTGTAATCCATTTCTCGTTGAGGATTATCAATTCGGACTCAAAGGGGTATTGTCAAACTGGAGTGCCATTCGACCACGACCCATTTCGATCTCGAAATTCCTCTGTGCCTGTGTGCTTAATATTTCCAAAGCCTTTCATCCGGTTATTTCTCTTGTTATCATGACAGGACTCTGGAAATGATGCTAGACAAGGCATCGTCCCGGATGAACTCTGAATTTAGTTTCGTCTCCTACAGTGCTGGTCCGAGATATGGCGTGCGTTGACGCTTGTACGATGAGGTGCGTGTACTGCCGAGCCGGCTTGATTCATTAAACGCGTTCACCTGCGTTCCAGATTGCAGCAGTGTGGCGTGCCAAGATTACTTCTTTCTTTTCGGACAGTAAATGCTTTAGGATCATTGAAAGCCGGTGAAAAGCCACACGTATGGAGGTTAAGAATCGATAGGTACCGCTTATATTATTTGCGCTGGATTCCTACTGTCACCACGCCAGTAAAGGCGCCGTGCTAGGACTCTTCTCATGTATTGAGGAGCCCAGTTTGTACGATCCCCGACGCTGAAAGTGAGTGTTTCCAGAAACAATTCGGCCCTGTGCCTCACCTGACAAATGTTCAGCCGTAGGTGTCCAATCAACAAGATATCCGCCTGCCATACAAAATTTACCTCTGAAAGGTTGGCCCCTTCTGACCTTGGCTCTTCTCCATAGGGATCATTGGACGCGGCCTTACTATTGGCACGTACGATGCCTACCAGTGCCGGTCGCTTCTCGTCTTCCTGAAGTACCTTACTGAAGCGCTGTCGATCGTGTACATGGATACGCGCTTCTTTGTCTACGAAACGTGGACGTTACCGCCGGGTGGATGTGTCAGAAGCGGAAGTGCTGATTCCCGTCGTCTGCCGGAAACGTCCCTGGATGAACGACGGGATTTAGAGGGCGTATGGCAGGCTTTACGAGCTCGAGCGATCGCACCCCCTTCCTTACGGCTGTGCTTCCGTCTGGAAACTTGTGAGTGTTGTTATACCCGAGATCCCCGAGAGGCTAGACAAACCTCAGGCTCAGTATTGACTCCGTTCATCGAAATAACCTTCGTCCTACTTAATGGCATGAAACTGTAGAGATCAGGCCTTGCGTCGTATCATTTCCGTTACGAAAGGGATTTCGGGTCAATCACAGAAAACGAGTAGTATCAGTATTCAATGTGTCTCTTCCTTGTCTGCTAATCAAGTCTGCGTTTTCTTACGCGCTCTACTAACAATACTTAGAGAAGCGTTGCACGAGCTTCAACAATATCCCGAGTTGGCGAGACTAGTGCCCTCGAGTGGTGTTAATTGGAAATTTCCCGATATGGATAGTGGACCCATTTCCCCCTATATTGCTGTGGGGCCTGAAGGGCATCCGGGCTACGGAATGCTCCAGACCCGCAAATTCCGACGGAGAAATGTTGACTGTTCTAAGTGCCCAAACGCCTCTCTATTTTCAATGCATCCACGATGATAGTCAACATTGAAGGCATAGTTCTTCAGCTTCATCAGCAAAGCCTTGCCAGGTTACGGAGCACTCCGTACCGCTGTAGCACTGTAAGTTTTTTTTTCGGCGCTAATAGGTGTATATTTATAGCAGTTTGGGCCTCTTTATGTACGGGCGAAGAACGTTCTCAGGTTTGTCCTTAATAATAAATGCTAAGTGGAGGACTTTTCTTGTCTGTCTTGAATCAACGATTCACCACACGCCAGAACCCGCCTTTTCCAAATCATGCATTTCAGACTCCCGCAATAAGTAACTCAGGCTAGCGCGCTCAAGAGGTTGGGTCGCATTTGACTCGGATGCCGGGTGGTGTCAGCTTCCCCGTGTTGGTAGACTTAGATAGCCCCTGAAAGCGATTTCGAAGCCATATTTGTAGTTGGACTCGCCCGGAGCTACACGCCCAGCGGTCTCTGGGCGACCCGCTGCGTGTCTAGCAGCGATATTCTGGACATCATACCAACACTCAAAATACCTTCTCTATCGAAGCCCCGTCCCGAGGTACCAACGCCCTCGGGTCGGTTTTAGAACTCGTTGTCCGCTTCGGGTATGAGGGCCATTTGGGTTGCCGGGGTCGGGTTCCACGACGGGCGGGAACATGAACTTTGCAGGCTGTAGAGCTTTTCAATGTTCTAACCTGATATTTAAACCAATACTCTTAGAAAATAAACTGGATTTGTGTTCAGCTACGAGGACGAACAGGGGCTGCTCGACAAAAGAGGAAATATCGGGTCACTGCTCGGTGACGAGCATCGGAAATGTGACCGGGCCGGAAATGGACCACGATGATTGGATCCCACACTGACGTGTCCAGTGCCAACCAATAAATACCCTGTCTTCACCAACCAACTCCTTACCCTCCTCGTTTTTCTGTACGGCGGCTGCCCCCCTTTCTTGATCATTGCGACACTGCATTGGAGTCCAACGAAACCTCATCTGCATTATACTATAAAGCTCGAGAGCAAGCTTGAGTGAAAGGCAAACATGAAGCTCTGGATTGCAGTCGCGGTCGCGCTGTCCCCGCTCGTCAGCGCGGCGATTTTCCCGAAGGACTCACATGTGAAGATGCTGGATGCGAAGGGGTTCAGGGAGGCAATGAAGAAGAACGTATGTATATACGCTTCTTCTATCTTGTCAGCGCAAATTGATGTGTGCTGGTTGTGTGCATTTGTAGGAAACGAGCCTGGTGGCGTTCGTCGCGCCGTGGTGCGGGCACTGTCAGCGCATGGCGCCGGAGTACAGCAAGGCAGCGGTGGGCCTGCACCCACTCATCCCAACGTACGCTGTCGACTGCGACGCGGACAAGAACAAGAAGTTGTGTGCGAACCAGGTACGTCTCTCCCACCTTGCATTCTTTTCTCGGTAGGTGTTGACGCGTTGCGACACCAGGACGTGAAAGGCTTCCCGACCGTCAAGCTCTTCCCGCGGGGCAAGTCCCTCCCACCGATGCTGTATGAGCAAGAGCGTACAGCGAGCGGGTTCTACCACTTCGCGACGCGGCGCGTGCCCAAGGCGTTCACGAAGCTCTCGCAGGTCGGCGAGATAGCCAGCTGGGTGGGGAAGGTGCGTCCCTATCTCTCGCCCTCTCTGACACGCAAGGAAAATACTGACCTCGACACAATTTCAGCACGAGACCAAGCACCGCGCGCTCCTCCTGACGAAAGACAAGAAAGTGCCCCTCCTCTGGCAGGTCCTCGCTAACAAATACTCCAACACCGCGCTCGAGTTCGGCACGCACCGGGACAAGAAGGGCACGTCCTCCGCTGCGATGGGACTCGAGGCGGGGGGCAAGACCGAGTCCAAGGTCCTGCTCTACCCCGCCGGGTCGCCCACGCCCATCCGGTACGACGGCCTCACGAAACTCGACTCGCTGTCCAAGTTCTTCGACTCTGTCTTGGATGGGACGGCGGACTTGGAGGCACAGCTGGAGAGGGCGAATAAGAAGGCGGAGAAGGCGGAGAAGGTGGAGGAGAAGGTGAAGGAGGAGAGCGAGGAGAAGGAGGCGAGTGAGGAAGAGAAGGAGGTCGCTGGCGAGGGGGAGGAGAAGGTTGAGACGACGAAGAAGGCAGTGGAGAAGAAGGAAGGGGAATGCGTGGAGAGCTGTGAGGCACCTCCCCCGACGATGGGTGTGCCCGACTCAGTGCCTGCGGATGCGGATGACCTTGAGAAGATCCTGAAGGATTCGGGGTTCGATGATGGGCAACCTGAGCCGGCGCCGGCAGCGGAGCAGAAGGAGAGACCAAAAGACGAGTTGTAATCTATGTGTTTATCTTTCAACTGATGGCTGTTTCGTGGTCATGGACTCGCGGTCAGAGACTTTGCAGCTGATTGCAACTTAGAAGATTGAAGCAGTGTAGAAACAGGAATTTCTCGAGTCCTTCTCGACCGTGATGGAATTGTAGAGTACTCAGTCGCTCAATCTCATCGGCTTCTTTTCCACTTATAATTATCTCTCTTTATCTCTTGCCTCTTGCCTCTTGAAGCTTGAGTCTCGACCAACTTCTTTAATTATACCCTCTGCGTCACTACATACTCTAGAACCATCACTCCCATGGATTGGAGCATTCGAGCAATCAGCCTTGTGTAGGCTGTAGGCGCTTGTTGGTGTTTGAGGATGCCTAAATTGAGCTCAATTGCGTCGTTGATTGATTGATGGCACTGCCTCCTTTCCCCCCTACAGACCCGCCGGTTTCCATTAATTAAAACAATCGCGGCACCTTTTGTGGGGGTGAGGTGGCTGGCATGGTCGGGGGTCATAACTGGATGTGACTAAATTACAGAAGTTATCGGGAGTCAGTAAGAGGCCGAGAGGAGGACAACAACTACTGGATCGATGGATGGATAGTTGGTCAACGACCTTTTCTACCCGTCCTATTATGGAACGCTGATTCAGGAAGTCCGAGCAAAAAATGGGAGATGTAGCCTTAACTGCATCTCGGTCCTCCCGAAACGGACACGACGTCCATATGTATTTTGATCCTTTGATTGGATCCCGAGGCGAGTTTATTGCACATTGCATAGCCTGGCCGTCAGCCAGCTGCACACCATGTGTAGTTGCGTCGCGTGTATGTCATTTAATAAGTCCAATTAAACTGGGTGACCGGGATGTTGGGAGGAGGGAGGAACCGGTGCTTAATACCGAAGCTCATATACGCCTGTTACCTAACAAATATATTCCACAGCCTTCTTGTCCACAGCAAGAAAAGGAGGCTGGAAGATTAGTATCGGGTGACTCTGAGAGGCGAAGAAAGTGGATGGTTACAGTCCGGTCGCCCCCTTACCGATAACAAGGCTGTGATGGATGGCTACCTGCAGTCATGTAGAGGCAGCCTTTATGTACATTGTAGAGTACCTCATTTACCAACGCTTGTCCTTGTACTTTGTGAATGCTACGTTAGCGCCCGTGCCCCACCCAACCTTGTTCGAATCGAATGGGCGCTAGTGGTAACGTTACTGCACAGTCGCACAGCGTTGAGCCTTTGTATTCTTCGTACATACTTTGTTGCATAATGAAGAAGGGCATTATGTACTGATTTTATCTTCGATGGGTGATGACATTCTATTTACCGAACCTAAGGGTCGGGGGACAGGGCTGGAGATGCGGGGAAATAGGGTAGCGCGATGACCCTGGGCGCTTCCTATATAACGTGCTCTAAGTAGCGCGCTGAGGATCGAAGATAGTCAACGCCGTCCGAACGCTCAAGGTATCGATATCCTCGTCGTGTAGATTAGGCACTATACAAAGGAATTCGTTGGAGGGAGGGAGACCTTTGCATCCAGCCGGCCGTCCGATGTCTAGTAGAGTGCTACTAGTAGTAGCCGGATACTCGTAGATGCTCGCATGTTCACATGGCAGAGGATTAGGTTGGAAGAGGGGTTTAGAGGCTGTGTCCTCATATATACACTCAGTTTCCGGAGCTCTAGCCCTCTGAGTGAAGCGAAAGCGAATTCTGATAATCGTGAGTTGGACACACAGCAGCAGCGTGGCCGAATTTAAACCGCGATTCAACCCGCAATCCTACTCTAAGCATGAGAACGGAGGAGCGTGTTACATACTCATCATCGCAGTCTTGATCGAGGCCTTGTCGTATTTTTCGTTTTCGCGTGCAAGTGATGTTGTAGGCCCTTGTTCCGTCAGATCGAATGGGCGGCGATGGTTACAGGGCTGTGGTGGTTAGCTGGCTACATGTAATTAATTACGTTGGCACGGCCTTTGTACTTTGTCGCATGCAAAATGAAGAAACCGTACTGTAAGTAAGTCTTTTGCCAGTACTTAGAGACAGCAGATAGATCCTCGACGTACGCCCCGCGTCCTGTTCTGTCGGCAGGGCCCTGGAAAGTCGACCACGGACGCAGCCAGCAGAGCAGAGCAGGAAAGAGGCCTGCAATGCCAGTCCGACGATCTAATCCTATTCCTAGTCCTGTTCCTGAACTCAGCGCGAGCGTGTAATCGCCCTCGGGCTTCGCCTTGAGGCGTTGTTCTTTGTTCTTAGGTTGCCACTCGAACTCCAGAAACCTGAAAGGCATTTCGTTATGGTCTATTTCTGGCCCACAATGTGCACGATGGGTACGCGGTGGGGATACGCCGCCTGATCCCGAAGATACCGCAGCTTACTGCTTGGTAGTAAGTAGAGGCTGATAGTTGAGTAGGCCCTTGTTCGACGATGTTCAGGACCACCCTAGGTCGACCGGGAGAGGCCCGAGGCCTAAAGGTGGAGCGGTATCTTGGAGTCGTGTTCACTTCCCGTCGACAAACTCGACGTTGACAGTGTGGAGGCATCCAGCGGCGCCAAGTGATCAAGCCCCCAGTCGAAGGCTCGAAGGCTCGAAGTGGGTTATCTCTGCGTATCGCGGGAGAAGCCAGCTGCAGATGTCGGATTCGGATTCGGAGGAACGGGGTTTCTGACATTTCGTTTGTCGTGGAAGTCGACATACGACATGAGCTTAACCGGTCGTGGGTAGCTCAAGGTTCCCGTGGGGCCTTTGAGCCTCGCGGCAGGCTGAGGAAATTGGATGTCGGACAAGCTACTTACATCTTGTTTGACGAGTTGAGACTGAGGGGATCTTCTAGGGAGATAGGGCGGTGCTCACAGGAGGCACAATGGTGGCCTGGAGACGGCGAGGCGAGGCGACCAGCAGAGGAACAGAGGGACGGCTGCAGAGGTTAACTAGTCCTAGTGAAAACCGGTTCTGAGTAATCTGAATCCATCTGGGGTTATCGGAGTGTGTCAACGCAACTTCAACGAATCAATTTAATTTTTTATTGCACTTTTCATATACTCTATGTACAATGACAGTCGAAAAAAAAAGATTTTGAACTTCGAGGGGGCCAGGCGGAGCTGTTACGTCCGAGGCCATCGACCACAACCGCGGAGATCATCGGCTGATCATCGGCATTGTTCTGGACATCGATCGAATGCGTCGGTGATACCTTTTCTGGCTAACCGTCTACCCCAAAAGTATTTTGCAGTAGTCGGTTATGCTAAATAAGGCTCGCCGAGCTTCCACCTCGGTGTCGCTGGCGTCCGTCAAGTGTCCCGGCAGGCCGGCATCCTCTAACCATCCCCCACAACTCCGACGCGCTCTTTTCTCCTCATCCTTTCTTTCTTACCATCATCATCCCGACTCCTCCCGACCCGTCGTTCCCCACAACGGAGTGGGTATCGTGTTCGCCTCGTATCTAGCGCTTGTGCCCGTGTATTGCGCCGACAGTCCTGGGCAATAGAAAGCCAGGTAAGCAACCCCGGAGATGGCGTGCTAATGCCCTTCTTTCAACAGCCTGCTGAAGACGCCTTCAGACGAAAGAACGCGAGCAGACGGCAAAACGGAGATGTCCGTCGACTCCACGAGAGGTAAGCTCGCTGGTGTCTTCATTGCACAATCGCACTACATAGTGTTAACTATTTAGACGGAACACGGCTACGCACGATGAGATTATCTAAAACAAGAGGACATGTCGGCATGATGTGACACAGCCTAGCCTATGTTTTGATCGGGGGAGGATGGCAACGGGCATCGCAAGTTCACGTTCTGGGTCCATCATGCGACATCCCGAGCGTCAGACCTAGTGCCTCGTCGCGGGTGCATATATGCGCGTTTGAAGTTGAAGATTGCGTGGCACGATGCGTCGATGAAAGGATCGCAGCTCTTGTGCTGCATTTATAATGCAAGTGGGGGCTGATGGGAAACCGTAATTGTCCCACGCACCCACTCCGCCGCCATTATACTCTGCCCCCATGCCATTAGCTATTGTTCCCTATTGGTGAGTGGGCATTGTTCTCTAACGGTGTACGCAGGCTTATAACGCCCACAGACTACCATCCTCGATAATCCACCACCCCAAGTCCTGCTGTGCATCGACTTGCAACGACCGCCTTTTCTTCACGACTTTTAATTTTCCGACTATTCTGATACTTTGATTCCCAATAACGAATCTCGCCAACGCCATGTCCACCTCGATGACCGCTCAGAGCCTACCCCCCACGCAAAACACGCTCGACAGGGAACAGCGCTCGCGCCTCCTCCGCTCAGCCCGCAAGCTCGAGGCTGTCCTCGGTGCTACGCCCTACCTCCTCGAGTCCTACCTCCTCGAATCCCAACCCGATATCGCCGCAGCACCCTCAGATAACGGCTCAGACGCGACGCTCGTTGTCGTTGCTGCTCCCACTTTTACCCCTTCGCCTTCGCCTTCGCCTTCCACCCACCACTCCCAGAGCAAGCCCCGATCCCACACACGCAGCCGCCCCGCAACGCCCCAGCCCCCCGCCGGCCCCCGGCGCCCTAACACCAACAAAACTTCTTCCCGCCAAGGGAGAATCTCCCCCTCGTCCAGCGTGTCGAGCTTCGACCCCGCAGAGCCCGAATACGTCTTCGTAGACTGCCGCTCGCGTGCCGCACCATACACCGTGCAGTTCGTGCCCGATCCGAACGAGGACTACTCAGAGTCCTCGGCGTACTCGACACCGGCGTCTTCGAGGTGCCCGTCGCCTATGCCCATGCCCAAGAAGGAATTGAAGAGCTCCTCGGCCCCGCTTGCTGTCGCGTTGGACCTCCCGGCGGTCCGCCACACGCACACTCACACACGCACCATTAGCACAAGCTCCAACAAGAAAGCCAAGGGCCCACAGGCTCTCGCACAGCCCCTCCTCCTCCGCCTTAGGTCCGTGCCCATCAGTACTCTACCCCCGCATGCGGCTTTGAATTTGAGGAAGGGCGTTTCCGCGGACGAGACGTGTCACGGTCCCTTGACGACCGAGGACGGGGGTTTGGGTTTAAAGACGGAAGACTCGGAGAAGGGCATCTGCAGTGCACCCGCGAAGGTCAAGCCATCCACAGAGAAGAAACCGCTCTCGCCTGTGTCGTCGACGTTCAACATCACCGCTAGCAAGCACTCTTCCTCGTCCAATTCCTCGAGTTCGTGCTCGACGATCTCAGGCTCGACGATCACACACTCTACCATAACGCACCACCACCCCTCGCGCCTCCCCAGGCGGTTCAGTGTCTCTTCTTATTCCGCGTCTGCGTACTCCCAGCCTTCTTACTCCCACTCAACGGCGAATCGCCACGCCAACTCGTACCTCATGGACCTCCCAAGCCCTACACCCTCCTTCACCTCTGCCCTCTCCTCCTTCGACCACCCACCGCTCTCACCGATGATCGCGGCGCTGGACATCCCTTCGTCGCCTTCCTCTCCCTCATTCACACATCCTACACGCCACAAGAAGGGCCCGAACAGCCGCTCCTTGACCGACCGCGAGAAGCGCCGGAAGATGGCCAAAGATGGCCAAGTTGCAACGGACGCTGG